CCCACTAAGAAAGAAGAAAAATAGCATAAGGTTAGACCTGTTTGGACTTGGGCAATTTTTTCTCCAACTCGGTGATTTCTTTAAAGACAGACATTTCCCTCGGTAGAATTGCATCGCAAGGATTTCCGAGGAAGTAGCGACAAAGGTGTTGGCACAATCGTTATATTACCAGTGTACGTAATCGCACTGTTTTGTACAGTGACTGCAATACGCATCAAGTCCCCACGGAAAGCATTTCTGCACAAACCGGTAAAATCATACATATTCTGGATTATTCTCTACAGATGCTGGTTAATTTATAAAAACGCGTTAATTGATACGAGAATTGTCTGATTGTCTGGTAACGATAACCAGTAGATCGCTCCTAAATAATGGGAGACATCATTTTGCGTAAATAATCGCACAAGAGGAAATGAATAGAAGAAAACGGAAAAATAGCTACTTGTTCTACTTCCTCACGTGCTTTTACGTTACAGGGTATCCCTTATCAATTGTTGATGGCTCACCAAAGAACAAATGTTACGTAAATATTTACGTCATAAGGAATTCCAAGTCCAGTTAAATAAAAAATACTTAAATCGTATATTAAAAATATTGCTTTAAAACTAAAAGTTTTATTATTGTGAAGATTTTATTCCTGTGTACTATTTCAGGTATTTAGCATTCCACTGTATAATAAATTCACCTGAGTCAGTCGAAGCATAACATGCCATATACCATAAATTATACAAAAGACAGTTTGAATACTGCGAACGTTTTCGGAGAAAAGTATTTTGTAGAGTACAAAATAAATATTAGACATTAGGAAAGAATTCGAAGATGTTCGTGGAACCGTTTAACAGCGGCTGCGAAAAGTAACGAGGAGACCGAGGCCTTCTGCTGGTCCAGAATTTCAAGGTGGACGAGAATTCGAAGGGCACTAAAAGAACTTTAAAGTCAACGAAGGTACTGAAAGTGTTGAAAAGTTGTAATATCGCAAAATGTTACCTTTAAGCTCCTTGGGTGCCACGAAGCCGTACGAGGTAAAGTCAAGTGCTGTGTACTTTTTCGGATAACCACAAATAAAGTATCGATTCTTCAGTTAGAGTTCGCGTTAAGAAAGATTTTGCAATTAATGATACGTATTTGCCACAACCTGTCGCACATGTATTGCGATTACTTAACGTCCTGTGTTGATTATTTATATATTTTTTTTTCGTTTATCTTTCCGATATATCGAGAACGTGCTTGAGAGTTACGAAACCAATTTATGGCTTGTGCAAATAGTTGTATTTTTAACACGAGCGGATGGAAAGCGCATTACTTGTATATTAAAGAGGTATATCAGCATGTTAAATAAGGAGAACCTTGTTTATCAGGAAGTAATGTCCGTGAGTTTCGGCCATTCTGAATCTATCGACCGTGTAACTGAACGTAATAACTCCACTCGCGAACATGGATATCCGTACCAAAAATTACATCACAACTGTGTATACATCGCCGAAGCATTACAATGAACTCTCTACCATTATTTCAACACATTTATAAAAATTCCCCATAATTCGCCGATCTGCCATAATTTCTTCTACAGATTTTACAATGACAAACCATGAACTAAATATTTAATTATGAAAACGCGCTATAAAATAAATAATAAATAAAGAGTAAAAATAAATAAAATGTATATTCTCCATATATTTTCCTCCCCAGGTCGTGGAGAAAACGTTTACCTTCTAACTCTTCGATTACACTGATAAGGATAACTAGAACATTATTAAAATGATAGTGACTAAACGATCGCGGTTGAAACTCTTAATTCTCCACGCGAGTAGTAAGTGCATTGTATGCTTGGTCGTAAAAGTTTTCACACTTATATAATGTATAAGTTTTATTTACGTCCCATTCGCATCCGACATAGCTTCAGCAAAGTACGTGCATACGTCGCGAAGTATGGCGACATCGTTTATAGGTACCTACATCGACTAAAGGACTCGTTCACACCGGGCATTGACTCGTAACGGGTTCGACTCGAAGACTCGTGTCCTCGCGACTCCTCGAGGAACTCGAGTCTATCAGAACTCGCGTTGCGATTCTTCCCTCGGAAAATTAGCCTTTTTATCGAACTTGTCAAAATGTCCATGTAACATGCGAAGCCTCGATGAATTCATAGAAAGATTAACTGTAAGAAGATGAATGAACCCCATGAAGCCATGAACAACAGTAGGGTCCACCATCTCTCAGACCTCATAAATGGATCCAGGTTTTCAACGTTCAGAATTTTCAAAATTTTCAAAGTCTCGATGCATTCATAGAAAAATTAGCAGTAAGAAGATGAATGACTCCCATGAGGCCATCAACAATAACAGGGTCCACCGTCTCTCAGACCTCATAAATGGATCCAGGTTGTCATCGTTCAGAATTTTCAAGGCACTCACTGTAACTGAATTCTCGGCGGCATCTCGTTTTTAACTACACGGAAAAAAAGGCAGTTGCAACTCTTGGCAAATAACAGCATTACCGTTAAACTTTGCTTTTACTGCAGGAACAATCGCACCAAGAACAAACATGTTTGTAATTATATAGAATCGTAGATGTAACGATTGGAGAGCTCTCTTTAGAAGAAATACTTGCTAAATTAATGTGAAGTGAAACCCGCCTCAAATCAGTTAATTCGAATACAACACTTTTTTTACGGGTATTAGGCCAAACTGTCCGAAACATTGACACATCACTCCTGATCATCTAAGAATTGTCCTGACATATTCAAAATTTGGATTTTTCAAACAAATTTTTTAACAGCCCAGACCAAAACCAAAATGGCGTCGAGCTCTCATATTTCGATCAATATATAATTATCGAAGGCTCTGATATGAGAATCGAAAGGGTCAGGACACTTGTACGACAATTTAGAACACTCTGATAATCGATAAACTCGCATTTGAACGGGATAAAGGCAAAAAAAGTGTTTTATGCGCTTCTATGCTAAAACGATGGGAATACGAGGTCTCGGAGTGAAAATTTAATTGACCTGGAAATCACAGATGGCGCAGGGTGTCCCTGTGCAGTCAATTAGGGCCCTAGAAAGCATGAATCCAGAGGATTTCTGGAGTTTTACTTCGATTTCTTTATAATTATTGTACGGAAACGACATATGGTGTATGCCATTTGGTACAATATCCAATATAATTCGACACAGCTGTCAATATAAAAACGAACGTCGGCAACGTAAGCATTTAGAAAAATCTTCTTTATCGACGTCGATCAAGTTCCTCGACGTGTTTCACTTCACCTTAACAAATGAATTTATTGCGACAATCTCCAAAATATTGTCGTTACTATTCAAACGAATAGGCGATATGCAATTTGATGTCGCTAGAGAAGGATATTGCAATTGTGAATAGATTTGTGTTACTCCAGTGAAGTAATCATTTTTTGGTTGTTGTCAATATAACAAAAATATTTCTGGACAATAATGTTGCTGACCCATTTTCACCTGTTCACGTTTGTTGCGGCAAGTAAAATTTCTTCTCATGTCTGTGAATTCTTTTTCTACGGGTATATATTCAAAAACCAAAGAATGGCCACAAACGCGGGAGACATTATTGAATAATTAATAAGGCGGATTACTAATTTACTGAGAGAAAAGTTGCATAATAATTAAATGCTCCTCAGAGATAATCCCACCGCTTGTAACTACGACGTTCGCTTAGTAGGTACATGAAAAAATGAAAGCTTGTCGAAGCGTCCATATTCAAGGCAGTGTTGCTCTACATTTTTTGTTAAATTAAGTTATGGTCGTTGCTAACTGCTATCCAACTGGTGGGAAACGCGTACATTGAACGAATTCGTACAATGCTCAATTGTTGTTCAACCATGTTTGCTCGGTCTGTATCGGTCGTAAAGAAGCAAGAAACTGAATTGCTCGATGAAGCTTAACATTCATAGAATTTTTCTCCTTTCTTTACTTTGTAAATGGAAAGTAAGAAGTCAAACCGCAATGAATGATTTATATTTTTCCTGGATTCTTTTAACATTCTTAGGATTTTTCCCCTTTCTTTCCTGTGTATATAGAAAGTTAAAATTCAAACCGCATTGAACGATTTATATTTTTCCTGGATTCATTCGTTATTTTCAGTAAAAAAAAAATTACAAAACATCCTAATTTCGTCAGTCTTTTTGTCACTGATTCCGAGGGCTTTGAATATATTTAATTCAAGTAACTTCAATAATGAAAAATGGTGTAGAATGAATTGGTCATACAACAGGAGCAATCAAAATTGCGTAACTGACATTTCACGTTTGCGTTAAGACTGAACGTCGGGCTTTCGAAAAATGTTGCGAAAGTAATTTACCTCGTCGCGTGACGTCTCTCTTTCCCTCTCTTAAGAACTCTCCATATGATGAATCGGTAACCACATCCTAGGGTTAAGAATGAGTTTCCGAGGTTAGCGTAAACTTCTATGGTAATTATTTCCTGCACTTTGTAAAAAAATCGCGAAAATTGTATGCGATGAACAACCGAACAATATCACATATTAGGATACTATCAATCTGTTGTAAGATAAATTGTTTTATTACGTACCATCGCTACCGAATATGAATGATAAACCTCGTAATTTTAACTTGAAAATCTCAAAGTGTACATGAATGATAAGAGACGCGGTCTGAGCGTCCGACCAAAAAATTGAACCAGTTCATTCAGGCACTGAATGCAATAATATTACAAAAAACGAAGAGATTCTCATACTAAGATTCCTCTTTACTACTGATAGGAATCATGTTGTTAATAAAAAAATAAGCGGGGTGAATATCTACCCTAATCATGAGTTAGAGGGTAGAAACAACGATACATGAGGTCTAGGGTTAAATAGAAATTCTCTTATTTTTTGTTGGGATCTCGAATTACGGTAACCCGGCCGCGTGACATAACTAGATACATATGGATCTCTAATTTCTTAGGAGGTCCGAAAGCTGTTAAATGTCGAAGTGAGAGTCAACCGTTCTTCATATTTGTGTTCTAGGTCCAACAGCGACGTGGTTGCTGCTACTATTAGCGGCAGCGTATAGCGGTGCAGTAGCGACGTCCCCTTGTCCATGGACAACGCAAATACCGGAACTTGATAGCTCCTGCATTTGTGACTATAATCTAGCGAAGGAACTATCGATACAATGCGACAACGTAAATTATAGCCAGCTTGTATCGGCAATGCGTCGATACGCGGCAAAAGTCAACGTAGACCTCTTCTACGTGAACAACAGCACAATAGGCGCCCTTAATAACGGGTCGCTGTCCACCCTGAGGATCAACAATATTCAGCTGTCCGGGTGCCGAATCAAAACTATCAGCAAAGACACCTTCAAAGGTCAAGAGAACTCCTTGAAGACGCTAAACCTGAAGCACAACGAGCTCTCGGAAGTCCCCACGGAGGCGTTGAGGTCTCTGCGCAATTTAACCGTCCTTGACTTGTCGATGAACAAAATCACCAGGGTAGAAGAAAATGCTTTTGGTGAACTGAAGCTGATGACGCTAAAATTGTCCGACAACGAGGTCACCCTTGTCCCCGGGTCATTCCGGGGTTTGGAAAATACCCTTAAAAACCTGAACCTGAAGGGAACGCGACAGAAGAAGATTCCGGAGGCCCTCAGGGGTTTGAAAGCTTTGGCCTTTCTGGATCTGTCGCAAAACAGCTTGCGGGAGCTTCCAGGGTCTGCTGGTGAACGAGCTTTCGAAGGATTGGATTCCCTAACGGGGCTCAATCTCGAAAGGAATTTTATCCAAAACATTGGCTCAAATGCCTTCCACGGTGTTAAGAACACTTTGAGCTCCCTTAGTCTCCTCAACAACGTCCTACCTGATTTTCCCACCGGTGCTATCAATAGTGTGCATGATTTAAAGGTGAGTTTGAACTTATGAAATGTAACGAATAAACTGCAATGGTTCCTTAACACTAAACCTATTACCGGCGGGTCAAATTGACCGGTTTAAATGGTATTTGTAATGGGGGTATAAATCGTCGGTAGTTTTAGTGTTAGGAACGCAACTGATAGTTATGGATCGTTTGGTCACAAATATTTTTACCTTGCAGGTGCTGGATATCGGTTTCAACCTAATTACTGAATTACCGGTTATTGCCTTTCAAAACAACCCATCCATAACTTTGCTCGCCATCGACGGAAACCCGTTGACGACGGTATCTGAGGCAGTTCTGGCTCGCCTAAACGGAACTTTACGTGGCCTGAGTCTCGGCGGACGGTTCCTGGTGTGCGACTGCAAGCTGAGATGGATCGTCGAATGGATTCGCACGAAAGATTTACAGGTTACAAGTCGAGAGCGTAAACCACAATTCTGTGGAGCTCCCCTGCGTCTGCAAGACAGAAGTTTTTACAACATCAACCCAGAAGGTAAGGCTTTAAATTCATTCGCATAAAAAATTCCCCACGTTGAACGTGTACAATTTAAAACGAATATTCTACCGATTGCAGAGATGACCTGCGAAAAAACTCCGGAAATAATCGGCATAGGCACAGTGGAAAGCGTGGATACCAAAGAACCAACGGGTCCCGTAGACGGAGTCGCGGAAATGCATTTACCAACAACTCGCGTTCCAACCAGCACGTTGAGTGCCACAACAGTGGCTACAACAACGTCCGTAGCGACCACGTCCCCAACTACGACGATATACAAGAGGACGGAACCGCCACCTCCACCACCAACAACAACTATGAGCACAACTGCAAGACCAACTGCTAGCCGAACTGGAAACGTAGTCATAATGCGAACCACTATACCTCCGTCGAGGCACAATCAAGATCTGGGCTCGTTGCAAAACCATCCCAAACCACCACTGGTCATCGGGTCTCCGCTTTACAAGACTAAATCTGCCAACAAGGATATCACTGTAAAAGATGTCCTCAGGCAAGACAACGCGGTCGTTATTTACTGGGACACCGACGAGCCTAATATCCTTGGTTTTCGAGTAATCTACCGCTTATTTGGAGATTCGACATTCAAGCAGGCCCCGCCTCTGGAGGCTAGTGAACGCGAATTCAAGATTAAGAATGTGCCCTCCCAGGTAGGACAAACTTAATTTAATGTTCGGTTTCCACGGAAAAAGCCGACCGTTCAAAGGATTAAATGCAACCAGTTCTTCATTTTATTTGTATCTTGTGATTACAGGAATGTATCATAGTCTGTGTTGTTTCCCTAGAGGAAACCAACGTCACGCCTGCGAATGTTCCGTACAATCAATGCAGAGAAGTGAGGACAGAAAATTCGCTAACCTCGAACATGGACAAAATAACTATCGCTGCGAGTGCAGCAATCTGCGCCACGATCGTGGTCGCAGTCATCATTTTCATCGTGGCCAACCGAAGAAGAGCCAAAAAACTACACACCCTCCACACTATCGAGCAAAGCACCAAAATGAGTGGTCCGATTACCGGTTTGCCGGTGAATTGTTGCTCCAATATTGGCCCCACTCCCAGTCCAGGTGGTCCGTTATCGTCGATGGCGACGTTAAACGCTTTTAACACACAAAAGGAGTGGGACCAGGTGTCCGCTTACAGCAATCGGAGCATCCCGCGTCCAAGGATCTTTCCCGTAGATCGTCAAGGTGATCACCTACAATGTTTTCATATTTCTGGCTTCGCACTATCCCCGATTTAACATTTTAAAACAAGGTTGAAAGAGCGTTTCTGCTTCCCAGGTTCCATCACACGAGCTCCCTGCATTGACGATGTTCGATCTCAAACGTCACATTATCCAAACAAAGTTTCCGGCAGATCAGTTGCAGACGGCCAGTCTCAGCACAGCTTCTCCAACAATTCAACGCGTTACTTCGCCAATAGCGCTTTGGCTTCTAATCTCGTGAATACAAGGCCAGGTACTTTTATAATATTTAAGGCTCCTGGCGCAAACTCGGTACGCTCGGAACACTCGGTTTAAATCACTGTAAACCACTTAAACTCCAGTTAACTCGAGTTGTGGAACCGGGCCTTAATATGCCCAAAATGAAACGCGATACGTAATCCGTCCATGAGAGAATTTATCCCATGTCTTGTTAAATATTCGTCCACAAAAATCAGCCCTCGCATCAAGAATAGCTATAGTTTCTTATTTCTGAACACTTCCTTATATTCACACCTATAGAATTATAGGCAAATTCTGGCTGTCCCGATCATTTAAGTTTTTGAATTTCTCATTGGAGGAATCAGCGTTTTCTCAAAATACGTCGAACTTTGACGTCCTGTTTAGGTAGCGTCAGGTTAAGGTAATCTCTTCCAAAAATCAGAAGTTACAGATTCCCTGGAGAGTATTAAAAATGTATATGCTCTTGCTCCTGTAGATCAATTGATAATACGCGACTTGCAGAAACCACGACATACCGTTTAATCGATACAGATCTGTAGAATCAGTGAAACCTATTGACGATGGTTTCGCCAATGATCATGGAATTCACATGAGCAAATGAAATTCGATTGTTACAGAACTACGTCAATCGAGACAGTCCTTGGCTGCAGCATCGGACAGGATGTCACGGGCAAGTTACCCCGCGAGTCACTTGGCAGCGCACACTTCTTCGAGGCGACAACGACCGCAATCGAGGAATAGGACGCTTGAGCAACACCCTCCCCGACCTGGTAGCCGCTACAGTCTCGCAGAATCGACTCACACCCTGAATAATTACGACGAGAACAACTGGACCGATCACGATATGGATATATACATGGCACGCAATCCGACTGCGAGAAGTGGTCTCGTGCCACTTTAATGTCGTATACCCTCATTTTTTGTTTGCTGGGGAAATCAATAGACCTAAGAGAAAAATACTGCCGTTTTCGCTCAAAAGGCTATGGCTCCATTTCCTTCGACCCCGATACATCCATTTTCTGTTTTAAAGATACGTGATGTAAATACCGATTGAAAGTAGGAAATGTTTGGAACAGAGCATTTAATTACTTGAATCATGTTTTATATTATGAATTTGGTATCGTGTGAAATGAAAAGTTCTATTTTTCATACGTGTAGAAAGTGCAGTTAGAAAGTCTTGCGTGTGGCTAAAAACTCTAAGGCATATGTACCATATACTATTTAGATCATTAATTAAAAATGCAGAACAATCAATAATGTAAGGTTTAATTGAAGTTTAGAAATGAGAACGGTATTTTTCATTCCATTTTTTTTTGTCTAAATCACCGTCTCGTTTCGCGAACATTAAGAGAAACTCAGCTAAAGTTACATGAATCCTACAACAGGATGTTAACGTTGATATCCAATAACAGGATGTCAAAAAAAGAAAATCTATTTTGGTTACGTATAACTCCGACCATTGAACAGGGTGCTTAAGAAAAAGAATAATTAAAGTGTTCAACAGGTACGTTGAGTTTCAATAACTGGTAATTTAATTCATGTATGTATTTATATTGAATAATGGACCTCAATCGTAAGTCAAATTTATTATGCATGAGCTTTACCCAAAGACTGCAAGAATTTACAGTAATGAAAAGAAAAGAACCAAGAAACACAAATTCTTGATACTTATACCATAATTTTAACTAATGTTCCGGGCCCAAAATACGTATTCGTGCGTGTGTAAACTAAGGCAGTGCAATACATGTGTTTTAGTTACAGTTGCGTGCAATATTCGTATGTATGTTATAAGCGATTAAAATATGTGTACATATTCGTAAATTAATCAAAATATTTACTTACCCTGGTATAGAAATACTTTTCTCCCATCTAAATCTGATTTCCTGAACGAATTCATGCCACAACTGAGCTAAAGCTGCTGCACCTCCAAAACTTTGAGTGCAATGTGCTGCGACGATTGCAAGTCTCCAAACAAGACCATCTACTGCACTACTTTTTACCCCCTTCCACTGATCTTCATCAATGCTATATGCATCGTTGTCATCATATGGAGTTTTCTGTAACATGAGAAAAATCATATACATCACAACTGTTTCATGTGACTAGAAAGTTAAATTATAATTAACAGCTATTTTTCGTTTGAGAAAACTAAGAAAACATTTAAGCATTAAATAACGAATGGGTTTAATGAAAATTCACAAATTTGATCAAGCGAATGGTAACCTGAATATGAAAGAATTTAAGGATGCAAATTTTTTCATACTTATGCAAATGTTTTTGTGAAATTGGAAGAAAAATATAACCGAAAGTAGCACTGCTTTGAAACGTTGATCTAGTAACAGCAATTGTATGTGCTATATTAAAATAATTATGAATCTAATTATTTTCATACATACTTGAAATACTTAGGGAAGTTGATTTTGATATTACTGTATTAATTGCCTTATTCAAATATTTTCTTATTTAATAATTGGTATATTTCTACCCAAAATTATATTTATTGATAGTTTTAAACATTTAAGTATACACACCGAATCTTCATCTGCATCAGGGAACAAAAAGTAAATGATAGGCAGTAAAAGTTCCTCTGTAATTGGCCCCTCTGTATTTGTTCGTTTTCTAGCAGTTGCTTTACCAACAACATCTGATAATGTTGGTATTTTAGATGCTGTCAACACATTAAGCGCAGACCTCAATCTATTAATATCATCATTTGCATTATTAACATCATCGCCTAACAACTCAACGATAGTCTTCTGATTGTAACATAATTGAAGGAAATCTCTTAGATATTCTCCAAGTAAACAAGCAGGTGATGGCACCATTGAAACTTGTACCGACCATTCCGGTGCCAATGGTGGTTCAAGATCAGAAAATGTTTCACTTTCCACTATCACATATTCTAGCATTTGAGGCCACGTTGCAAACAAATGCAGTTCCCTAAAATAGAAAGAATATTAAGACCATGATAACGAGACATATATAATACTTGTAAAAGAAACTAATTTTATAATGTATCAAATGTATTTTTACCCTACTGGGTCAAGCGTGGCTCCAAATGGAAGTTTTCCTAATTCAGCCACACCTAGTGTCTTTCCTTGTAAGAAATCAAAATCTGGAGGCTCCTGTGTCCATGTGCTATTGGTCCAATCTTTCAATAAGTAGGAGAACCGAATAGATACCAATGTAGGATCTAAACGTATACCACAACTTTCTCCAATTTTTTGTTTAAATAATGCAAGTAAACCTAACAGAAATAAATGTATATAATTGCATTGTATTTTACAATTCCATAATGTACCCACAATAAAGTATATACCATTAAGACATCTGCAGTGAGGAGGTACCTTTTTCAAGTGCACCATCTCAAAATGTGTACGTATTCCTTGACCGACACTAATACCAAGGTAAAATTTTTGCCATGGCTCATGTATTTGTACAAATGCAGGAACTTCACTGAAAGCACAACAAAAAAACACATATAGCTGTAATGCACACTGTTCTACATATCAATAACAAATAAAAAAAAATTGAAATTATCAGCGTTCTACCTGACTACTTACCAATGTGCATTATGTGATGCAATTGTTAAAGAACTTACTAATATTTTAATTCTTGTTTCATCTGATATAGCAAGTTGTTTAGTTGGTACCAAAATAATAAATTCCCTAATACCAAAGTAATTTGCTAACTCTAAATGTCTTTCAGTTAACGTTAAAAAGTCATTTGAAGTATCAAGACAGTCTATTTGACACTGTGTTTTAGTTTCCACAGAATCTTCCTCGTCACTGTCTGAACCATCTTCAACATTCGAGACGTTTTCAACCTTTAGCTTATAATGCTTTAGCGAAAACTCAACATCTAAAAGAATTAAAAACTTATTATTATGCTTTATAAATGATTATAACCTTAACGTATTAGTCTAGAAACCATCATGCAATAAATGTATACCTGCAAAATGTAAATTTTCAACATTTTCATCCCATGATAAATTCAAGAAGTCACCCGATTTTAAGGGAGGACCAATTTTTGTTTGAGGGAGTTTCCATTCTCGAATGATTTCTTCTAAGCGTGCTATGAACACTTCCCATTCTGTGGCAGTTGTAAAGTCGTGATGGTGATAATCTTCAATTTCAACATTTTCCATTTTAAATGCATTTAAGGTAATAATAAACTTTCTAATCAGTCGATTTTTAACTGTCACATTTTGAGGTTAGAAACTCAAGGAGATATTGATACTATCTTACTCGTTCGTTTACACATTTTATATTCATATAGTACATAGAGCAAATCTTTAACAAATCTATGAGCTGTTTTTTTTATAAAACACATATAACATGGAACAGCATGGACGATAAATACAAACGTTTCAGGAACACATTCAAGATAAAGCAAAGTGAAGGCTTACAGTATGTATTGGCATGTATTCACCACTGATATATACAGGATATATAGTAAACTGGAACACTCGCCAGCGTGCCCGCTTTTGTACAGTCTAATTACAAATTAAGTTTGGCACTTCTACTACACGATGACAATTGTGAATGATACTAAATTATCCTTTCGGACGGTATAAACGGTGCGCACGCATTGATTAATCTGGGAGTGGAACTGCGACAAAGAGACATCCATCATTTCATCTCTCTCGCACAAATGGGTACTAAACTTCGTGTGACAAGGATGCAGAGACATCCTAATCTATGTCTCTCTGCAACAAACTCGCCGTGCATTCTTAAGCGCGGCGAACATTCCAGTTTACTATATATTTCAGCGAGTAAACGTATTTAGTTACTACGTTTCCGCCAGCACCTTCGACTATATAAGTATAGACTCCTAGCAGTCAACTTCACGTCGGTCACGAAGATCCGTCATGCTTTACGGTCTAGTATTCAAACTCTACAGAGGAAGAGTAAACTACCAAAAGAAGAAAGTTATAAAATTAAAGGAATTACATTTGAAAAAAGTAATTTATATTATGCTCTTTGAATCCTTCATTATTATCCTATTCTTATGCTGGAAGTGTATGTGAATGGAATCTATAAAATATTCATACATCATTAAACTGTAAATATAAGCAGCCAAACAGACAGGTTTTCAAGAATTTTCTTTCTAATAATAACTTAAACATTTCCAAAGATGTGTAAGAAATCCGCTTCCACATTGTAGGCAGCTTTCACAATGTAATTTTAGAAAATTTCAATAATTTTCACTAAATTTGGGAATCTTCTAAATGATCTTGAGATGCTTATAGCTTCGATTGAAGAAACCACTTCGAACATTTTCATTTCGACTGTTAGGAAGGCTCTAACGCAGAAATATTAATTTCTGCGTTAGAGCCTTGAATCTCCATAATTTTAATACATTTCGTGTAAATTACCAAATTGATCGTAGAAATTTCTAATCGAGAATAATGTTAATTTACTTACTGTAGATAATTTTTTCTAAAAATTGTGGTTTCTCATTCAAGCGTAAAAAATGAAACTTGGCATCTCCGATTTCAAATTGTAATCTGTAAACGTCACAACTAATTTTCCTTATTATTCAGTTAAAACCTAGATTATTAATGAGTAATTAATTCTATAAAAATTTGTAAATTGAAAATTGAGAGTTCATGTTATCAAGAAAGACACGGATACCAGTACGCGAATACTGTTCGACAGCTTGAAATTGAAAAGAGCACAATTTGCTAGTTAGTGATAAGCGTTAATAATAATGGAAACGTCAAGTCGCACATAAGTTTAATTTAAGTCTGCAAATTATCTCGCTCTTGTCTAAATGCAGAAGAGGTGTAGCAACGTACTGTGAGACGCAGTGAGGTATCGTTTAGTTTTCATGTACTTCGACCGATAGTTTTCAGTGTGACTGCGAACTTTAATATAGATGTAAATAACTCATAATCGTAAATTTGTTTGGTTGAACATAGAGTTGATAGCGAGAGGGCTGAAAAGTGTTCTCAGATTCTCTGTAACTGAAAGGGGCAGACCGATAGCAGCCGGAAGCTTCTAACTGACGACATAAGCGTAGCATTCACAATCGCATGTCTACGAATTTTCGGTGAAATAATCGATATCTTCATTATTGTTAGCGATAACGACGCTCGTAAGTATTAGCATAATATATACTTACTAATATTCTCTTTCTAATATCATATCTCTCTAAAAGCAATAGTCCACTACAATGACAAAAGGGGTTAATCAAGTATCTGCAATAGTACAATTTCTGCTTTAATGCATATTTAATAATTATATATAATTTTGCACTTATCTCAAGAACGCTTCAAATTTTTCCAAATTATTAAAATTTATAATTATTCGGATTGATACGATAGCTTGAAATTTAGAATTTCAAATGGGAAATCGTTGAATTATAACTTCGGTTATCTTTCTTCATTCATTACTTCTGTCAATTGAAAGTGCGTCCGGAAAAGGAAAAAAATGAAAAAAACAAGTATAGATTTTCTGGAAAGCCTTAAACATATGTACATTTAGAAAGCCATGGAGAATACGCACAGATTAATTCGTTCCATTCAAACTTGAATTTATTTAATCTGCGCCATTGTATCTAGGGTTCTCTCAAGAGCTCGGGACCGGCTCGCCCCTCATATATAGTTAGTACTGCTTATTGTTGAAAAATGTAGTATACGTTGTCAGCATGGAAGAAAGCGCGTAGAGAGAAAATTAGCATAACGTTCCGTGCTTATTATCATTTATTCATGCAAATATAAATATAACAAAATCTTGTCACAGCGCTTACAAATGTTTAACTCCCATGAAGACGCTTAAAATCTTTGAATTGGTTTATACCGTACCATCCATTTATGAGAGCCAACGTATATGCAACGTACGCATCTGATCATATCACGTTATTCCTGTCAATAAATCTCACAAGTGAAAAAAGTCAATGAACATCTGTTCTTTCGTCAATCTCAAAACAGTGATGTAACTTTGAAACTCTTGAAAAGCAGCTTTCTTTGCTTTCCTGATCAAACGTAACGAATCAAATATTATCACCAATCAATTGATTAGTGTTCTTAAGATAAATTTGAATTTAAATTACAATCTGACGCCACACGAAGAATACTTCGTTGGAGGTCTCGAGTACAATCTCGCGATACTTGAATAAACTAAGGAACACGTCGTGTGCGTAATACACTCATTGATAATCGTATAAAAAAAGAGAACATTAGCAACATCTGCGAATCTATTTCACCTGTGTAATTTACTCTTTATTTAAGTCGCCATGTCTATGAAAATCATTAACCGAAAATGTTAATATACTCAGGTAAATACGTGTTATTTGTTACATGTATGTGTACTGTGACCGGTATGTAACGTAGCCTTTTCTATTAAATCTCTACGAGATTTAAGGGCCATCACGCACGACGGATAGTCGATGACTGACAATTTTATCAGTCAAAATGTTCACAATAGATTCTTACGAAACACCGCATATGGCGACTAAAAAGATAGATAAAATGTATCGTGAACATTATGGACGACAAAAATTATCGGTTACCGACTGTCTATCGTGTGCGGTGTTCTTAAGTAAGGGGATTCGACTTACTGCGGTTACGGGAAAACAATATAATACTTGACAATAATAACGCTCGCATTAAGATACACACAGTCATTGTATAAATGTGGAATATATAATTTGCGGACAATTAAACTATTTACAAAATACGTAGAAGAAATACTATGTTTTTCAAGATTTCACTCGACAATTGCCTTAAGTAATAGAATTTTTGTTTTCAACGAATTTCATTTAATTCGACAAGTTATTGATTGAACGTAAAGTTATACTCATGTAATTCCAAAACACTGACTTTAATGACAGTTGATTTTGCATCATCAATGAAACAAGATAATAATGTTTAATCCGACGCGCGGTGTATACCGTCTTGAATACGTCTTCGCGACTTTCTTTGGTCTTTTTATCCATTTTTAGAAATCATCTGTTCAAACAAAATCATCCGCTGATCGATTTGTGAGCAAAAGAGAAACTCGAATTAATCCAAAGTCGATTCCTATTCAAGCATACCCTAGTAGCAAAAAAGATTTGTCCTATATTTTCTATATATTTAATGAATATCGTACATTTTGTAAACATTTAGCCGACATTTGAAATATTTGCAAAACGTTTACTTTAGAATATTATCCCTGTAACATTTATATAATATTAGCTCCATGTGTTTTCATAATATTTTTTTACCAGATATACAAAACATTTCGTTTCATTTTAATACAAGTATTTTTTAAATGTTATCCGCCGAATACATTATAAAAGTTTTGAAAATATTTAAAATCAAAATCACACGTTCTGCTTCCATAATGAAATAGCGGAACGAAAATATAAACATTTCTTGTGTTTTTTGATACCAAATGAAGTGTCCGCGATAATAGTCGTGATATAAATGAAATGTATTTTTATTATATGTTCATAAATTAAAAAATATAATTTCTATATATGTTCATAAATTATTGAAACTAAATATGTCATTGAGATTTTCAACAAATATTTCAGATATCTTCAAATGAAATCTACAAGAAATCTTAAAAAACCTGTTGCTTGAGATATTTAGCAAAGATTAAAAACAAATATTTAGAAATTATTCTATACTACTAGGATATTGTTTATACGAAGTCGGTATGCATCAGCGAGCCATAACTGCACCCTTCCTTAAGTAGACTGAGCAATGTGCATTGCGAATATGCAATGTGTTGGAAGTGAAACGGTATAGTATCTTTTTTATGTTAACAATCATAGCTCGTTAGTGCGTCTATAAAGTGCCGTTGGAAAAAATGATAATCTCTGTGTACACTATTTTCCACAGTTTGCAGCGTATCGTTGTCGTCACTCCTTTGTTACGTTTAATGCCATTACTACTCTTGCAAAAGGGAATTACGATCTTTCACAAAACTTCATGTTTGAGTGAAAGTACGACGATTGCTAAATTAATATGAGAAGTTAAATTCAGGTTAACGTCATTACACCCGCGATTATGAAACATGCATATATTTCTCTTTAATATCATCGTAAATAAGATAATTAAACTTGGCCAGAGTTGTTATTCTACTTCCAATTTCGATATCTAGAATAACTTATGAAACCCGACATATAGAACGGCTTTACAACAATATCGCAAAAACTGTGTTGCGATTTTTTAAGGTATTTAACAATCTCTACGAGAAAAATATAATTTTTACAAGCTGCTTTATATCAAGCCAAAAATTCAAAACACGCGACAAGTTGAGATACTGCGATTGCACAATGCAAGGTTCAAGCAGAATCGTTAACACGGTTGTGTGACAAGTTACTCGGTTATCACGAATCAATTTTAGCAACTGACAGCATATTGCTTTTTCTTGTATAAGGAATTAACAAGCATGTCGGAGAAATAACGTATCACTGGGACACGTATATATTTCTAATTTATATTTTAAACAACATTTTTGAGACTTTCTTGTCATTCCTTAGTGCGTCATTTTTTTTTTGCTCAAGTCCCTTGAGTCGTTGGCCCCAATTCACTCAGGTGTACTTTCCGCGACATTGCGTAAACACAACTTGACACAATATTTTATTTTCTCGCTGAAGGAAATAACAATTACGTAAAGGAACGATTTTAACAAAGATGTCATCAAGAAACGTTTTTCAAAGGACCGAAAATCATAATAAAGGGCCGTAAAGACATGGAAAATTTTGAATCGTTTATATCTAAATAATCGCCTTTTTTCGTCTTCTTAAATATTCCGTTTAAAATATTTATTTAGCTAGTGTTTGCATAAAATTACTTTAAAACGTACTCTTTTTTCCTTTGAAAAATAAGAAATTTTAATTGACTATCGATCATTTTTTGAAAATCGTATAATTTAAAATGGAAAACTACTATATAATGGTAGGACATATTCTGTAAAAATAACGTATTGAGGGTTTCTCTCAAAATATATCCCTATCATTTAGTACAATCTACAACTATCTAGTTCAAATCCTGATGACTCACGGGTGGAGTATTTGAAGGCCTTTTTCTTTTTCCTTTCTTTTTTACGTATTTGACCATGTATATAAGAATATTTGATGTTTATTTACACTACCTGGGTATCTTTTATCATTTATTTGTCATCTCTTACAATAAGATAGGAAATACCTTGATCTATTTTCATTCGTTTCACGGACGCTAGAAAATCTTGAAAAAACTTTCCTCATCATTTTAAAACGATTTATCCTTTACCTATCCCTCGCCACTAGCCTACCCAAATAACATCATTCCTTTTCCACACGAAATGCATTCCCAAGACCTTATCTAAGCCCCACAATTTACGATTAGATAACCACTCAAAAAGTCAACAATCAAAAACCAAAGTTACACCGGGTTCAAATCTCGAAAGGCTCTCCCTCAGCATTTTGAGAAAGATCGTTGCCCTCTACCTTCTCCCGACTATTCAGCAGGACACTCCGATAATCGAGGTCGCTTCCTAATCCGGACCCCTTCTCGAGACCTTGACGAGGCCCCTCCGAGTCCTGCATTATCCAGGCCAGAAATCGGTAAATCGATGGATCGAGGCCAATGGTACTCTGCCTGCAGGCTCGAAGTTCGAAGTGAACTTGCCGCCATGTTTTTTAAAGGGGTTGGGGCCTGTCGGGAACGCGCCGGTCGGCAACGCGCAAGTGTGCCCCGACTCCCGAGGGAGTACCTTCGACTTCCGTCCTACGAAACGCCCCTCGCGTCACGTGGTCCAGGCCGAGATTTGCGAGCGCGCTCCCTCGATTCGAAACGGCGACTCCTCTGGACTCCTCGACGAGGACGAGCAGGGCCGGGGGACGCGCGGCGCGTCTCCGGCATCCCTGCCTATGGTGAGCCGGTCGTGGCCGGCCGCGACCACGTGTCAAGCCGGGCCACGCGCGCCACGAGTTCGACAGTTCGCGCCCGTCCGCTCGCCTCGGCCCACGTAAGTTAAGCGCGCTCTTCCGTGCGCTTCACTTTAAATCCTCGCATCGCGTCTAGATCGCACGCAGCGGCTGCCGAGCCCTGTCAAAATGCCGGCCAAAGTAGCACCCGCTGAGACGGCCACATGCGCGAGGACGGCTTCCTCCGAAGACGGTGTCAAACTGAAGAAGGACATCGGTCTCCTTGACGGTGTGGCCATCATCGTCGGCGTCATCATTGGCGCGGGTATCTTCGTCTCCCCGAAGGGTGTCCTGCTCAACAGTGGCAGCGTCGGCCTGGCCATCATAGTATGGGTTTTCTCCGGATTGCTCTCCCTCATCGGAGCCCTCTGCTACGCCGAACTCGGTGGGTTCGAAACCCTTTTGCGCGGGGTTGTTCGCGCGTATCATCGTAATGGACTGGAGTGGTTCTTTATTGATTAATTACTTGAATGAAGGATTAAATAGGTACGTGCGCACCTTCGATTTTGAGAAAAATTCTTTCGCAAAGTACGCCGAATATGCGTACGTTTCGGTAATTGTACATCTACGTTTACCGGATTCATTTTATACATGAGGGTGGTCATGATTATAGTGAAACATTTTTTTTCTTCGCGGAGGATTTATACAGAGCGACTTTCTTTACAGTGAATTATAATGCCTTCGTGACGGTATACTATGCGTTCCTTGATTTCCAGTGCTCTGGTTATTTTCAAGATAAGCTTATTCGTGAAACTTCGGAAAAAGTAATATCTGCTAAGTATAGCAATCGTAACGACTGTGATACGTACCGTCGCCACTACTCCAATTTTCGCATCGTTCGCGCGCGTCAACATATTTACCACATGATGAACAAAAATTCTCTCTCTTACTTTCTTTCCCTACAAAGATAGAAAATCGTTTACGAAATCAATCTAACGCGGGAATACCGATCGAGGTCCAAAAAGCCGAGACTTTAAATTAGGCAGGTGCGCTCGTACAATACTGACAGATTTCCATATTCTCGAAATCTCGACAACGAAGCTTCGTTTCCAAACCGTTTATTCTGCGATTACGATTCGCTTTTTGACGGAGTAGGAACTTTCGGACCATAAGATGATTCATATCACGTGTTCACGTGTATTATACGTGTGCGATTTTTGGGCAACGACCCCCGCACGTTTTCTCGTTCTGACGCAACCATGGCACCCTTTTTCAACATTCGAAATCTTTTGTCGTGTGGTGAAAGAGGACGTTGATTTCGGCGAATCTTCTTACCTGCCATCGCCATGAGTATAGATTAGTACCGGCTTTAAGAATCCCGGGATAGATCTTCATAATAGGAAAAATGGAGAAATTAATACTTCGATAAATGGATTTTATCGCTCTTTCTAAATCGTGGCTCACTAATTTCATTAGAAATCTTTAAGTCGATAGATCAATGGAAATTTTAGAATGAAGACTACATCGTTTCATTAACGATATGTATGCATTTCACACTTAATTAGACACATTTCCCCACATCTACAAATTTACTTGTGTTAATTCTTGAAAGGGCGCGGAAAGAATGTACGCGGTGTTGGTTTTTGTAATTTTACAGGTAAGCGCGTATATACGTGTTCACAATGAGTTGCGAGACGATTTGTCAAATTTTGTATAATTCGCAGACAAAAAAATATGTGCTATGTGAGCTTCAACGATAATGCCTGTTCCTGAAAACGTTCCTAACGTGATTTATCTCAGGTAGTCTACAATCTCCATCGGTTATCGTTGATGAGGACACCTCTAATTGAAAGATTATCTGTTCAGAGAGATGCGTCTTTATCGGATTTAGAACAGGGAGGCAGTATTCCAAAGGTTTAGTTCACCTACAATGATTGATCGAATCTGATACATGGATCCTTATTATTCTATTGTTTATAAAAAGAAAGTCGTAAATAATGGACTCCCGATTATCCACGATAATAACTGAAAATGGATGCGCGGATAATTGAAAATCATGGATAATGCAAAAGTGATCGCAAAGCACGCATACTTGCTCGAACTTTTCCGCCATGCCTCGAATATATGTCGATTTAAACATATCCATATCGTGTCCATGACACTACATTGCACTGACTTTCATGTATCAATAGAAATAATTTCTTTAAATTATATTGGGGTATTCATTCATTTCCGTATTACTTCCGTGTCAGTACGAATACGGAAATGTATAAGTTCATTTAAATCTAATTGTAAAACGTTATTTCCATCAGCTTCCTGAAATACCCTGAACGGATACGGATTAAACAAACACAACGACGAAAAGATGTCTAAGAGATGACGAATTTTTCGAAAAATCATCGGTTATAGCATGTCGTCGATAAAACGATGAGGAACAGATATCTTATGTGCCGGGTTTTAGCATCTTTTAATCAAGATTATAAGATTAAAAAATTCAAACATCTTTTCTTTGGTTTATATTCGATGCTTTTTCATCGACTTCAGAGTGCAGTGTTTTCCGTAACCTCTCTTTTCGATCATCCTTTTCTGAGGCGAATATAAGTCATACATTCTAGCAGCCGATTCTGCAGTTTTAAGTTCTGCTAAATAATAAATTTCCTGCAAATTACAATAGGCCTAATGGAAGGATGACGCTGTCTGAAAAACAATTTTCTCGGCTCATTATATAACCCGTCAGCCTTTGAGACCGAGATAGTGTTTCAATAATTTATTTTTACAGTACTGGACAATTATTAGTACCTTCGTGGAACACTTCACAAATACACTCATCTTTAAACATGATCACCTACTACCGTTATTATGTTGAAGGTGAAGTAACAAAAACGGTTTTCGTAATGAAGTTAGTGGAGGTCACGTTTCCAATTACTTTCGCATAAACCCGGTTTATAGGACAATGCAGCTTTTTGTTAGCTAATTGAAAGAACTGGGTTTATAATTTATTTCATTGGAATAAATTAGAGCTCCTGCGCTGAACATACCGTTACTTTCAAAAGCCATGAAAGATAATTTTCTGACGTGACGTTGGCGTACGAATCATGCGACAGAAAGGTTTAATGAATTTCTTTTGTACTTTAATGTAGGAACGATGATACCGAAGTCAGGTGGTGATTACGCATACATTGGCGATGCGTTTGGACCGCTACCTGCATTCTTATATTTGTGGGTAGCTTTGTTCGTATTGGTACCAACTGGAAACGCTATTACTGCACTAACGTTTTCACAATACATCTTGCAACCGGTATGGCCGACATGCGAACCTCCTTATGTTGCAGTGCGCTTGCTGGCTGCAACAATCACGTGTAAGTAAATCGCAGGTTTTAATTATAAATAATGTTTGGCCAAGTACGTTTCGAAAGTATACTGTTCCAAATTTAAAGAGAATGATAGATCAAATGTTTCGATATAAATTGATAATCATTAAAAAGTCATGATTATATACCATATATACGTAAATCATGTAGAATGTTTTCAACTGTGTACGTCAAGTAATGCCTATACAGCGAAAAACGTGTGTCTTACTTTTGGTGAATGAACACACGTTTCAGAGAATGGCTGGCAAAATAAATTGCAGACTGCTCTAAACTGCAACGATTTTACTAAATTTATCCAATACTTTATTGTATACGATATTATTTCGAACAATACGTATTTTAATTACAACAAGGCGCCTCGTTTTTGAGGAATATGTATGTATATGTTTTTATTTTTTATATTTTCCAATTAAAACATTTCCTACTTCTACATTCCATTTTAAGAGGCAGTAAATGTTTCTTTAACTGATCATGAAAGTATTATATACTGATACATAGAACTATATTTTTAACGTTGTTATCGTTAAACTTTAGAATGGTATAGAGAATGTACAACTACGAAGAATATTTCAAAGTATTGCATTTAAATACTTTCTAACACTTGATTACAAATTGCCGTACTTATTTCTCATAATTTAAAGCAATTGACATGAAATGTTGTTTACGTCACGCAGGTCTTCTGACTGCCATTAATTGTTACAATGTCAAATGGGCAACAAGAGTACAAGATATTTTTACAGCCACCAAAATATTCGCTCTAGTGATAATTATCATTGCTGGACTTTGGTGGCTCTGCTTAGGAAATACGGAAAATTTCCAAAATCCAATGGAAGGAACCAATACACAGCCGGGTTACATGGCATTGGCAGTTTACTCCGGGCTATTTTCCTATGCTGGCTGGAATTATCTTAATTTCATTACAGAAGAACTGAAGGACCCTCACAAGTAAGTTACTATTTCTATGGACACCTATGCTACCAAGACCTTGTCAATAACACTTAACAGGCCGCTCTCACTTCCTGTGACAGTCACATTCTCGAGAGTTCAATGAAACCGAATAAAGCGACCTGTAAAGTGATAACATAGTTCACCAAGATAAAATAGTAGTTTTTTTTTCGAGAAAAACGTCAAATCGACTACAGTACTGCCTATACTTACCTATAACAGGTTTGTGAATTTAGGAACTAGAACGATTACGTATATTTTAAACGTTTCTTCTAACGTTTATAATTTGTATTGTGTAATTAACGAAAGTGTATATAATGATTCTTTTTCAAAATGTATAGACATTTTCTTTTTTTTATTTCATACATATTTTCAATATTTCTGACATAGCACTTCACGATACTCGTTTACGTTAGAATATACGTTTTTCTGGCGCAGTATCTATTTAATGAACGATTATATCGGTGAGCAAATGTATACCTAATATGATATCTAATAGGTAATGAAACCGACAATTATGACCCATTTCTAAGTTGTTATGTAAAGGCTTATTAAAGGACTCACTGTCAGCATTAAAAAGATCGCAATAGGGACCTTCAAAATTTGAACGTTGGCGTTTAAAATTGTTACTTTAAAGGGTTGTTAATTGAAAAATAAGTTTTAACTCGTTTACCTGCAATAAGAAGAAAATGTTATCAAATTTCCAACAACTGTCAAAAAACGCTCAGGAAACAAAAAAAATATGTTAAGTCTTTTATAGCGACTTATGTCCGTTTATATACGCAGTAATATTTTTGTTTTATTAATTTTCTATCAGGAATCTTCCTAAAGCAATATGCATTTCGATGCCCTTGATTACCGTTATCTACGTTCTCACTAACGTAGCCTATTTTGTAGTCCTGACACGACCTGAAATTTTGGCTTCAAGCGCCGTTGCAGTTGTAAGTATTACACCTGAAAGATGTAAGACCACTTTCTTTATGAAACGAAAAATCGATGAATATATTATTCCAGACATTCGGTGATAAAGTACTGGGGATGATGGCTTGGACCATTCCCGTTTTTGCAGCTTGCTCGACCTTCGGGGCACTCAACGGTGCGATATTAGTATCGTCGAGACTCTTTTTCGTTGGTGCTCGTAATGGTCATCTACCGACTGCTATAACTCTCATCAATGTTAAAAACCTAACACCCATGCCTTCACTTATCTTTCTTGTAAGTATGCTTGAACCTACTGCATGTACAAATAAATCGAAAGTAAATATAGGTGTAAGACTACTCACTGCGTAAATGTAATGACATATACTTCAAGTGTAGTAGAATATACTACCTTGAATTACTTTCCGCATTAATTACTACTAAAACTTCAACACAGTATTTATATCATTCAATATTTAAAACCTTTTTCCTCAAAAAAGATTGCAATGTCACGTTCTCTCATTTTTCCACAACCCATTATAGTGCAAGAAAGGTTTATATAGAGACATTCTTTATGATTTAAATAGTATATTGTGCATCAAGGTCATAAAGATCATTTTGATTCGTGTGAAGGGGGTGAAGCTCCTGTGAAACGGACTTAAAGTACGTTGTAAACTTGTTTTTAAAGGGAGTTGGACATATTATTTTTTCACGCGTTATTTCAAACATGTTAAATTGTTTTTAGATATTTTGATTTCTTTTAAATAATACCCACCTAAGAATCTGAAGCATGATAATTAGAAATGCCCATCAATACTTATTATTTCAAACATGTTAAATTGTTTACAGATATTTTGGTTCCTTTTAGATAATATCCACCTAAGAATCTAAAGCACGTTAACTAGGAATGCCCATCATCACGTAACGTCTAAAGTTCAATGCACACTTCGAGTAATAAGAATCACTGATTAATCACAAAGCTGTATATTTATGTGTTGCTGCGTCAAGTAATATCACTGCCTCTATGCATTACCTTCACGTTTGTTCCGTAACTGAACCGTCAATCGTTCTTAACGGCCTGTCCACCGACATTTATCACCCTTCGGCCTATCACCGATAATTCCTCGACGAAAATATGTAAACTTTTATCGTTTCCTTGTCATAAATGTATAACGTCGTGTGCAATATTATTTAAGAAAAGAAAGAAGAGTGACGTATACCCTTTAACGTTGTAGATATCAAGCAAGGATATTTCACCCATGCTTCACGTAATCTACACGTTATGCCACACAGAACAAAATTTTTAGTTGTAGTTACTAGAAAACTACTATTTTCTTTCGTGAAATACGGCATGAATGAAATTTTATAATTGCTGTGCGTAATTCTGTTTTTTAGATAAGAAAATGACCACCAACAGAATAAACTTTACTTGACAATGAACTTTCCTCCATCAATTGATGTCGGAAGTTAAGGCTTACGTTAGTTACCGCTCAATTATGCCAATTGTAGTTTTATTACCTTAACAAAAGATTGATCAAAGTAACAATAAACGCTTTCTTAAGGACTTAGAAATGATTTATGAATTAAACACTGCAGCCGTGTTATTTTATTCACACAAATTACTTACAACTGTTGGTACCATGTTTAAAAAAAATAGTTCATATTATGATCCTGGAAAAATATTAACCGCTTTTTGTATAACAAACTCTTCCTTATAGGCACAACCTATAGCAGTAATGTTACTCTATATTATAGTTAATATATTAGTATTACATGTAATACTTACCATAATATCTAACAATTTCACTAAATTAATGGCATTTATAATTTCTCATTGCAGTGCATCATTACCCTAGCTCTTCTGGTAATTGATGATGTTTATGCGCTTATCGATTACGTGAGCTTTGTTGAAGCACTATTTACTACTCTTTCAATATCTGGCCTCTTATGGCTAAGGTACAAAAAACCTGATCTTCATCGGCCCATCAAAGTAAGTATAATAATTATAAATAAATTCTGGGTTGTTTGTTACTTATGGAAAATAATTAATTAAAAATGATACAATCTCACAATGAACGTTATATACTACCGTCTCTATGATTTCATTCCTCTATATATAAAATGTAACATATCCGTCTTTAAATTATAACAATTCAAAAATGCAAAGAAGGCAACAAATCCGTATAAAAATATGGTAATTATAATATATATGTAAACAAGATATTTTGTTACAGATGAAAATTTCAAGTTCTAAAACGGTGCAATTGAAAATGATCTTGTTTAGTATTATCATGATAACCATTTTTCTCTATATTGGAACGTACCGCGAAATGCTAATTAATTAAGTTTTCGTGATTTTTCCGATATTTATGTTGCAACATTTTTTATTTCTCAGGTACCTATTCTGTTACCCATCACATTTTTCCTAATCTGTGCATTTTTGGTAACATTGCCATGTTATGTCTCGCCGTGGGAAGTAGGCATGGGTGTTATCATTATTTTATCGGGTATCCCCGTTTACTGGATTTTAATATACCAAAAGAACAAACCTCAGTGGTTCGTCCATGCTTCACGTAAGTAGATTGCACAAGTATGAGTATGATACAGTATTGTATTATATCAATGGAGCTTTTTTTCAAAATAACTTTTCATCTTCTTTTAGACAAATTCACTATGACTTGTGCTAAAATGTTCATGTGTGTGGAAGAAGATAAGAGCGATTGAGAATATTTAGTAGGAAGTCGTCAAGGAAGCTGATGAATATTGAAAAAGTAGTCGCAAAACTACGTAACCGATTACAGCGGAGATTTAAAGCAATGAATGATATTCGAGAACTATTTTGATAGATGACCTTTAAAGACAAGTGCAACTTCTTGAATACAATAAGGAAATTTGAAGAAATGACATTTAATTGTCTTTAGAAGAATGCGGTACATTAAATTTTCAATGCTGTCATAATGACCATAACGATAAATATGGCATATTTAATGACTCTATATAGTTTACAAAAATATTCAATAACTGTATGAGTACAAAATTTATAGTTCAACGTAGTCTCAAAAATTTGTCTTGAGATACTAATGACAATGCCTTGAGAAAGCAACAAACATTAAAATAATGGAAATTTGGGTTATTTATAAGTACTACTAAAATCTGAATTATATTTTATACGATCTAGCAATAGAACTTATCAATTATAAAACAAAGGAAAGAAAATAATATATATATATAAAGAAAAGGAACAAACAAATATGTTACATCACACATGATTATATATACATATAATGTACTTTCTTAAATTCAAATATGGTTTAATGTTAAATTTAAAAAAATGATTGGAGTAATTTTTTTCTCTCTTTTCTAATTTCCATTGTGCCTTTAAATACATATTGAGTAGAGTTGTGATACCTATTTTGACAATCTGAATATTTAGGCCGGAATGGATCTAAAGGTGGGCATTTATAGAAACGTTTGTAATATGATGCTGATACATCGATAGCATATTCTGAAAATATTTAAAAAATAAAACAACACAGAAAGCAATTCTAAGTGAGGATAATGTGGAAATATTTTATGAAGATAAATGTACAGGTTTAAGACAAATTTTTTGTTATGGCTGAATACTTACGAACACTGTAGCAGTTAAAGAGCCAGATTTTGTCGTCACAAATGTACATTACGTGATAAACCTGAGAAAAAATAAAGAGCAACATCACACTATCACTGTACAAACTGAGAAAAGCTGATTGATTGATCAACTACTGAATTATTGCCTAATGCACAACTGTATTTAGCTTACTTATTTGTTCTAAAAATGTAATATATTTACAACATACGTAATTACATGAAAGAATGACGATCATGTTTTTGTTGCCATTCAATGCGCTGTACATTTACCCATCTACCCACTTAATATATTACAATAAAAAATATTATTTTTATGAAAAGGTGTTACACAAGAAATACACGACGTATATACAATTTTAATGTAGCTCAATTTGTATCCACAAATGCAACTGGGATATTAATTAATATTTATTTGGCACGTAATTTATAATACTACGTATTGTATCTAATAAACTATATTTTACTGAAACTAACTGCATCACTATATCTTGAAAACTTTACCTTATATTAATAAGAAACATTTTTACAAGTATGAAGATATATGTTTTTGTAACATTTTGATTCCAAAACAAGAATTTAAAACCTTTTTCCTAACGAACCCAGTTACTAAGATAATAAACCCAGGTAATTCTTATTAACTATATTACATATTCACTTATTTATGTTAACATAAAGAAGTCGGTATTTTTTAATTCACCAAAATTATAGTGAAATAATATGTGGAACTGTATACTTGATACATGTGACAAATCAAACATTGTTATCTAGCATATGACCATTGTTTTTACAAGCAATCCGTATTCCATTAAGGAACTGCATTTATCAAGGACATATAACTATTGATTTTCGTTTGTATTTGAGCTGTTGAAATATTTAATGACTTATGAACACAACAAATTAAAATAAAATACTAGTGCCTTACATATTAATCACAGAAGGAACATGTAATATTTTATATAATTATTGAAATGTAATCATTTGATAAGGATATAAATCTGATAAGTACAAACGTATTGGCAATGATTAAAGAATTGGCTTCCAATGTGTTGTAATTAAATACATACTACTCCTGCATTTAGTTATAAAGAATTATCTATTGTTTACGAAAATTTGGTGAGACATTATAATCGAAGGTAGTTCATCTTGCAAAAACTTATCTATTGCGACTATTTTCAACCCTCGGACAGCGGCGGAGTCACCCAACCATATTTCTCATGAGTCTTTACCAAACTTCTGAAAGACTCCTCAGCCAATCGTCTATTGAATTCCTTGTTCGTCTTTGGTTTCCTTGTAATCCTTCCCTTAAATGCATATCATCAAGTTTACGTAATTTAATAATAAGCATAATATTTTTGTTTCAAATGTATTGACATGTCATTTAATATAGCAAGTATAAAATTAGCAAAATATTAATTGCTTATCGCCTACCTGCCCCTTAACGATACTAGCAGCAAATTGTGTAATGACTGCTTCGACCGTGTATGCACTTGCCCAACCTCTCGGAGTTAGTAATTCCATACATATTGCACCTCCTTCCATCACAAAGCCTTTTTCAATTCGTGGTGAAATTACTCTCATGAAAGGTGGTGAGAATGGGAAATCTTCAGGGAAAACTAGATGCAAAAGTATATGAGGTATGTTGAACTCTTTCATATCTTCTGCTAGTTTACTCTCAGGGTCGATCTTGTGTAATCGTACATGCCACTCATATAAATTGTCATTAACTAATTCCACGGTAAAAGTGGATTCCTGTCGATTCTGTATTCTTTGAATCTCACTAAGTTCCTTCATTAATCTTCGTAAACGCAAGCCTTTTTCAGGCATATTTGTAATTGCTTTCGAACAGTTCTCAGTGGATTTCTTTGTTTTAAAGAAGCAGCTACCATTATGACTGCTACTAGGATTATCCTGCAGCGATCCATCGGATGGAGTAACTGCATCAGGTCGATGATGACGACTTAACAGCCTTCGGGATGGTGAACTTGTTGAACTACTTGCTCCATTTGGTTCGTCGATTTTCTCAGAAGAGCGAAACAATTTACGAAAGGCAGCTACCACTTTCTCCTTTGATCTTGTTGTCATGATTAATACCTTGAATCTTCTGTGCAATCCGCTTAGTCTGAAATAAATTAGTTATGTAATACATAATTTTAAGACATTTACCTAAAACACATTTCAATTAAATGTTTTAAAAATAACCAAAAACTACATGTCACATGTTATGAGTAATAATTATGTATTTAGTGTTTAATTATTATTTTCACATATCAACGATCTACACTGTTTTTAAATGTAAATTTTTAATATTTACAAATTTTACCTTCATTCTGTTTGATGTTTGAAATATTCTTTATCACAAGCACAGGTTTTCAATTAATCATTCAGCCTTACACGAATAAATTTTGTGACATCAATAATTAATAGAACGTACGTTTATTAGCTGTTATATTTCTAAGCTCACGCCTCCATTATTAAAAAAAAAAACTGTCACAGGAAACGCTTTGGGCAGTGTTATTTTGAAATTCATAAGGGACACGTAGCCATATTCAATGTATTCAACTTCACATTACTCATAAGCAAGAAGACAAGAAATGTTCCGAAATTTAGCAAAATAGAACTGACACCTTTTACCAGGACAGAAGTTCACAGTAAATTTAAAGGCATTTTGTAGCCCATCATTAAATTCATGTTGTAATTTAGTATATACGTTATATGTATAAAATAGCATTCACTTATTTTACAAATTTTATTTCTATCGTGTCCAATTCCAAAACGAAATAATTCATGGAATTACTTTTATAACATACACCGGTATGGCTAGCATTTTTAGTGCGTTATATTACCCTAATAATATGACTGATAACGAGAACATAACCAATAATTAAATCCTCTGCAAATTCATGAGAATTGAATTTCTTAAATAACATTCAAGTTGTTTTCTATAATTTAAATAAACTATGAGTAAGTATTATGCTGCGGGTAAATTTTAAAAGTAAAGTAACGTAATTTTCATTTGCCCCTACTGATGAGTTTTCCTGCATACACAGAAATATAACCGGATGCCAATGCATAGGGTTTTCGTCTCTAAACCTAATATTTACAAAGAATCAAATAAGGAAATTATTATATCAATATGTTCATGCTTCTCAAAATGTAAAATATTAACATGCTGAAATGTACGAAATGCCAATTATTTATAATATCAACTTTCTGTTCAGCTCTTAACTTAGAATTATATACCTTTTCTTCCAATTATGTGATAATCAAAATCAAATCACCCGTGTGTTTAACTCGAATATGAAAATAAGAAGTATTTGTTGAATTTAAGGTTCTCTAGTACTGAATTTAGAAAAACTGCAATAATTCAATGTTCGTCACAAAAACTGCCTCTATGGTTCCTATTTTACGTTATTAAAAGTAATCTCATATTGCATTCTGTTGATTAACTATAATTGTGACAATCTGGAAACATCTGATACTTAATAAAAACCTGTTAACAGATTGCATACCTTGAGGATCTAAAAATTCGGGTTGTAACAAATTTCTGGAAAATGAACACGGGAAAGAAATCGTAAAGGCTCGTCCAAAAAAAGATTCGTCGATGTCCATGAATAAAAATGCTTCAACCAGAGGAAAATGGCTAAAGAACGAGGATTGATGCGATTTGGCAAAACACATGTAAAAGGCGTTCTCATTGAACACTGACATCGCATCGAGAATACACGGTCATAAGAATTGCGTACGATTTACGGTGTCTAGAAGCATAAGTTATAATTGGAAGGGACACAGGGCAAAGCAAAGATAATTTGGATAATTCGGAAAAACGATCGGTGTACTTTTTCCCGTTCCATATGGCTAAGACGAAGCATTCCACAAAAAATGTCCACATTTTAATAACCCCTTTAATTTTTGCAACATATGTACATCGTCATCGACAATACCGCCCGATGAGAATCAATTTTATTATGACACTGGTATTCCAGGGTCAACTCTAATCCAAAAAATGCTTTAACTAATTTATTACCCTTATTTAACCGGAGCGATTTGAGCCAGACATTATCGACTCGACGATTCCAGTAATTTAACTCACCTTGTCTTGAATCTCGGCGACGCATACTTTCCTCCTGGGAAGGATTACTTCGACGTATCTCCATTAAGTTGTGTCCGCGTGAAAGTGCAACGAAATACACAGCGCAGTCTCATTCGTCATTAAACGGGGAACTAGGGCGAGGCTTCTGTACCGAACTATCCCGAGGAAACAGTGCCATACATTTAACAAGAAGCGGCCGAGCCCGCCCCACGGTCGAGCTTACTGTTGTGCCTGGGCAGGGTAGTAACCGAGGCTACGCCACTGGCTGCTGCCCAGCACCCCCATGCGCTCTTGCGCATGCCGCTCTGTGCCGCTCTGCGCCTACGCCAAGTTCAAGAGGGTAGCTATCATAGAGCTTATAGAAGTAGCGGTGAAGGTGGGGATGTCCGCAACATGGTAAACCGAGAGGTCTCTTTTTCTCTCTAAGCGCTGCTGGAAGTTCTTCCTGCGCAAGTGTTGCATATACCTATATACATGTTGTGACTGCCCTATTTCGCATAAATATGTAAAACCTACAAAAAGAGATCAGAAAAAAGCACCAAATTAATATTCGTTCATTATAAGGAACTTTTCCAATAAGGAACAAGTATCTTCGCATGTTTTTGTTATTCGACCTATCGTTTAAATTTCGTGTATCAATACTCCTATGCGCGCGCAGGGTACATACATACTTCCAGCATCACTTAAAGAAAGACGGTCTCATTCCCTGTCTGACCTCCTGAGGACTATTCTCGAACTCGTAACGACATGTGCAATGTCGTCTCAATTTCTGTAAGCTCTATGGTAGCTGCGAGGCGGCGGCGGTTTCGTCCCTCGGTCATACTACCACATACGACCCTCTCGCACCCCTCGCTAAGAGACCAGGTCTGTTTCGCCCTCCCTTTCTCAAAAAATTAACGCACTATAAGTGCTTCTATCCCATACGTAGAATTGCTAACATGTTCTTCGTACCTTTTTCAAGATAAAACGATAATCTTTTTCGGATAAAACGAACTGTTTTCCAAAATTTAAACATTAAAATTATTAAGGTGATATGAAAGAGTCATTCTATATATGTAAAATGTAAAAACATTTATAAAAATTTTCACCCAACTGGGCACACCGAATCATTTGAAATTTCAGTAGGTGATTATGAAGACCCTAAAGAAGAACGTGGTGCTCATGAAATTTCATTTTTCCAAAAAATATGTATTCTTGGTTCTAGCCTGAGATAAATGAAAAAAATTGGTTTTCAAAAATGAAATTTCATGAGCACCGCGTTCTTCCTTTGTACATACCTTTATAATCACATGCTGAGGTTTCCAACGATTAGTTGTATCCATCTTGGAGAAAAGTTTTATAAATATCTTAACATTTTATATATATAGAATAACCCTTTCATATCACCTTAAAGGGTGTGAAAACGCAAGCCCGCCATACATGTGTTATAAAAAAAATATATACTTTTGTATAATATTTGTTCGTTATTCAAAAATTTGGATAACAATTCTGTGTATCGAAAATATTTTAGCAACCTACGATACAAAATTCGGTTAGCAAATCACAATTTCATGAAACTCAATATTTACATTCTACATAAATGCCTATAAGGTGAAATATATACTTTAATCAAATGAAACGTATTAGAACGGTAGATATTATCCCGATTCGAAAATATTTTAGCAACCTACGATACAAAATTCGGTTAGCATATCACAATTTCATGAAACCCAATGTTTACGTTCTACATCAATGCCTATAAGGTGAAATATATACTTTAATCAAATGAAACGTATTAGAACGGTAGATATTACCCCGATTCCATTTGATTCCGTCAAAGAAATCTGTAATTTAGATTTTTACTAAATGTCCGAATGTTTTAAATTAAAGACGTGCTATATATTTTTAAGACATCCAGGTGCTTCGGAGTGTAGCGTTCCTAGAGAAACAGGACGGTATTCCAATTACTTCTGACTCACCTCACGCGAGAACTCTTGCTAAGCAACCTTATACGTAAACTCAGTTGGAGACAAGTGAACTCGGGTTCACTACCGGAAAACCAAGCGTATCGATCCACATTCATACTTGACTCTAATGCCGGCATTATTACTCTGATAATTATAATTTAGCAGTTATCAGGTATATGCCTGAATAACCTTCATTGTTATAACTCTCTATGGCCATTAAAATTACATATATTTATACAGAAGGAAGCATACACACTGATTATTGGCATGCAACATTAAAGTCACGGGAAAAAAAACGTTAATATAAAATTATTCGGTCTGTAAATTTCTCAGTGAATTAAAAAATATTTATTATTTCTGTACTCCTCGGAAGAGAGAGTTTTATTTACTAAATACTTGAAGACCCAATATTAAATGTATTAGGATTCAAGAGATGAAAACTTCGTAGCATATTTATAATTGCAATATACTTAAATGAAACAACGAACAGATCGTAAACAAGAACGTAGATACTAAAATTTTTTTGGTATAATTAACTCAATTATGAACATGACAAAACCTTGCACTAAAATCTATGGAGTTTATATTCTCCTGGACATATTTTTGATCTTATTAAAATAACCACTTTTGTGGATTATCTTGTTTTGTTATATATTATTACCCTGTGTATAAACAACTTGAAACCTAATACAGAATTGCGGAAGATATTTAAAAAAAAAACATGTTTTCAAAGTGATAGTTTATTTGACTTTTTCTGGTCTTACAATATAACTTTTTAGATATCCACCAGTAAAAGCAATGTATAAACAGCGCTTGGTTATATAAATAAAAACGAGAAGAATGGATACATATTGCATCCATGCCCATTTTAGATCTTCCCAAATATCAACCTGATAATATATTGGCACTTGTAAATAAAATATTTCACCTTGAACTAGAAATTCTCTGTCGTTGGAGAATCCAGTATGCCATGTGAATTCAGTATTCGTAATTTGGACTGTAACTAAAATATTTTATTATATAATTATATGAAAATTAGTGAATAATCATTTGAGATATGGCATTTATATTTAATCATTTTTAATTACTTACGTGCTTTTTTTGCATTATCAATTAGTAATTGATGTACGGTTAAGTCATCTAGGTCAATACTTTGATTGTATAAATTATGAATATTATCTTTTTGCAAAACACTTTTTTGGCGTAACTTTAAATCGCTTACGAAATATATTTCTTGGACAGGATATGGAAGAGTATAATCCACAACAGCCATAGTTTCCATTGCAGTCTGTACAAGCTTCTAAAAAAATAATATTATTTTTCACACACTATATAATATAGAAACTTTAATACAAAATACACATATTATTAACCGTTAGATTGTAATTAAAAAACAGAAGTAGCTTCATAGAGCGAATGGGTACATCTGTATAAAAATGTGCTTCAAATTTTAATACATCTTTTAATCCATCGTTATTTGTATCAGCCTCTTGAACCTATAAAAAAAACTATTTTAAGAATATTCACATAAAATTAATTAGACTATTGAAGTAATAAACTACCTTAATCAAAGTACAATTATCTGCAATTTTATTCTCTTTGTAAGTTGCAAAAGTAGAACAGACAACTGAGTTGGAATCAAAGCCACTCTCAGCGAGTAACAGGTACTTCTGCTTAAATGTAATTTCTGGTATTTCCATATACATACTATTTCGTAGCCAAAAACCTGAAATAAAATACATGCAATTCATAATCTGCTATAGTAAATGTATACTCATAAATGTCAAAAGTGTGCAATATTAACATATTTGAAGACTGACAAGCCAAAATATTTAAACCCATACCTCCACTAAGGTGAACAATAACCAGTGGTCCTACTAATGTTATAATTGATAACGCTAGAACAAATAATGTACTAAATGAACATAATGTGGTTTTGTATTTGTAATTAATTGAACTTGTAAAAATATCAAAAATCGGCATAGTTCTGAAACTGTCATTCGTTTCTTGTTTGTCTTGTTAATCATTTATAATACAACAATCATATCTTAGCCAATATTTAAGATTATGACAATAAATTACTAACAGAGACGAGTTGAGTGATTGTTTACGAGCAGGGTCGCGCGATCGCGTTCTGTGCTGCGTTTGGTGGAGAATGCGGGCAACTCGTGCACTTACCTCCTGATACTCCCGAGTGGCGACCCAACTCAGGGATCCTCCTCATCTGTGCTCCCAACTCATCCCTGAATTGGGCCGCCACTGAGGAGTTTCAGGTGACAAGTGCGCAATCGCGCGACCCGGCCCATGAGCAATCTCCCAACTCATCTGTGTGACAACAAACTTCCTTTAACATCTTTGAACATATTTTTAAAAATCCAGCAAACTCTGCGGCAATGAACTACCCATGATGACTGGAAAAAAAAAATCGGATCCTGTTAAGTAGTCTACATAAACCTGGAAAGGGGCACAAAAGGCCAGGCAAAGAATCCATGAAGTCTGAGATTGGACAGCGAATAAGTTATTAAAAGTCAAGAATATTAATGGAATGTACATCGATCTCATCAAATTTACTGAACTGGTATTTTTCATATTACTAACAAGGAAACATTCTCAAGTGTCCGCCGCCGATCTTATTAATTTTCATATATGCTGAAGAACATAAAAATCTAACAAACACGTGTCTTTTTTTTTATCTCCAATGGTCCACATTTAAGGGGTGAAACTGCCTTCCAAAGTTTGGCGAAAATTCGATTTTTATATTAATTTCCGTAGAAGCAATGGAGGGATTTCGACGAAACTTGGAATAAACGTATTCTATATAAGGACGGTGAAAACATTATATTGTCCAGTAATGCTACACCACCTGAAGGGGGTGAACTACCCTTCAAGCTAAATTTTGTTGTAATATCTATTAAATGCACTCCTACTTAAATTCCACTTACGCTATGTGATTGCTCACGAAAAATGAGGAAATACGTGTTTTTTGCTTTTTGCCAATAAATATTTATACATTGGTTGAAAAAAAGGGATGTAGGTAGTATATTGGTATATCCCGACTATCTTTATTGGATTATATTGTCATCGAATCTGTTGCAGAACAATTTCAGTCTCTTAAAGTGTTTTTTTAATTTATTTATAAATAATTGCATGTGATTTGAAGAATTAACACGTTTACACGATTTATGTACAATGAATTGATTACGATATAACCCAATAAATATAGTCAGGATATAACCACCTTCATCAACTTTTTTCAACCGATGTATAAATGTTTATTGGCAAAAAGCAAAAAACACGTATTTCCTCATTTTTTGTGAGCAATCACATGGATTAAGTGGAACTTAAGTAGGAGTGCTTGTTTAATAGATATTACAACAAAATTTCACTTGAGTAGTTCACCCCCTTCCGGTGGTGTAGCATTATTGGACAATATTGTGTTTTCACTGTCTGTATATAGAATACGTTTATTCCAAGTTTCGTCGAAATCCCTCCATTGCTTCTACGGAAATTAATATAAAAATCGAATTTTCGCCAAACTTTGGAGGGTTGTTTCACCCCTTCAATGTGAACTATTGCAGATAAAAAAAAAACACGTGTCTCTTAGGTTTTGGTGTTCTTCAACATATATGAAAATCAATAAGATCAGCGGCAGACACTTGGGAGTGTTTCCTTGTAAGTATGCAAAAATGCAGATTGGACAAAATATAATCAAAGTGATTTTTGGCCGTTTCTTCCCCGTCAATCCCGACAAAACGGCATAGAGAAAAATAAGAGGGACAACGTGGCCAAAACAATTAATGACTGTCCGTTCAAAAGAACGGAAGGCCATTGTAGTTGCCCTCTTCTTCGGCATATAGCCTCTTCGATTCTTGCAGTCTCTTCGGGCAGAGCCCCCTACGTTTCGAACGTTTGGCAACTCCTGATTTTTCGGATTAAAAAAATCACTCCGAGAACAGATTCAAAAACTAGCAAAACGACGACCTACGATCCGAGGATCCGCAGTCCGTGCGTATTGCACATTTATCCGGATTACCAAGCGCGGTCTAACTAATTTCATTTCTGAAAGGAAATTGTCACAATGGCGGGCGTCCGAGAGTACTTTGAGCGGATAATTTAGTTTCCAGACTACCATTAATTACTCGCAGCAATCTAGACGTTCCTTATTAAAGAAATTGCATGGCTCCACTAAAATTGATCTTGTAAGAATCCGAGGCGCAACCCTTTAATGTCAGGAAGAAGCGATTTTGTGAAAAAAATTTGATGTCCTAAATTGGTCTGAAAATTTTTGGAATATTGATGAGAAATACAACAAGAATTTTTTCCGGGAAATAATTCTTACCGCCGGCATAGAACCACGGGCGCAGGACGGACATCCTTCGCTCTTCCGGAAGAGCAAACGGTGGAAAAGTATCCTAGGTCCAGGATCTCCCTCCAAACCCCCAGGAAGAAATCCCACCCTGGCCATGTCTGCTCACATTTAGACGTTTACTCCAGACAACTATCCAATCTCCCTAGATATATATAAAAGATCAATCACATTCATTCTAACACAGTCACTCCACGATTCTCTCACACTCTACCCGGGGGCAAAGAGCCTTATCCTAGAGAGCGCATTCCGGGATGCCTCCGACCGCCGAGTTCAGTTTTCGCACGCAAACGCATCATCGATTGCCATCGCCGTGTAAATTTTAAAAAATTTAATGAATACATGCAATCGGAACCCGAATGGCAATCGAAGAAGTTTTCAAAAAAAGTTTTTTTAGCACGCCTTCTAGCCCTGACACATTCAACTCGCTCCTAGAGGAGTCGATGGGCGAGGGCCAGCAAGGAACGCAGCTACAGGAAGAGACACTTACAGTTGATGAAGCTGAAAACCACCTAACTTTATTGATTAAATATCGAACTACCGATGAGCTACCGACTCTACACGACATTGATATTTCACAATTTCTAGTTAAAAAAAGGCCAAGCCCAGCTCACACTACGGTCCCAGGGTAGTGAAGGCTTGGCTGAAGAAACCTATAATTTCTGAAGTCGGCCCCCTCGTCGAGATGGCGGTTCTAAAGCGATCCGCGAGAACATTGACGTGCCACCTTGACTCGGGTTCGGCTCATCGCGAGACTCTTCTCCTGCATCTTTTTCGAATCAATTTCAATCTAGAAATTCCGCAGAACCGGCGGCCTCGAAGTCGGAGGGTCATCCGACTTCCCGGCGCTCGATTAAGCATCGCGAACCGAAAACTACCGCGGACCCGGGAGAGGTCTACCCCTAGTCTCAATTGATACATAAAAAACAAAGAAAATTAGCGCGGCCGCTCGAGAGAGGTCGTCTCGTCGACTCGTGGTTCCTCGAATAAACCGGCAAACATAGAACCGGCCCCCGTGCCAGCACAGACCTTATACCCTGCGACATAAGGAGGCCGGAGGAACGAAATATGGAAACTCACTGACGAGGCGTTTCATCTGCTTCACGCGATACTCCCCCAGGAGATCCCTCCCGAAGGAGATCCGGGGTTTCTGGCTTTGGCTCCATCTGCCTCCACCTTGAAGATGTCATTGGCTGCTTTTTACCTCTGCTTCCGCTTCCTCTTCTTTCATTGAACGATATTTAATCCTTGGCACTCGCGGCCCGAGGTCACTGTTGCGCACTGACCGCATTGTCTTCGAGTCCCCCAAGCCTCGACACGGAAATCCGGCGTACACCACCCCTTCATCTACGGAGCCTCCCTTGAACCTCATTACGAACGAGAATGCCGTCAATGGAAATCTAATGCGCCCCGTTGGTTTAAATTTAGAATGTAGCACGTAATACGTCCCTCATATTCCTCGCCATTCTCTTAATTTTCATGGCATCTTATCACGACAGATTCTACGCGATCCCTGGCCGCGACCCAGCTACCTGAATGGGTGAAGCCGTCTTCTGTCGAGCCGCCGAACATGCGTGTAACCATATCAGTCGGTCTGAACAACTTTCATCGACTGGGTGAGACCAATCGATTTGCTTACAGGCGTGCTCGGCGGCGCGACAAAAGACGGCTTTGCCTAATCAGTGAGCCGGGTAGCGGCCCAACTCAAAGATGAATTGGGAGCAGAGATGAGGAAGATCCCTGAGTTGGGCCGCCACTGAGGGGTATCAGGTGGCAAGTGCGCGAGCCGCCCGCATTCTCCACCGAGGGCAGCACAGAACGCGATCGCGCGACCTAGCCGTGAGCAATCTTCCAACTCATCTCTGTCTTTACTCGCTATTCTTAAAGTAATATCTAAATCTCAGCCAATCAGAGGAAGCTAAGAATTTGGCATAACAATATGGCTAGCTTTTCATTGTTTGTTCCTACATGTTCCCTCCTTACTTACTTCGGCACTCGTCTATGGTCCGTTTCTGACATCTTCCATATTGGAACGTAATTTACTGGTTTTCTAGGATTTGCTGCTGTAAACTACTTGGTTTACGTAATATACGTCAAAAACTTAGAAAAACGCGAAATTACTCAATTCTGTTCCGCTCTCTTTATTACTATTTCCCCGGTATCTTCTGTCAATCAAATTGTAAGAATCCTGTTGTTATGCGTAATTGAAACTTTTGAACTGATGGTTTAATTTTGGAAGTGTCCCAAAAACCGGTCAAATTTTTCTGTAAATTATAAGTAGTACAAATGTAAACAAAGGACAATGGGAGTACAAGATATTATATCTTACACATTGTTTACTAATCCGATCAGTTCTGGAGCGTATTCTTATGCAAAAACTGCATCAATCGCTGTGAGTTTAAGAAAAGTTAAATAATAAAGTATTTTCGTTTTTTGCAACATTACATGAGAATGTGCCATATTTAATCGAAAGTCTGAACTTTGTAACTTTGAAGAATGAAATGTCATGCTATCTCTGTGCAATTCAGTGTGAACAAACGGTATACTACAGTTCTCACCCTATAAAAAATTACATTTTTTACTTAAATCTAATAAGTATTGATTTTCATAAGAAAGTTTAAGTAACTTCTTTGCATGATTTTGTGGTGCTCACGACAGGATCCTTATGTAGCAGGATTAAACATTTAGCTCCTTTTTGCAGGTTAGAGATTATATAGGACTACAACCGAGAGTGCAAGTTAAAATGGTAACTCCGGATCCAGTTCCCTTGTGGAAACTAGCAGCTGCATCCGGGCCTTTTATAAGACTTGCAGCTATAAGTGGAACAGCTGCAATTATTTTGGGTGCAACTGGCACACACAGTAAATATTAGTTCGTCATCATTTTAAATATTTTTTATTTCACATAATTCTGGGTTACTTGGTAATTCTATTAGGAAAATATCCAGATGAAAAAGGCCAAGACCAAAAGGAAGTTTTCAAAACAGCCTCCTTTTACCATTTTGTGCACACGTTGGCCTTGATGGGATTACCTTTATGCAGGGCACCATACATAGTAACTACTTTTATCTACTAATCATTACATCGATCAACATGTATGGCTTACATTTTTGTGTTTATTTTTCATTTAGGCTGGAACATTTATGGTATCAGGAATAGTACTGTTCTGTGGAAGTTGCTATTACTATGCATTCACAGGTGACAAAAGGTTCAGCCGTTTCACACCAATCGGAGGCACGTGTTTTATTCTAGGATGGTTGGGAATGATATTTTAAACATCAAAATATCTCGTATGATTCAATTTTTGTAATTCACAATTATTTTCTGTAAATTGTTGAAATATATAATTCTTGTGAAATTTCGTTTGATTTTTGCCACAAATAATCCTTATGGATATAAAACATACATAATTTGAACAGGATTAAAATTGTACCTGGAAACCGCCATTTTGAGATTCAACCTTTATGAATACCTGTTAGGAATAATTTTCCGAGTAATATATCAGTTACGTCGCCTTTTATTGAAGGAATCCAAAGAAACAAAAATTTCCAATCAAAGTGAAATTCATTTATACTAGGGAATCGATATAAATATAACTTTCGTTTATAATGTTAATATGTTGTAATTCTGGATCGTATCCTGAATCGTTACACCCTTAATGGGACGAGTATCTAAGACTTGACTTCTTGCACATATTTTTTTTTTTCACATTGATACTTTCCAATTTCGTCATACGCATTACCAGCCGTGATTCCGTCGTGAAGCGATTCATGACATAATAAAATAACGAAGTGTTCCGTTTTTCAAAGGCTATATAATAACACGTTTGAACCATTGCCAAATGTAACAAACATCATCGTACACCGCCAGACCAGACGATGTATCGTCCACGGTGTTATAATTCGATAAGCTATATCTTTAAAGTATCATTACATTGTAACATATTAACTAAATTGTATACAGCTATAAGTTTGGCAAGTAACTTCTTTACACGTTACGCAACTTAAATTCGAATCTACTAATTCGGCTATCGTTTCAACAATTAAGCTCGCGTATGTAAATAACAGAGGTTGTCAAAGTGTGGAAAATCGCAAAATGTGACAAAAGTGAAGAAAGCCTCCTTTTGTCCGACCGTTACACTGATTCGTACGAACTATGATGAATATCAATGAGGCGGAAACACGACGTTTGATAACGACAGAAACACGATGTTTTCTTTGTATCGAAGGTTTCGGCTGGGTTCTCTGCATAACGGTGACACGGTCTGGCGATGCTGGCAGCATCCTTACATAACTAATTAATAATTCAACTATCTTATCTACGATAGAAATATGAAATAATTATTGATGATACATTGACCGAAAATTAAACGTAGAAGTGTTTTGCACGAAGGTTCGCACGAGTGCTCGGAACGTTGCCGCGAGAGCAAAGCAGCGAACGCAGGAGATCGATTACAAAAGATGAGACGTGAATCGGAGGTACGGCATGATATTACGGGTGCTTGCTGGGTTCTTATCAGACGTATCGGTCCACCTCGAACATACGCTCTACTTCGATGTGACCCACGTGTATCCCCACGAATGACTAATGATTTTGTCTCGTATACGCATTTTGCATTACGAGATGGTGAGTGGCGACGCGAGGCAGCGTGCGATGCGCTGATGATATAAAACTTTCCTTACATCTATTCAACGTCCTCTCGATCTATAATTTAGTTAGTATCGGTGTTTTTCTGTTGCGGTATCGCTATTGTTACTATTATATAAAGTATTTATGTATAGACTTGTGTATATCAAACTATGTCGAGATAATTATATATATTTACAGGTTTGTTTTTATTATCGTAACACACCGAAGACGAAATCCCTGGAGCCAGGCCACCTTCAAATTCACCCGACTCACGGCCAACCGCAACGGTCGAGTTTCTCCTCCGCCCCTGCTCTCCCCCCTTCCTCACTGCGGTCAAGGACACAAATGCGATCTTTGCACTTTGTCTGATAAAATATATATCACAATCCAAATTGGTACACGTAAAAAAATAAACACCAAACTGGAATTTATTTCAATGAAATCCTTGGGTAAATGAAGAAAAAAAATCTGTTCGAAGAGAGCCATACAAAGTGTAAAACTTCTCGTTGCCGAATGCTTCGTATAGCGTTCTCTTTCCTCGAACTCTTCGACAGGCGCCGTGTCCCCATCCTCGATTCAAAGAGCAGGAAAATGATCGAGATGAAACACGTTGACACTTCCTTCCATCTCTAGGAAAGATGAAACGAATGTTGGCCTTCCTGGGCAGCTATTCGGAGCTTCTCTCGCATTATTTCCAAAGTAGTATAATCGGGCAGTTTCAAGTAGTTGACACAGGTCATGACAGATGGTAAAAAGTCGTCCGTCTTCATGGATGGATCGAAGGTTTTGCGGACTATCGTTAAGGGTGGCGTTAAACTCTTAAATCCTGTAAAATTGATCTCGCATGAATATTGGACTCTTAACTTCGAGCACTTCTCAATTAATTCTGTATAAATAAATTCATCCCAACCGACCTCCAACAGGCAGTCGTGGAGATCCCGTGACGAACTGGATAAACTGCCTTTGTTCTTCGCTATTATATTCAGCCATTACTTCAAACAAGAAACGAATCGCCCGAGAGTCCGGCGTGTAGCCGTGATCCGTTCGGCAACATTCGAGCAGAGTTTTAACGTCCCATTGGCCACCTGTTTGAGCATGGCCACAGAATACCGCTTCCAACTCCTCCGGGAAGAACAGTCTTAACTGTGCTGGGGGAAAAACGGACTCGAAGCCTTCTCGAAATGCTTCCATTTGCCTGAATACTCCTTCGTACAAGAACCAATGAACCACCAGCTGTAAAGAATTGAAATCTCCATTTGTATCGGTTCTTATCCGCATGGTGTTTATTTTTATAATAGCTACATACCTTGATATATTGGTCCAGATTATGTATCGTGACTGGTATCTCGCCACCATTTTTCCGTAACTCGACGTTCTCGTACCCAGGTAATTCAAAGACGAGACCGAGATCGCTAATTAAACAGCCATCCAAGTCCAGTGACTCGATTAGTTGAATGCGTTCGTTAGACCTAAGAGTTTGATCTCTTTCGATGGCTTCCTTCCGTCTTACGACATCTTGAAGTTTAGTGAGTGTACGATGGACATCGGGACAGACATAAGCCAAATCCGCAAGGGTCAATGTATGCTCCTCGGCCAACAACCATCGATAGAAGGTCAAACTGAATGGTAGATCCAGCTGTAAAGTAAATGTCAATTTTATGTTACAGGTGAAATCAGTGGTTCGCATTAATGGCTGATAAACTTACCATTCTAGAGTCATAAATTGCCTTTGCCATAAATTTCCCAAGGAACTTGAACTTCGTCTTCAGTTTAGCCAAGTGCGATACTTTGGTATTCCAAGGGATTGGAGTGACAAATAGACCGTGTGGAGAATGCACGTAACCCGATTCGCTCGGTGTTGAACTACCATGCCAAAGTTCTAAATCCGCTCGCTGCAGTTCACGAGAAACTAGAGCGTAGAACTCTAACGTGGGGCCGAGACCAGTACCGACCTAAAAATAATAATCACACAATATACACGGGTTCCACGATGATAGCGCTAAATAAGTATGATAGTTACCTCGTTGACGTATTGCACCTCAAGCAACGCTTTACTGGACGCCAAATCCTGTATAACCTGTTCGGCCTGTTTCAGAATATCCGTTCGTGATATTGTTCGTTTCCTCCTCTCAAGTCGAGGCGTAACGCGTTCTTGACTATCAGACCCAGAAAGCTCAGGGGCGGAATCTAAAAGTCGCTGCAATGCCCTATCTCGATCGAAGGATGTTGCATACAGTAATAATTGTCTAGTTTCGAACGGAAAGAGAAAAGGGCTGCAAGGAAAAAAAAAGTGCTATCAGTCTAACTATTTTATCATCCGTTTAATTATAAAGTGGAAAAGAAAATATACTCACCAAACAGTGGCGATTTGTTGTAACCATGGCGGAAGGTTTCCGGTCATGATAACCAAAGGATCCTGTAATTGTCTACTCGCCTTTGCAGCGATCTTATTATTAATAAAGTCTTGAGGAGATAAGAGACTGATACTCTTTATATGCGGAAACAAAACACCCCAATGTCGGTTCAAAGCATGCAGAAGACGTAGTAGGCACAGGCCGTCGACGGAGGCATCAGTGATCGTAACTACAGGAGGCAAAACAGGTGCCAAGTACGAAGCTAGTGGACAACGCGGCGGCGGAATTGTCCCTTCCAACCAAAGACTGTCTTCTTTCCTTTTTGAACTAATTTTCGTACTCTTTCCTTTGCCTTTTCTGCTGCTACTTTGAGAACTCGAGCCAGGTTTGGGGGATGTAGCGATTTCTTCTTCGGGCACAGGCCTTCATAAAGTGTAAGAAAATTCGTATATAATGTATTCGTATTAATAACAACAACAACAATAACAACAATAATAACAACAACATATTCGTATATAATATATAAATAACATAATTAAACGCGTGTGTTATTTAAACGGTGGGCCTTTGAACCGTACCTGTAATATATTGTATGCGTTTGAACCCAGACAGCATCGTGCCCAAGAGGAGGTTCACTATCTGCCTCGGCCTCGGAATGGTCAACCCCAGAGCAGCCGAACTGTCTTACTGCCTGATAGACGGTCATATTGAACGGTAATATTTCGTCTCCGATCAAAAATTGGAGCTTATGCTTCGCCGATCCTTGGCTGATCACTACCGCTGCCTATAAAATCATGTACAAATGTTTATCATCGAATGAAATATATATTGACTTTACACAACTGTCCCTAGGCGTAATGTAGTCTTTACCAATGTATCATCTATATCATCTTCGCTATTGTCATCATCACTGACCATGGACTCAGCATCTCTGATTCTACCATACCCTCGAACCATCAAGTATCTTTCTATAGCTTGAACCAAAGCTAAAGGATCTATTTTAACGGTACCTCCTTTCCACTGCTTGAGATTGTTGCAGTCTGGATGCCGTTGAAGATTGCACTGTAAAATCATTATTTATTAATTGAGTATCGTCTGAGACCTGCCTACCGATTATTCATACCTTTAATTGGTGGGTATTGAAAAATTTGAGTGCACTCGTGCCACCTCGACCAGCACCAGAACCTGCTGGCAAGTCATGCACTTTGACTGGAAATTGTTCAAGCTGTGCAACACAGCTGTTTAACTTGGCAACCAAAGCTCCAAACGCTCCAGGGTTTAAGTCTACTACCGTGTTATTATCTTGCTGTATCTGCAGCAAAACAGTCATCTATAAGATATATTATGAAAATATGCAGCAATAAAAAAAAGCCACTTACCGTAGACTCCGCAAACAGTTTCCAAAACATACGAAGTCGATCATAACGATTACCAGGAGCGTCGGTAGTAGTGAGGAAGTTAAGTAAAGCCTTAATCAGACCGCTATAATTCATTTCAAATGGTGAAATATCACTTTCCAAAACTATATCACGTAATTCCGTAAGAGCCGATAGCATTTCGTCTAATTCCTGTAAAAGCATAGAATAATTAGTTCATAAAAGTCTACTCAGGAGATTTATAGTCAATATCCTTAAGTGAGATTAAGTTCATAGAATGTTTAAATTATGTAAACAATAATGTTGGTTATGTACATACTGTTATCTCAAATAATCGGCAGTTGACAAAGCAATTATACTTATTCAAATTTCTCAAGAAATAAGTACTAAAGTGAGATGCGTGAAGTTTACTCAAAAGATTACACCACAATAAAAGTTTGATCATTGCGATTTTTCCACATTTTTTTCGGAAAATGGAGAAACAGTAAATAGAACATTAGTTTAATAAGACTTTGTTATATAGGTGTAAAAGAACATGTACACATCTTTTAAAACACAAAGTGACGGCTATAGAGTAGTTTTGCCGCAACAACCTATATTCAGGTAACCCTCGTTACGGTAATGTCGATTACGGATAGTTTTTTTGAGGTGGGACAAAAAACAAAAATTCCTCATTTCTACTGCATAGCACTTATTGGGCTAGTGTGAAAGATATATAAAAGATAAGATATAAAAAATACTGATTTATGTGAAAATAAGATACAATTGAAAGAAAAATGTTGATATTTACCAAAAAAGGTTGTATAAAAAATATTTGTAGCAAAAGCAGTTTTAAATATGTCACAAAAGAATGATCATGTGAAAGTCCGAAGTCTATTGGATAAAAATTGCAGACACTATCGACGCCACTGACATTAAAAATATAACTTTGAGAGAAACACATTTTTTCGTGTTTGGTTTATGTAATACAAGACAAATTGAAATTTATCCTTAATACAAAGTCATTTAAAATTCAAGATTTTCTATTAAAATCAATAGGATATTGTCTATATTTTTCTCCTTTCATTCTGCATATTTGCATGATTTAGCGGTGACCGTTAAACAGTTAATATAACGTGCAAAACTTCTAAGCTAACTTACGTTGGACTGTAGACGTTGTATTGCAGACGTGAGCCGTGCAAGGACAGTGAGTGCAGGATGTGTACATGGTGAGTCGTCCTGATATCTGGACAGAAACTGCGATGCCTGTTCACGAACCCAAGCTTTCGCTTTGTCCCGATTTCCTCCTGTTAGACTTGGATTACTGGGCGGTTTCGCTAGATTCGTGGAGGAGCTGGAATCGCGTTTATCACTCGTGGCACTAGAAGTCGAGGATTTTCTTCCCCACCTAGCAGGATTGAGATTCCCCAAAAATCTATTGTTCTTAGGAGTAAAACCAGTGAACAAGGAATCGGGTTGTTGAGGTTGTTGTGGCGTAGTTCCACCCAACCTTGGAAATCGGCCTTTTTTATTTTGGCGTTTCCTCTTCAGAACATCCCCAATTCTTCTGAAGGAGAAAATAATAATGAAAATAATAACAACTGAGTTCAAGACTTGACAATCCTACAAAATTAACTATTTTTGTTTTTTGAAACTTCTAATGCATACTCACAAGTGAGCACTCTGTGGCGTGCTTGTATCGTCAACACTGACATTCAAGTCAGTTCTACTACGGGTCTCCATAGTAGCAGCTAGGCTCGGTTTTAACTGACTCGTAGCGATTGCGCCAAACAAAATGTTACCATTTGTCGTTGGAGATGCTACGGGAGATGTGGCACAGCTCGAAGATAACGTCATGGTGGAAGAGAGCGGTGTGTTTGATGGGCCAGGTTGTGGACTTGGCAATGATGTACCTGGACAAATGGAAAATCAATTTCATAAGGAAAATCGCAGTTTGAACTAATAGTACCAATAATAGATATTAAAGGTGCCTTAAATTCAAATATACATCCATTATACAATTTTACTTAGCCTGATTATTTATAATGGCGAAACGTTTACAACTCTCTGTATCTCTTCTTCCTGATCAAGTTTTATACTTTGTAATTTCATTAACACATTTCTTTCTGTATCTAGGTTATTTTTATTAATGAATTTAATTTTGTTTTAACAATTGAAAACTAACATTGCCTGACCGATGTAACGTGGACGGTCGTGTAGTGACTCTGACAAAATATGATGGCTACTGAATGGATATGGAATGGATGTGTGTCAGTCAACTTTAATATGTTCTTGAATTTAGCGTACTAATTGATTCTTTGTCAGCTACGAAATTTCATGAGATTGCTTTAGCAAGTTACATTACCGGAAGGACACTTAGGTGGTGATACGCCAAGAGGTATATCAGGATCAGCCAGTTGCCGAATTTGGTGCAGCACTCCCTCTCGATGAAAGTGTACTCCGAATACATGTGGTAATCGTTTCATCAGAATACTTGCCATTTGCAAAGCCCCTATTACTATCCGTAAATCCTGAGATGCCAACATTCCTGCTATATGGGATGATACTACTTGATTCTTTAGTACATCCTGTCCGGAAAACGAATTTCATTTAGTATTACACGAAATTAAATTATATAATGTCCTTACAATAACAGTGTCATTCATTTTCATCCAAATACTAGTTTTTGTGCTACTTACTTTTAATAGATCGGTAGAAGCATAATAGACCATACGCAGTAGCGCACGAAGGCATTTACACTTTACAGCAGGACCAGCGGAGCTGCTGTAAACTTCGTACAGCACCGAAAATAGCGTTCGAATAAACGATACCAACCATTCGTTAGTTTCTATGACTGGAGGCACGACATCCATGCTGTGAACAAAAAATCGCGTTATAATGCATGCCCAACATAATTGTATATGCGTTAAATAATTTTGTTGCCGTATACCTAGACGAACACGTTGGACTTTTTCCTTCAGCCGGGTTGGCATTCACTCTACGAAATATACTTCTCGCCATTCCAATGTCTTCATTGATTTGTTTCATCACAGTCAGATCTATCGTGTACGTGCGTCCCAATGTGGACAAACATATTTCATCCTCTCCATTTTGGAAAGCCATCTAACAAATGTGAAAATAATGTATAATTTTTCTACACTTTTCATAACATTAACAAACACGAAGCAAAATACCTCTATAATCCTGGAATCAATTGTGTTGAAAGGATGGCAACAATGTCTCTCATCGCGCCATTCCCAATGCACCGTTTCCTGTTGATTGCCTGTCCTCTCTAGTAAACTATTTACACTGAATATACCGTCCGTTGGCAAAGGAGGCATAAGCTCTTCGATCAGACAAGTAATCTCGAACCACTCCTGCGGTGATCGTGGCACTAACTCAACATCCTCAGTTTTAACCTCCAAAGAACCGGTCAGAAGGTAACTGAGAGTGAAGGCGATATTCTGTTGTAGGAGCAGCTGTGCCAAATCGGGACAACGATTAGATATCACAGAAAGCATTCGTAGTACGGTAATGAAATTGCCGATACTATTGACCGGTGGGGTAATCATAAGCTGCAAAAAGAAATAAAATCCATTATTTGTACATCCCTTCGTTAACTTTACTATAAGTAGAACTTACTAGTTGTTGCAGATTTTGTAACAATTCCGCATTAATAATCTTATGCAACATTGCTGGATCATGCTGGAAGCTATCGACCAGGCGACTGAAAGCTTGGCAAACACATTCTACGCTTTTCTTGTCTTGGTTAGCCAATCTGCTAGTTAGCAGAGGTAAACTGTCGGCGACTAGATGGAAGTCATCAGGATGTAGATTCTGACAACAATTCGCAGTGATCGTTAATGCAGCACGTTGAGCAGCGATGTTGAAAAAGTCGACAAATTTCAAACAAGCTGACACACCTCCCTGGAATCGAAATTAATAGAATTAACAGAATAGTTAAATCATCTTAACGGACAAAGAAGCTTATTAAAAGTTCAGAAGTCAGTAAGAAAAATATTTACCGCGTGTAAGATCGTTTTACTGTGTCTACGTGACAACATTGCTAAAGCAGTTAAGCACTGTTCCGCAACATCCATACATTCGATGGATTCTAGTTTCTGCAAGAACACTGGTACCGCGTCGACAACAACTGTCGATGAACGAGGTAGTGCTTCCATCATGTATGTTAGTGCGCGACACGCGTGGGTCATTATTACAAAATTGTGCTCTATCCCTAATAAGTTGATTAAAGCTGCAACCACTTGTTTAACGGGGAAACCAGTCAATGTATCTTCGTTCCCCATGACCAATATTTCTCCCATGCCGATGACTGCTTGAAGTTGTTCTCCCTCATCGTCGACAGCTTGCAGACCCGCTAGAAGCTGTTGCGCTTTCGCAGCTGATGAACAAAAAAAAATTATACAAAATGAATTAATAAATATCTTTATCTTAATTTCATTGCTTTTTTCGAACCACTGGTCGACTATTTTCAAACCGAACTCACTGACTATACACATTTATAAAAAGTAAAATTAAATTAAAATAGTCGACGACGCATGCAATGAATTAGAGTTACGTATATTTGTGTAATTACCAGAACTTGCCCCCATACTTCTATTAAGTATGTGTTGCATACGAGGCCCCAAAGCACCAAAGACATGAGGTGGCAATCCACGAGCTTCAAGAAGTGCCTGAAGTCTTCCAACTTCGCCATCGTCGCTTTCACTGTCCCCCGTAGTTCCGGACATTCCAGAAGGTCCTCCACTGGCTGTAACAATTGATCATCACGCATGAAGCTAAATATTTATCACAAGCCAATGTATACGTGTCCTCATAAAATAACTGAGATAGAAAGATTCGTCTTCTTCTCTAGGTTGGGGACTAAGCAATTACCCGTGGCCGATGTAGCGGTAGAGGCTGACTCCTCCTCACCTGTAGTAGACGTTAACTGATTACCAGGGGTCGAGGAGGTAACGGACGTTGGCGTGGCACTATTAGTAACCGATTCACTACCAGACATTACAACTCCTGCTCCGCCAGAACCACCCTCCACCACTGCCTTACTGGCGCGCGATGAAGAGCGATGTCTGCAAATGAAATATTATTTCCATTAAAGTACGAATGTTTTACCTAATAAAATGACATCGGTTACAGACTTCTACCCCTTCGCATTAGAAGCTTTCACTCCTCGAGTTGCCAGCGACGAGTGAGCGTCGCCTCTCGAATGCAAATTCCGAAAAGTGATCTTTTTAACGTTTAACAGGTTTTCGACTGGACTTTATTACCTGGAACTGGAGCAGGAGCCCGTTGTAGAGTCTTTCTTATGATGCTTCCCTGGGGTCTTGTTGCCAATCGGCAGTTCCTTCGGCTGCTCGCTGGAGAGCTTTACTCGAGAGCGCAGAAGGTGCTTGTGCGTAGGATAAGGGTGCGCAGGATTCGCTGCGGCAGTGGCGGACACGAGCGGTGAAGCAGCAGCGGTGGCTGACACGAGCGGCGTGGCAGTCGGAGTTGCTGCGGTTCCGCTGGTGCCCGCCCCGTCATGTGCCAACGCCCCGCCACCACTCTCCACAGAATTGCTGGCTGCGTTACCCACTCTGATGCTGGACTTCACACCCAAAACTTGACCACTCGCACCTCCGATTGCACAGCTACTGCTGCTTTGGGACTTCGATCCTGTGGCGTTCAAACATAATTCACTTAAAGAAAGGCCCATGCCGAGTGTTCGATTTCATCAAAGACTCACACTACGTGCCACTTTTTAGACACTTTTCGAAGCTTTCAAATATTGCATACGTATCTCAAATGAATGAGAATGGATATTTATATTACTATTTAAAATGTGATGTGCGCTCTGTATACACTTGTATACTCGTTAAATATTTTTCATTCCGGTTCTCCGGAAGCAAAGTAGTTTCAAAGTAAGGTTTGAATAAGAACATATTGTCTTACACCCGCAACTTTTATTCAGAACTGCACAAAGAAACAAAGAATTAATCAAGTTACCGTTCGGTATAACTGCATGATCCATTACATGTGTCACAACAAAGCTACATCGTTATCTTGCATTAAGACCGAATCAATACCAATCCAGAGTTTCAGAGTACAGAAAATTTGATACGTCTGTTGATTAAAATGTGTTAAAGATAACTTAGATTTTATTTATCTGGGTACTACGTTTAATTTGAAAAATTATCAAACCCTACTAATGGATCTCAAATACTTTCTTTGACAGAAACTGAATACATATTGCGTGACACATCATTTAAGACCGACCAGGGGAACTTGCGCCTTGATATAAGAGCCCACAGATAATAATAATGGCGAACGAGAATAATACATACAACTGCACAATTGTTCTTTACAAGTAGCGCAATCTAACATTTTTTTAATTTTTAACGAGTGAAAACGTTTATGTTCGAAGCATCACTTATCTTGAAATGTAAAATCTTTCTTTCATAATCCGTGATTATTGCAAAAACTAAACAATTATGTAATACATTTCTTATTAATAATCAGTAACAGAAATTAAACTGTACGAAAGATTTATGATTATCCAAGTAACGACATTGATTCTTAATTTTTTCCAGTAAACTGAAGAATTTCTTTGATTTCTGATAAGCAGTGGTGATAACTAACAAGTTACTGCGCAATTGTTTTCATCCGTTTCAATGAACCGAGTATAATGAAACAAATGCTATATTTGAAATCTCAGTGCTGCTCTTCTCCTTTAGTAGATAGAAAATTTACAATTCCATAGAAAATATTTTCTATGGAATCGTAAATTTAGAAGATGTTAGTCGGACTAACGTCTTTTACGTAATCTCGGTATTTGTTTCTATTTACTTGGGACTAAAATCAATACAACTGAGAATAAGAATATTTTGAGATTCTTGAAACCTTGAGAAAATTATTCTCGATCTTGAATTTTCGTTTCCAAATATTAACCCTTTGTGATTGTAGCACATCTGAACATGCGTATATTTCGTCGAGCATAGTCCGCCTTACGACCGCAAAGGGTTAATAACAAATTGTGAGTGGCAAAATCGGCCGTTTTAATAATGCGTTCCAACAGGAATAATTAATTTCAAGATTAATCATTCCATAAGAATATACGGTGAACTTCCAAAAGGAATTGGTGCAAAACAATATTTTTTAATTGCATTCTACTCCTGTGACAATTGGGGTACCCACAAGATATTTAACATGTATCACTGTGATTATGAGTGATACACCTTGTATTTAATCACAACTTATATAATTATACTTCTTAAAAATTATGACAATATTCAACTTAAAATTTTCTCATTGTTGTATATCGGATCTCTCTAGATTCATGAAAATATATTAGAATCAAACAGAAATTTTAAGAAAATGTCATGCACAAAAATACTGGATAGGGAAGATTGAATGTGTTATTATATTACACATTTTGTACGACATTGCTCATATGTCAATAGCAGAACAAAGTGACTAATATTTTTAATATATTTTGCATTCTTTTCTAAGTATCTACACGCGGGAGGTTAAAAAAATAGAAAAGAAAAAACAATGTGATATGGACTACGATCTCCTTAGGCTTACCTTCTTGGTGATATGATTGTGCCGATATTGGAAAAAGTGCTTTGACAGCGGACACAAATCCTTCCAGACATTCGCTCATCCTCAGGCCTAATGATACAGTCTGATCTATGACTTTTATTTTGATAAATCTAACTTTGTAATTTTATCAAATAACGATCTTATCTCAATCCAACTAAACGAAAATGTTACAGAATGAGCTTTCACGATCTGCTTACATTTGTCATTTTGATTCAGCAATTAAATATGTTGCAAAGTTAATTCAGTAGTATCATTCTGTACTTTATCAAAATCAATAGGTTAGAAAAATATAAATATTTGATATGTGAATAAAGTTTCTGCAGGAAATCAATACGTTCGCTGTACATTCCAATTTGTTGTTGTTGTTGACAATTTTAACGTAGAAAAGTAAAAGTAAGCAATCGATGGATTAGATGAAAATGTTTCAATTCAATCTGAGTTTTGCAACATCTCACCGTATACAAGAATATCCTATTCGAAACTTAATATTTTAATTCAAGACACCTAAAAATTCATCTCTTTTTAATTACTGTACTGCTTGTAGCATTAAATAGTAATGAGGCATTTTGGAAGAATATTACTACAAAGTGTATCACCATCAATCATTATTGATTTGTTACTAAAGGAAATGAGTTTGCCCCAAACTTTAATAATTTCAATATTATGAAAGTGATGCCACAGAAATAGAAAATAATTGAATAAGTACGCTACATCAAATAAAACACAAAATCAATAATAAAAATGGCACAAGTTACATGTAAAAGTATCCTTTTATACTGACCTCTACCCCTCGAAGTGGATGGATGATTTGTAAGCGGCGTCGGTGGATTGTTTATTGATGACACGGAATTAGCGTGAACCAATGAAACCTTTCTATTGTTGAACCCACTAGATATGGAAAGTTCGTAGTTACTATTTCCTTGTGATAAAGCCTGTGAGTTTTGTGGAGTACGGGAGCGAGTTCGCGAAGCTACACAATCAATGGGTGGTAAATTTAGATCCGGTTGGCTGGACCTGGCAGCACCACGTCCTCTTGTACTGCTACCACTAATGTTGTAATTTAGTTGCTGTGCTTTCTGCTGCTGTCTTCGATCTGTGTCTGCTAATCACAGAAAGAAAATTAGTCAAAGACCCATAATTTCGTTAAAATCAAAATAAGTAACAAGTATCTCCTTTTTATTCATGTAAATAGGAATCACACAAACCTAGTAACAATCCTAGACCAGTGCCATGATTTTTGCGTTCTCCCCTTGTCCAGCCCTCCCCCTTAGAGGAATCAAAGAGACGTCGATGCGTGGATGTATTATGTAAAGGCTGAGAAGAAGGGTGCAGATCACCAATAGCTTGTCTGCGCCGCTTTTCCTCAAACGTTACTGGTACGGCACTACTATTTTGTCTCTTCCTGTTTCCAGTACCAGCACTACCAGAGCTTTTCCCCCTTTGTTTAGAGGTGTCTGCCGAAGCACTGGCCTTCTCTACAGACCCCCCAGACGACGACTGATCTTGTTGATCTGCCATAGATTAATCGACTCATGCCACTATGCTGTCTGAAAATAAAAAATTATAAATGCATCTCATAATTGTATTGCTTTCTATTGCATCATAACAAAGTTACATTACAAAAACTTGTACGAAATTAAATAATATTCCGACAATAGCTTTAACAGTATTCAAAATTGTTCCATCAATTTAATATATCTTAAAATTTAAACACTAATTATTCATGAAAAGTAACATTAAAAATATCTTTAATATAACAAACGTATTTTAAATCACGACAGGTATTACTATTAAGTGAAGAAGTATTACGTTATTAGGTAAAATATTTTGCATAGCAGAAATGCAGTCTAAAAAAAATAAAATAATAAAATATTAAATATAGATAGGTTTATGATTACGTGCATCACATGACATCGGTAATGCATAATCAGACTAATTATGAACAGATGTTTAATGTATTCTTTTTTATCAGATATTACATAATAATTCATAGAGACAAAAAAATTTCAAGTACAAACGGATAATTTAAAATACTTTACTGGGCTTTGAAGACATTAGACATGTACATAGAACATGAAATACACAATCACGAGATCCTTCTTTGACAGCAGAAAACAAACACCCAAGTCCAGGAGATAGAGAGGAAGGGGGGAGATAAGAGAAAGATAAATTGTTTAAAAAAAGAAGAAGTAAACACTTTTATACCAGTAATTCTTAATCGAATAATGCAAAATTTCATTACGTCATGGATACAAACCCCTCTGGCTGAGAAGGAAAACGTTAAAAATGAATTTCAGGCATTCGAACGATACATTCTCAAACTAGCTTCCCAGAGGCTGTCTTCTGTTTAAGTAAATAGTTTTCCCAATTTTTTTATACAATCAAAAAAGGGATATTTTATGCACGACTAGCTGCACATTAAATTTCAGGAGTGCTAGCTCGTCAACGATTTCATGTTCACTAAGCTTTTCGCTGAATTCAAATCCTTTGAAGGAACCGTATATATTCCTTTATAACTTAGCAATTTTTAAAAGCAGAATAACCCATTGTCTTTTGCAAAATCGAATGAAAGCCTTGTAAACGATTCACCGTTATCCTAAAAATACCTCCCTAAAATGATACGAAAATGCAGAGTAATTCCGACAATGGAAAAAAAAAGGAAACAAATTATCCCAACGAGAATGTTGCGCAAATTTTAGGCAATTCGGAACACGCACGATCTCGTCGAGGGCCAGACGCGTAGCTTCGCGCGAAATACTCGCAACAATTTCCGAAGCTGGCGAACTGCGCTTACACCACCGTAGTTCCGTTACGCGGGGCTCGAGCTTCAGGGAACGATCACGATACCTATTGCAACAATGCAACATTCGAGGCGAAAACAGAAGCCGTCGAGATTCCCGGAGACAAGTGAAAGCGCTGAAAACGATCCAGTGTCGTTTCAAAAATACAAACTGGAAGCTGGAGCTCTAAACTTCACTCGTAATTCGGGACTTGGATGAAATGGGGAAAAAGGCCCGAAAAAGACTCTCGCGGGGAGGCATATCGGGGCCGAAGATCGAAGATCGGAAGGGATCGAAAGTCCGGTCTAGTCCCGATATCGTAGCGACGAGAATCACAACAAACCCAACGCGAAGCGAAGTCTAGGCAGGCTGGGCGAGTCCTGTGGCAGGTCGAGCCTCGAGGAGTCTCGAGCTCGGCTCGTTCGCGTTCGTTCTTCGGTATCGAACGGCGCTCCCAGAGCGTTACGACGAGGTAGACTCGCCCCGGGGAAGCGACGCGAAACCGAGGGGACAGATCGTCGCGAGCAAGGTCGATCTCCTGCGCGTCGCTCGGCACAGTAAAGTTTAGATGACGGGTAACAAAGAGGTCTGCTCGCGGCCAACGGGCCACCATTTGCTTGCTTGTAATGGAGGACGAGTTTACTCTAGCCGTCTCTTTCCCTCCCTCCCTCTGTGCCCAGTCTCTCCCTCTCTCCCTCCGAGGCCGTGCACCTCCTTCCTCTCGCTCTCTCTCTCTCTTTCTCTCTCGCTTTCGCGGTCGCCTCGACGATCGGATAGCGTTCGCAAGGGGAGCGGAGCCTCGGGAGCTCGGGGCGACTCAGGACGACGGATTACCTGAATGTCGGCGAAGCGCGCTCGAGGCATCGTGAGTCGCGCGCGAACGGAACGATCGTCTCTCGTAGGGCCTCGGAACGCGATGTACCACGGAACGGAACGGAACGGAACGCACCGCGGAACACTCGGAACGGGAACGATCTCTGAGCACCCGCGCACTTTCGCACACGATCTCGTACTCGACGGCGCACGGACGCGCACGCTCTAAAAGCTACCTACGTAGCTCGCGGCGCACCGCGCACAAACCCTGCGCATCGGACACAGCCGACACGCACTGGCCGACGCGAGGCGGAAACACCCGAGCGCGGCCGACTTCGGCCGAGGCGGCGATCGAGGCACGCGAAGGAACGCGAATCGGGCGGAATGCGTTGAGCGCTCGGTCGAAGAAGGTCCCGGGTTGCTCCGCCCCCGATCGGTTGATACGTCATTCGAGTCAGCAGGGTTACTGCCGAGGGTTTGCGACCGTAAAAACCCGAGGACAACCGACGCGTTCGGACTCGATGGAAAGGGATGACACCGAGGCTTCCCGTCGTGGCGGGTCTCGGCGCGCGCACCCTCACCCGTACAGCTGATCCCTCCGCTTCGCTTTTGTCGACTGCATCGAACGCGTGGGCGCAGTAGACGCGACACGTACGACTAACGTGCGGACCTGTCCGGACACGTGCGTTGCGCAGGTGTAGGTGGCCGTCCGAAACCCGTCGGTACGCACATATGCTTCGTATCCGATGCTGCGTTGTCAAGTCGCCCGAGCCCCGGGAGAGACGACTCGGCGGGAAATTCAAGTCTTTCGCAGGGCCGGCGCGTTTGGTTGGTCGACGTCGTCGTCTTACTTCTTTCTAGGAATTTACGTCGCATACGCGAGATCGAACGCGATCTCGATGTTATTACCGTCGAGTAACGCCATGGCCGTAGCACGTTAACGAGGGAGAAAGGAAGAATGACGGATGTCTCGATTCGTTCGGATCGACACGTGCTACCTGGCGCAACTTTCAGACATCGTAAAGAACGTATCCCCTGCTGTTGGAATCGCACGTCGAACGCACGAGTTAAAGCAGCAAAATACTTGGCAGATTGTACTTCGTCGACGTTACGGGCACTTAAAAGTTTTTTTAACAATTCTCCGGATTGCTTCGAATCCTCTCGGTTATCCGAGTCACCGAAGGACTCGCCGCGCGAGGAGTTTTCAGCTCTCGGTGGCAGGACTGGGAATTTAAAGTCAAACTAACCAAGCTTTGGAACGAGAGTCTTGATTTAATAAGGTTACTTCGCAATTGTGGAGAGCGGGAGCTTGAAGATCTGGCAACGTCGGCGTTGTAACAGCTGTCGTGTATACTTCTCCTGTCTGGTTTCGACCGTGGCACGCGAGCCGTGATTGGTCGAGACTATAATTTGACGAAGCCCAATTGGCCGGTGATAAACCGCAAAGGACTCCCGAACCCTTGTCAAGGCGGCCCGCATCGAGTCCTCCGTTCCCCCTTTAATCGATAAATTCGCCCTGGCGATCGAGATATCGGGACCTCCTCGGGGCTACACCCGTTAAAGGGTTCTCATCGAATTTAATTCTACTTACCGAAAAAGGAAGCTCCTCCCTGGAAGTGGGACCCTAGTTATGTAACGAGATGCGCGAGGAGACACGTGAAAACACGGAATGCGCTGTCAAGTCGATCGGTGCGTCGTCTGCTATCGAGATGCGTCTGCCAGGGTCCGTCGAGTTGAACAGGTTGCTTCAGCTGTCTCGGCCAATCACCGCGCTCCAGGGGGCCATGCCGTACTACGCAAGATGGCGCCGATGGTGGCAATCTTGAACGCGATACGATTACAAAACCGACAAAACGAAGTAACGTGTGCATATGCCGATGAGACCTACCGATGCTCCCTATCGCATTTATCGGAAAACGAGATAACGAGTTTTAAGTTACGACGCACGGACAGCTGACACGGAGATGATTTCTAACTGGTTCGGTACCTCTTTGTCGAACTTATGATTAATATTATTTTAACGAAGGGCATTATTTTCATGCACGATCCTTCACTCGGTTGAAATGGCGCACAATTTGTTTCCACCCTGGCTTTATGCATCGATATAATGTAACCGATTCAGACAGATTCAGGCAAGACGTTGACCCCAGTCAAGTTGCTGTCCTTGCACACCGCCTGCCCGTTTGTGCTCGCGTCCCTGCTTCGACTTCAGAAAGGGACGCAATTTGCGGGAGATAAGGTATAAGGATATACTACTGCCGAGGACAACGACCTTAGCCAAACGGTTTTATCTTCGATGCGATACAAAGAAACGGATATGTCGGGGGTGACATTATGGCAAAGAAAGGGGATGCAGCCAGGAATGTGCTTGCAAGGCCATCCATAAATAGAGTATTTTATTGGAATGTCGACTTGTTTGAGAAAGATGTACAGGAGAACATGGAAATGATATTTCAAATATGTGGCACATGGATACAGAACAGGAAAAATACAGGAAATTATAGTGGAAAAAGGCTGCAAGGATTAATTATAATATATACTTTAAGTATTTTTAATTTTGCTGTAACCGAAATAAGAAATATTGTGAAGTGTAATTCTTGACTACTGATTTTTTCATGAATGTGGAACGCAAATTTGATCTCTTGTAGTTTCGAGTAAAGTACAAATTTTATTGTACAAAGTTCTCAAACTGTACATCATTGTTTCTTATGGATTCCATACAGCAGTTGATTTAATGATTCCTCGTTTATAGTTTGTAGAGAATCAATCCTAGATCTTCCTTGAAAATGTTCCTGTATGTTGTCTACATAATTTTGATAGTTATTTGAACTATTGTTATAATTGTCACTTCTACCTAATTGTTCCTCCCGATCGACAGGAGATGAAAGTCTTAAGTGTTCCATTTCAGTTGAAGGGGATGGCAATTCATTTTCCAAAGGGGACATTACCATTGTAAAGAAATCATTAGTGTCGTTTACTTTCACTTTTTCATATAACGCATGTTCTTTGATGGGGAACTCGTGTTTCTTCATCGGTATTTCATTGGTAACGTCAGGATTCCACAGATCCTTTATAAATTCTTCATTGTCTTTATTGTACTTCTTCGTACAATTTTCATTGGTTTCCTTATTTGTAGAATTAACTGCTTCTATGTTCAAGTGCTTTGGTAAAGTTGGTTGACCATTGGTATTAACTATTAAAATATATTTATCTTCATTCAAGTTTTTTTGATTGGATATTGTGTGTTGTTTTGTTATATCAAAAGATTTCGTAGGGTCATCTTTAATTTGGGAAGCTTGCATTAATCTTTCCACCAGATTATCGGACTGTCTCACAACAGTACCAGGTGGTTGTGCTGGACATTTGTGCGTTCGTTGGCTCACCTATGTGAAAAAATAAGAGGTAGATAAATAATGAAGCCAGAAAATGAAAATGTAATATTCATGAAATACCTTGTATCTGAAACTTTTTCCACAAGCTGTACATTTGTATGGCAGAGCACCTGTATGAATTCTACGATGAACTAAATATGAAATCCGTTGTCGAAAACATTTCCCTGTTAAGAGGTGATCCAAATTTTTAGAAATATCATTATATTGGGTTGTCCAGAAAGTTCGTACCGATTTTTGGTAGGCGACATTAGGACTTAAAAATTGAAACGAATTTTCTGGACAACCCAAGTATATCTGTATTATCTGGTAGTCAATGTTTTCTCCTGTTGAAGAAATTTGACAGAATCTTATAGGAGACATTGAAATGTAATTTTACCGTTTTCTGTGTAGTTTTATCATTTTATATAAGATTCTATAAATTGTTTTCTAACAGGAATCGAAAGACAAACCTGTTATGAATTTGGAAACTTACCTTGTTTTATTTGTTAACTCATGCACCACACTCCTACATTACAACATGTACTGAGTATTAGATCATTAGTAAAAACTGAAAACAATAAAGCGTGCTTTAGTAACATCTACTTCCGATACTCTAAGCGATAAGCGTAAAAAATAAAATATTGAATCCTTTTAACATACCACAAGTTTCACAAGCAAATGGTTTTTCTCCTGTGTGAATGCGTTCATGGTTGTGCAAAGTGGATAGTTCTTTAAAGGATCTGCCACAAGTAGCGCATGTATGAGGTTTATCATCTTTATGATAAAGTCTATGCTTGTGATACGATTGCTGGAAGGTGAATGTCTTGTCGCAAATAGTGCACTTATATGGCATTTCTCCTGAGTGCAGCCTTTTATGCTTCTTTAGGAAATATTTTGTAGTAAACATTTTGTTGCATACATCACATTCCCATTGTTTACCTTCATGTGTTTTCAAATGTTGAGTTACATGTTGCTCCTATGAAAAAGAAGTAACATAGTCATCATAAATTATCATCTAAAAGATTAAAATATCAACATAATATTATTTATGAATTAATACCTTTTTAAAATTCTTTCCACATGTTGGACAATTGTATCCATTATCATTCAGAGTTGATGCAGTCTCTCCATGCTTAAGTGAAGACCCTATATAGAATTTACATTAGCATTTTTTAATTTCAGTAAATCATGAATATTGAAAAAATCATTACCTAAATTATAACCCATGTGTGAAACTCTCATATGAATCATGAGACTTCCTCGCATCTTAAAAACTTTTGAACACAGATGGCAAGGATAACTTTTCAACATGTTGTCTGACTTAATATTGAAATCTTTTTCATCGATGGTATGAATAAGTTGTTTGTGTAACAGCAAAATATTACTGTCCGGAAAGTGAAATCCACAAATGTCGCACCGTACCATTTTTTGTTTCGTCTCGAGAATTTTAAAGGCTTCCAGTTGTGATAACAATCCTGATTGATTTGAACTTTCTGATTGTTTATCTGAAATGTCTTTCGCGGGTATGGCTTCAGACGAAATTGGGATGGAATCTTCTCTCATATAGCAAGAAGGTTGTGCTGAAGTTGGGATGCAGGAGACTGACTGAAAACCTGGGACATTGCTGTCAGAGCTAGCTGACCCAATAGTTGTAATAACAGTAGACATTTCTAGAAGATGTTGCTGACTTTTGTTTTCATCTGAAGTGATTATACTTGGCACTACAGATTCTTGATGTCTGTGTTGAGAACTATCATTACATATATTTTTTATCCAAGTAGTCTGGAATGCAGGTATATTTTCCTGTTCTTTGGAAGGTTCACTTTGTAATTTCAAATTTGGAGATATTTTGCATTGAGTGTACTGGTTGACATAATTTGATACGGTATTATCCATAAGTTTTTGCTCGCAAGAATTGTTCTTTACATTTGTATCATTTACTTGACAAAGAGGTTTCTGTATTGGCACAGACTGCTCTACGTGTTCTGCTTGAGGATAAATCTCTTGCAACTGTGATAAGTTTTGTATGTAGATGATCTGATTTGTTTTTAGAGATAAATCCTCATTTTGATGTGGACTTACAGAATTCACTATATTTGAGCTGTCTCTGATATTAATCGATTGAACAAAAAACGATGTTTCTTTTGGTAATGAAATGATCGGGACCTTACTAAATATTTTGATGTCATGATTCAAAGCTGGATTGCATACTTTTTCTTCTTTGTGCAACTTAGGTGCATCTTCATCTTGTTTGGAAATGTTTAATTTGCCGTGAATTAATTCTTGAACATTATTGCAAGACACAGCGCTGGTGATCTTTGGTACTTCCGTTGCACTTTCAATATTATTTTGATTAATTGTATGACCAAATAAGTGAATTGTAAGTTTATCTATACCAAGTAGCACTTCGTTACATATTGGGCATGCCAATGGACGTGTTGCTACACTTACGAGTCCAGCTCGAAGTGCATCTAATGTTAAGAAACCTGGTTGCGAACACAATGGACATGTCAGCAAATGAGCACACATTTTTTCGTCCTCTTTTTTTGGATAAGCAGTTATTACATGTCACACATATGATTTTCTGGTCTGCTATTTAAATTGAACGGTTTGACCCAGCAGAAACGTTGTATTTATTAGTATATAACAGAACTGTACGGTTTAATCAAAAGTTCTAAATCCATGAGAATGATGCACAATCTTCTATATACTAGCGTTCAAAAATTATTTAAAATAATTTTTGTTCTGGAATAAATTTTCAATGCGCATATTGCGAGAAACCTTGCAAATTGACACAGAGGCTAAATATAACACAAAAATATAGTTTTAATGATGGAGGTTATACCAGAACATCATTCAATTACGATATAATTGAACACTACACATATTTAAATTATATTGTTCTGTCTTATAAATCGTTAGAGAAGCAACCATATTGTTCTGACAGAATTTTCAAATTAAATTATCATCACAAAATGTTTAAGTGTAGCATGACGGTCTTAAATTTTCACGTCGATAGACATTGGACTCCTAAATACTATAGATACCTATGACTGTTTTAAAAGTTAAATTTAGATTTCTTTGGGCGGGGCATTTAAAAGCATTATTTCGAGCAAAAAGTACCAAATTTATTAAAGAAAATTCGTACTAAGAAAGTTCAAGTACTATCGGTAAAACCTGATTAACTTATTCAACTTAAAATGGGGCACTTGTATGGAATACCATCTTTACAGCAATATTCTCGTCCAGCAGACAGATTAGTATTAATCCATTCGTCTTTACAGTTCTTTATAAAAAGATATGCCTGTAAAGAAAAGTATTACCGAGTAATAAACAAGTTGAAAAAAAAAATTAGTTAATACTTACTCTTTCCTTGTGACAATCCCGATCAATGGAGCCACAGAGAATTGCAGGACTATTTGGTAAATGTTTTACTATCTGCAATGTAAATGTTTAATTAAGCAAAACAAGATATTAATTCCATGTAAAACATTCAATATTCTATATTATTACAGAATTCAGAATTAAAAATTATTAATTAATACATTAATTCCATTCCATTTCCATTATCCTGTTTGAAGGTGTATGATATCAATTTTGGGCTTAATTATTTGTTTAACATGTTTCATTTTTTATTTATTATACTTTATACGCATTTCGAACCAACAGATTGCCTTATACACGGTTTATACTGTTTTTCAGCAGAAATAATGTAATGGCATCAATATCTGTTAGCATTATCTTTGTAAACTGTACCTTTAATTTGTTACATGATTCTGGGAGAATTTAATTACGACATTGGTTATAAAATGGGAAAGGGAGATGAAACATTTCTACATGTCCAAATACCTTAAACTTAAAAAAAGTAACAAATGTGTATACTTTTCAACAAATTGTTCTTTCTTTTATTTCTATTTATGATCCAATTAAATTTAGACTTACAACATCCAGGCATTTATTGGTGCACAATTTGTTTCCAACAACAGTACATGGAAAAGAATCCGAATATTCATGTAACAATGCAGGATTTCCTTTCGGCTGTTCCTTGCTTCCTTTCTTGAACTGTCCACTTAAGAACACGCCACAAATGCACCCAACAGATCCATCAGTTGTTGAAGCTTCAGTTGTAGAAGTGTTTTCCACCACAGTATTATTATCTTGAGCACAACACAATGATATGCAAAGCAATAGGATCAGATAGGTTGACATATTTCTCTGCAAAACAGATGTTTTTTTCTCAATTTTAGAGGAGTAATTAATTTATCTTTTTAACCTTAGATATAACTTAGCACATATGCTTCAAAATGGTAAATGACACCGACTGAAACTTACTGGGAATATGTGGATGTCAATCCAACTTCCGGAACGAAAATGTCGCCTGTTCCTTGCAGGTATTACCTTACTGAAAGCTTACCGGTATTTGCATTCAGATGGTGCAATCGCTGATATTGCAAAAATGAGACACATTTGCAAACGTTGCAGTCAACAAAGTTACATGGTGAGTGACACACTTCAAGAAATCCTTTCATTTTAAGAAAATAATTTTTAAATGTTGACATACATACAAAATATGTACTCATTCTTTTATTACCTTGAAAACTTGTGCTTGAGCAATTTCAGTTTTTGAGCCTAAGGCTTGCTTTATCTTCTCATTACTAACAATAAGTTTTGCTTCTCCTTCTAAAACTACTCTTTCTTGGTTTGCAATGCAGGAATATTTACACATAACTATTTTCCTTACAGATGTAATTGTTACTGTTACTCTTACGCTATCTCCAACATAACATGGCTTTGGATATTTAATTAACTGTTCCACTACCAATGTTCCAGGTCCAGGTAATTTAGTGCCAATTACCCCAGATACCAAACCATTTAATAATGACCCATGAACAATATTCTTCTCTGCACTAACATGAATTGGATTACAGTCTCCTGTTAATTCAGCAAATTTAAGTATATCAATTTTTGTCACAGTTTTCACAACTGAAGCCTGACTACCAATTTTCAATTTTTTTTGTAGTTCGACCCAATCAAGAATTGCAGGAACTTTTGTGGAATAATTAAATTGGTGTCGAAGAACTTGCATCATTTTCAAATGAGACAACTTCTGCATTTTTTTCATTAATAAATTGTAATATGCTTCTCACACTGAAACAATTTCTAAACTTTTCTTAACTTCATCGATATCGGAGGCTTCACAGAAGTCCATTAAAAATAGTTGAGCTAAATTTTTAATTCGACTGTTGGCACTTTCAGAGAAATTTAGCATATATTTGATTATTTCAGATGAAGTTATTTCTTTCTTCGAAGTGGGATTCATCAGAAACATCAATGTCGTTATCGCTGACAGAACGGTTTCCTCATCGGATGAAGAAAGTAATGATGAAATGATCCATATGCCTTGATTACGTAAAATATATTCCTTATTTTGTACATCTGTAACACAGCATAATTTTTATAGTATTCTCTTAAACTATTAAAATTATGTTATACACAATTAGAAATTAAGTTGCGTTAATTGTATTATATATTAAGAATCACAAATGACACTTTGACTCACCTAAACATAAGTTGCATATACCTCCTATAGCAAATCGAACCAATAGCTTATTGTCATCAGAAAGTGTTAACAAAAACAAATCAATAACTTTTAAGCGTTGCAAATATTCATAGTTTACTGGGTCATATGCAAAATTTGCCAGATTAGCCAAAACTTGCTGCTTTGCATCTGAGGAGATGGTAGTGATAAGTACATAAAAGTGATAAAAGACTCGCAGTAACATGAAGAAATATAGGTTACCTTTTGACTTAGTAGTTTTAAATTCAGTAACTAAAAGTTTTAAAAAGTCAAAACGACCAATTCCATGTTCTCCTGTACGTTGAATTAATTGTTCCTTCCTTGAGAACATTTCATTATTTGGACTTTGGAGGACACGTTTTGTATTTTCACTTGTTTAACTAGATATTGTAGACGCTGCCGATTTAGAATTGAAAGTAAGATAGGTTATGATGACAGAAATTTCTACTGTTGACATAGGAGACGCGGTAGCATCTCGCACCTAGTATATAATAAGTGAATTTTAACTTACGTAACTTTGTTTGATAAACGCTTGCTTTCCTTTATGGTAAATGATATTTTGCTCCAGCACGATACTCTAGATATGTCACTACATTCCATCACACGAAAACAGTTTTATCGCCTGCAATTCGCACTTCCGGCGGCAATTTATGAAATCATCTAATTGTCAACCGGTTCGTCCACGATACATTTTTTGGAGCCGGTCAGTTCTATCCAGATATAAATATAAAGCCCTTTATGAGAATGAGGACAGGCATGTTTTGTTTTGTTAATTGATCATCAAAAACTGATGTAACTTATCTCTGAATGTATGTACGTACACACATACATAGCTAAGCTTAAATAAAATAAAAGGTAAACGGATGTACGAGGATTAAGAATGCATTCTTTGCATGAAAATTACATTTGATAGCATACTTTATTACATATATTTCGTTGTTTTTAATGATTTTTGAGAAATGTAATGTTATTCAATTTAAAAATGAAATGTAACAGATGTTTCAAGAAGAATCTATACCATGAATAAAATTAGATTAATATTATTTGCAATACTCCACTCAAAAACCCTTGTTAGTTGCTCTTTTAATCGTGGGCGACGAAAATGTAATGGAAGTTATTAGAATTAATTTCCAGCATCTACAATTTTTATAGATATCATCCCACGTAGCTTACATTTCTAAGGAAGAAGTAATTTTTAGAATGATCTTAATTTTTTCAAAACTTTACGAAAACCAACGATTTTGTTATATAAAGACGGGCTACAATATGCATGTACATGTAATAATGGTCAACAAAACTTTTTCAGCTAATAAATTGTGTAATAAAAATGGAATAAAATTATAAGCCCTACTAGCCCTGTTTATAGTGATATGAGCAACCCACGAAGAGTTGCGTATTCATGTTTGTGATTCATAAGTTGGGACCTTCTTCTTACATAAACTTCTTCCGTGTTATTTTTACTTAGAGGACTTTCCAAATGCCCTACTTTTCAGTAAGGAAGTGGTGAATTAAATAATTGGTACCTCTTATTAACACCGTTTGATCTTGCGACCCTGAAAGTACGACCCTTTTGTTTTTTTTCCTTTAAGTAAGGTACATACCATGAAACGCGCATGCGCACGTGAGATACATTACAAAGTAAATGGTATTGCTTTGAATATTATTCAAGATAAGTTACAGATAATTCTACAATAATGAACTTGTTACGATAAATATATCATTTTTAAGCACGGATGTAATATATTAAATATTATAATAAAAATAGTCTATTTTGTATTCATTATATTGCAATATCATTAACAATACATGGGCATTAATGAAGCAAAATGTAACATGTAAAAATGTGTGGTTTAAGGTACAACATAATATAATGACAAAAATTATTATTTTAATTCAAATCTTTACTTTCTGTTTCTTAACTTGCCCATGAAGATATATTAAAAATGCAATATATAGAAATGCGAAAATATGATGTGATTAGAAACAAAGGTACCCATTGAACACCAAACCTAACAGTTACGTAACTTAACACTAACAAATAACATAACATTTGTTACAATCTAATAACCTAACAGTTACGTAACATAGAGCTAATTAGTTACATGACATTTATTACAATGCAGTAACTTAACAGTTATGTAACATGGAGCTAACAGGTTACATGACATTTGTTACTATCATATCTATATAAATGTAGCATAACTTTGTTTCTCTCATCTTACATTATGTTACCGTCCTGATATTACTGTGTATATGTAGCACATATTTGTAACAAAACAGAACTACATTGGTATTAACTGTCATTTATTTTATTACATTATCGTCATCGTCATTGTCATAAGATTAATATATGTTATATTTTGTTTCCTACTCGTATGAAAAAATGTGACTTTAATTCATACGCGCATATACATTATCAGCCATTGTTTGCTAGTCGAATGAAATCCTAATTGTATTTAAGTAAAATCAGATAGTTTATCATTACATAATTGCATTGAAAGTCTAATTTGTCATTTAATATCGATTTCACTATTGTCAAGTACCAAAAAATAATAAAAAATAAAAAATTATATAATTTTGGATAAAACTGCGTGATCTTTTTTATTAAATGTATGAAAAATTAATATTATTTTAAGGTAACTGAAATTATAACATTAATATAACATGTTACATAACATGTTACCTTACTGAGTGGGAAATAATAACTAACATCTAACTTCCATGTTACTTTTATGCTACATAACATGTTAGTTTCGAACATTTACCCAACAGTTATATAACAGTGTTCACTGGGTACCCATTAAGCAGTAACGGTTCTGAGTATTATACGGATCAACAATAATTATATGAAACACATTCATTAAATAATTGACATTATTGTTAATGTAAATGATTTGCCCTTGTTATGCATGCTGACATGGGAAAATATGGCTCTCTTCAACAGAATACAAATTAATGAAGACCTTTACCTTCTGAGTTTATTCTCATAATATTAAGGTTAACATTTTTGTCATTTGTTTGTATTGGAGCCACTCTTGAAATATATGCACGAGTAGAAAATTTAGTGACAAGATCACTCGTAAGTTGATAAGGTTCCTAGCTCAAGCACGTATTTCGTTCATTGCTGGGATCATTAGTATATGTTCCCTCTCCCTTTAAACACCATACATGCTGTTATTCGTAGGCGGACTATATAAATGCGTTTATTCCTTTTAGAGCTTCTCAGTCCGGACGTTCACGATGTTCTAACCCCATTTACTCATGGTTTTTTATATGAATACGAAAAAAAATTGTTTGGTGTTGTGAAAATCGATGTCGTGCTTAATATAGATAAATATCCGTGGTGGAACTATTTGTGATCATGGTGTTTGACTTCGCATTAAGGACGAGTATCGTCCTGTACTTGATAGGTTTCTATATCGGAACATCTACTGGTCTTTATCAGACACGACCTCACATAATTGTGATCATGGCTGATGATTTGGTAAGATTGTTATCTATGCAGTATAGTTTTATCATACATTTATTTTGTTTATGGGATGTCAATCAGTAACTAAAATTTACTTCTATTTTAAAGATATGGCAGTTTCTTTTTTTAATCTGTTTTTAAAGGGAATAAATATAATTTACGTCAATAAGATTTTATTGAAAGATTTTTTATCTCAGGCTAAGAGAAGTTGACTCGATGTTTGGAATACTAATTATCCAGAATTTTATGTTCTTTAGGCGCACGAACTCTCAAATTAATACACGTCAGAATAATCGAAAATTGAACAGTTCTTATGAAACATACACTATTAAATTATTTCCTGTTAATATAAAGTTTGTTGCATATTTTTAGAACCGTAAAATTTAAAGCGACTGTAAAAAAATTCGCTTGCATTCAAAGATGAGCAATAAAATTTGTTTTTTCAATCGTATACCCTCCATATATTTTGTGACTTTTATTATTATCGTTGATTTAAGAAGTAACGAGAACTACAAATTTACAATAGTCCTTATGTATATTATAAGTATCACGGCGCGTAAATGATTTAATTAAAGTATCATAAATAATGGAACGTGGGTTGTAGATGTTGGCGTAAAGAAAGTAGGAGGTTCCATTCATGCAAAACGTAGTTATCTACTGCATTTGCTCTTCCTGATGTCAGTCGTTCCTTTTGTCTGAACCCTTCTTAATAGGATTACTCTGCAATGAAGCTGTCTTAAGTTAACGCTGGCCTTAGTTAAGACAATTACCAATCCTCACATACTGTCTAAACGCCCCCGCCCTCAATGAGGATGCTGTCCGTAGTGACTCATCTGCCAAACAAAATTCCTTCAAAGTGGCGACGTTAATATATTCTGGTTGCATAAGTTCATTTTTATTCTAGTACCTTTCATAAGAATGTCCTCGAAATGTTTATATTTTTCCTAAAAAAGTAAAATACAATACTGAGTCCATTTGTAATTTTCGACTTCAGATATAAATTCGACATTTGTAATATTATCCAATTTCTATAACTTATTTTTTGTTATGAAAATCATCATTAGTTACTTTTATTGCGTTACGAAGTGGAAGTTCCCCGTACGATATAATATTTAAATTTGAATATTTAAAATTAAATATAAACAAAAATGTTCCGTTTAACAAAAAGAGTTCTCATAAGGTTCATCGATTTTCATTTGCAGGGGTGGAATGACGTAGGTTTTCACGGTTCAAATCAAATACCAACTCCAAACATTGACGCTCTTGGTTACAACGGAGTAATATTAAACAGGCATTATGTACTTCCTTCGTGCACACCATCTAGGACTGCTTTTTTCACTGGAAAATATCCCATTAGAATGGGTGAGCAAAGCTTCTTGCTAAATTACTTAAATGATTTGTTACATGCGTACAAATGTAAAAAATATTTCTAATCCTTCAGGAATGCAGGGCGACGGCATTCAGGGGGGTGAACCGAGAGGACTTCCCTTGAATGTGCGCATTTTACCGGAACACCTTCGTCGATTAGGATACGTGACGAAGCTTATCGGAAAATGGCACGTTGGATTTCATACACCTCAGCACACGCCTCTTCACAGAGGTTTCGATTCATTCCTTGGATTTTACAACAGTTACATCACTTATTACGATTATAAATATTCCCAAGGAGTGAGTAATCAATTGTTGCATTCATACGTTTCTTGGAACGATTAGTCGCATTTTTGCCGCTTTTCATTGTCTTTTGAATATGGTTGAATTTGATATTTACGAACGATTTACTGCACTCTTCTCCGGAACAATTTAATATGTTCACTTTAGAACATGACTGGATTCGACCTGCACAGTGGGGATGACCCAGCATACGGACTTCACGGTATCTACGCTACCGATCTTTTTACAGAAGAGGCATTGAGAATTATTGATCATCATGATCCCCAAAGACCTCTTTACCTTCAAATATCTCACCTAGCCGTTCATGCACCCGTGGAAATGCCACCCGAGGATTACAATAACAAAGATTTTTCTCATATCCACGAACACAATCGTCGCAAGTATGCTGGTAGGAATAAGGCATACCCAAATGTTGCCAATTATATAAAATTACCTGAGATTTATCTAAAGTTTCTTGACTTCCATCGTAATGTATCTTTCGTTCGTAGCGATGGTAGCCCAGTTGGATAATTCTCTCGGGCGAGTTGTTGCTTCCTTGGGAGACAAGGGAATGCTGAAAGACTCTTTAATCCTGTTCCTCAGCGACAACGGTGCAGCTTCTATTGGCAAATTTCGAAATTGGGGTTCCAATTACCCTTTAAAAGGAGTATGTACTCAATAGTCACCACTGACATATTCCTCGCCTTATCATCAATAATACATTATTAGCCTCTTTATTATTCATGTCATTTATGTAACAATTATGCAAAAAATTGAACGTGACACGATAAATAGTTCATCATGTCGCGCAATTGCACCTTACTGTGATGATCTTTTCCGTTAAGATCTTGAATTATCTTTCTTTTAGACAAAATACACTCTGTACGAAGGAGGCGTGAGAGGAGTTGCAGCGTTGTGGTCTCCTAGATTACACCAGATGGCATACGTTTCTGAGAATCTGATACACATTACCGATTGGCTTCCAACATTTTATGCCGCTGCCGGTGGTGATCTGAAGGATCTTGGCGACATCGATGGCATAAATCAATGGCCAGCTCTCGGTGAAGATTGTCCTCCAACCAGGGACTCGCTCCTATTGAATGTCGACGAAGTATCAAAAACCGAGGGGGCTATACATGGACGGTATAAAATTATTCGAGGTAATGGATCCACGTAATACCGATTATAACTTTCGAGTCGTAAATGTCCGAGTTGTAAACGTCTTATGATGCTTTGCTTGCAGGCTCCGTTAAACGTGGATACTATGACGGATATCATGGTGAATCGGGAAGAAATCGGGATGTTCCCCTCTACAATACGACTAGAGTTCTGAGGAGTGCAGTTTCGCGTAGCATAACTGCTCATCTTGGTGGTCCCGTAACTCAACCTAGCGCAATGATAACTCTTCGACAGAAAGCAACTGTTCAGTGTTACGCAAACGCCACCCATTTCATAAGACATAATTCAGGGTCCTGCAACGAAACCGAGTGTCTCTTTGACATAGTTAATGATCCTTGCGAGATTCGCAATATTGCAAAGGAGTATCCCAGAGTAAGTAACGAACCTACGTTTGACATAACTAAAAGAGAACTTTTGTTGAATATAATTTACTGATATTTGCATTTGTTTACTGGTATTACTACCTGTCGTTAAGTGAACTTCAGTATTTTTTTTCTAAATCGATAAGCATTTTTGTTTGCAAAAAACTTCAAGAAAACGTGAAGAACTAAAATGTCGGAAGACTCAAGGAATAAAAACTTATCTTTGGCTGTTGATAATTACTATTAACCAGTTTTATCGACGAAATATCATAATAACTGCAGAGCATTATTTTGTCTGGAAAGAAGGAGAACAGAAATACATAAATACATGATGAATAGTTAATACAAAAGGACGGTTTTTAGTATTATACCGCCGCACAGTATTTTTTACTGTATTGATAATTATGTTGAAATTAGGGCGTGTTGGTTAATCGCTTTTTAGGCATTATTATGAAAAAATTAATTTGATTTATTACTTTATTAGGGTGTAAGGTCTGTTAAATTAACCATCTCATACCTCGATGTTGTTATCTCAGTGATAAAATTTTCACCTTTGGCTGCTGAAACACTTTTTTTTTAATGTTCATTTCATTTTGCCTTTACCATACATTAATTTTTAGATGGTCACACAACTGGATCTGTTTCTGGAAAAGTACGGGAATGTCCTGATGAAGCAAGCCAAATTGCCTATTGACTGGATGGCCAATCCGAGGGGAAAAAACAATACTTGGGAACCCTGGTTAAATCCAGGAGCAATGCTCTACGCATATGCGAGTGCTGCAACTGCAATTAGTACATTAGCGGTTTGTGCACATCTCGGAATGGCATTATTAATAGTTGGACTGAGAGTATTCATTTGACTGCAAGATTCTTGCACCATCAAAAGTAATAACGCGGTATTTTACTCGTCTACGAGAGAAGACACAGATATCGATTTAAATAAAGTTGAAGTTTAGTAAAGTCAATGCATAACCAATAGTTTCCAGAACATTAAGTTTGTCGATGCAGGATAAAACAAATACAACGTGGTATGTCATGTAATTTCAACTTTCAAACATTTCAAATGTTAACTGCACCTTCAGTTTCTATCAGAATTTATTACGACAGTTAATAATCAATGAAAAAGGTTTACAATGATCGTAGTGTAAATAGATTATAATGAATTTTACACAATATTTCAGAAGAATAGTATTTCTTTACTAAATTCATTCAGGTATTTGTAAGTCTGTTTACATACTACGACCACCAACGGTAGTACAAGTAGGTTGGTACAACTATATTTACTATATTTCAATCGTTGCGGATAACACATATTCTAATTATATTTATTTTTTTCGTTGGCGATTTTACGTTTTATACACCAATAGCGGAATAACTATTAACACATTACTTACCGGCGGATTTGGGGATAAATGGCGATCACGGGTATCGCAAAACCAATTAATAAGCTTTCAGTTGGTAATGTGTTAAGCGTAATGTATCCGTAGTCGTGAATAACTAGGACACGTTTTCTTCTATATCCGTGAATAAGCGTTCGACATGCCAATAGCAGCGTGAGGTGTAGTTAAATATAGTATTTATTGAAACTTGTGCAGTAGTGTAATAAAATGACAATATTACGAGTTAGTTATCTACCTTAAGTGACACAAGTTATTGATAAATGTTTTAAGCGGTGTTTTTTACTTTCAAACTTCCTTAACGTTCCATATTGTAGATCTACACATTAAACAAAAAATATTAGTTGAAATAATATTTCTTAAGATAAGGAAATTGTTCTTGTTAATCTTCCAGTGGGAGAAACGGAATTATCAAACGGAAATATTTAAGTGGAAACTATTCCGAGTATGAAGTTCGTGGAACACCGCAGCATTACCTTAGCTTATCTAATGAAGATACATAAATGCACGTGTCTCTACTTTCTTGTTCATTTACTCCCGACCCGTAGCCATAACAACAAGTCTCAGAAATGTAAGTACAATATGTATAAGGATTCGATAAGGATTAATTTCTGTTATTTGTATTATTAAATGTTCTATTTCAAGAATATATGTGTCTAATCTTCAAATTGAGTTATTATGATTACATTATGTAATAAAATATTTCTACAATTCAAATTAATTTTTTTACATTATTTACAATTAGTGTGACAATTAGAGAGTAAAGATAAGACTACATTAAAAAATCACAAATTACGCAAATGAAATTAATTCAATCAATAGTAATAACATTTCATGGATATGAAATTCTGAGTAACGTACGTTACGAAAATAATATTGCGAAGAAGAAATTTAAAAAATGTGGGTTTTTGTTACCTATCTATCCAATATACAAACACTTCATTTTGCAATATTTTGTTCACAATTCGTGTATACTTTCATTTAAAATAAGTCGAACAATTTGTAGAAAAATTATCTGCGCCGATTTCCAGAACAGGTTGTACGTTTTTTATTAAGAAATCAGAGCTTCAATTGTAATTTGATATGCATTTCGAATAAATACATTTCAAATGTCTATTCTTGCACGTATTTGATAAACGGAAAAAAAGTGATTCGGCATTTGAATTTGAAATTATACACTTAATGTAATAATCGAGAATTTGGGTGGGAAATACATTTGTGTACAATTATCCATTTTGAACGGGTAATTCTTCATTTGCTTTTCATCTTTAATATATTAAAATTAGTTCTAAAGTAAATAATACAATACAACGTAATATTTCATTGTTAAATAAGAAATGAAATTGTATTACCAAGGTCGTCTTGGCTTAAGAAAAGTTTGGTTGGTATAAAATTATTGATTGAAAACTGACCACTCTAATAATCGTTTGTAAATTCTTAAAGAAAATTAATTTATTACTGTATAAAATGTGTATTAATATAAAATCGGCATTTCCAAATGACAGGAGAATCATAGGATCTTTCAGCATAATATGGGCATTTGCGGTATTGTACGTTTGCGGAATATCAGTACATAGGAAAAATGGCCACTTTGAAAAAACGTCGAGTAAACAACCACATATCGTCGTCATTATTGCGGATGATTTGGTAAGGTTCTTGTTTATTATCAGTTACGTATTCAAGAATTGAAGGACAAATTGTAATACATATAGGAACAGTTGCCTAATTTGTGCCAAGGTATTCGCAGCATTTTGTCACATCGACGGGGCCTAAAAAGAAACTCTTAGACTGCACCATTCGATAATAAATCTATCTTCATGAAGTATCTTTTCTCCGTGTTCTAAACGTAGTGTAGCATTTCCTCAAAATTAGGTGAAGGACACATCGCAGGTCTCAAGAGCGGTTGCGTATCGTAATCACATGACTTTAGTTAAAAGACATACGCCAACACCTACTGCGTAACTTAATTTGCGAGAATGATTAAATTCGACACAAATGGCGTTATCATTTGTCTTTCATATACAGTTCAAGCGCAACACAAAATATTCTTCTTACCTTCATACGCCGACGCAAAGGTTTGCATATTTTATGAAAAATCTTATTCTAATTGCACGAATTAGCAATAACTACAAAACAGCGTGCTATATTTGACGGTTGAGTATGTAAGTACAAGGTGTCCGGTTATAATCAATCCAAATTAATATTTCGTAAATTGAGGGAGATAGCAAAAAACATTTCAATACAAAGTTGTAGAGTTTAAAGAAGTTAACAAAACACAGGTCATGACTTTTACGCGAAGGTTTTACTCGAGTTTATTACAAGGTGAACTTCATTTTTTTAAACGGAAAGGACTTTGATACCGGAAATTGATAGAATATCAAATTCTATGTAGAAACATGTGAAGTTCCGTTGACCATAATGGGTTATAAAGGTCGAAACATGTCACAAGTGGAGTCCGATTGACGCTAATGGATCGTGTGAAAATCACTCCTTTCAAAGAAAGGGCTCTAACACCAAGAACTGTTGGGAATCACATTTTATGTTAGATAATCAAGGTTCAAAGTTACATGAACCCCATCCTCTGAAAAGAATTGAATTTCATACGATCCATTAGCGCCAACCAGATTTCACTTGTGACAACACGTTTCGACCTATATATCCAATTCTGGTCGACATAACTCCAAGTATTACGTATGGTAATTTTACGTGGAATTTGACGCTCCATTGATTTCTGGCATAAAAAATAGTACTTTCTATTCTACACAAATGATGTTGACCTTGAAATGACCTTCACCTAAAAATCACTACCTGTATCTTTTTATCCCTTTCAAACCCTACAACTTTTTACTGAAACATTTTTCGCTATTTTCCACAGTTTACAAAATATTAACCTGAATTGATTGAAATGGGACACCTTGTATGCGTATACCTTGCAATAAATTGGATTTTTATTAAAAACGAGCTGGTTTGTTTTAATTAAGGGGTGGAACGACGTCGGTTTCCACGGGTCAAACCAGATACCAACCCCTAACATAGACGCGCTCGCGTATTATGGGGTAATACTGAACCGACATTATGTTCTACCGACGTGTACTCCTTCGAGAACAGCTTTCCTCACAGGACGATATCCTATCAGGGCAGGTAATTCATTTTAAATGATAACGAATAAATTTAATTATTTACAAATGACATAAAACTGACTCTCGAGTTCCGTGATATTCCTTATCATATTCTGAATATCGAAAAAAATGATAAAATTAGGTCCAGGATACGAAATAGAATCCGAATGTACTTTGTAGGGTAAATTGAATAAAATTCTTTTCTAAACATTTTAATTGGTTTACATGGCTTAGCAATTCTTGGCTTGTACCGCATGTTATTTCTGGTAGTCAATTAAATAAATACTGTCACGAAACTAAAACGACGAGACGAAACAGAATATCACGCGATCGAAGGATAGACATGAGTGCAGATTAAAATGGCGGTTTCAAATTAATAACAAAATTTGTGCAGGAATGCAAGGGTACCCTTTAAAGGCCGGCGAGCCTCGCGGCATTCCTCTGGACACGGTTCTCCTTCCGGAGCACCTTCGCCGAATGGGATATAGTACTCACCTGGTGGGTAAATGGCACGTAGGATACTTCTCGGAGAATTACACGCCGGCCCGACGTGGATTCGACGACTTCCGCGGTTACTACAACGGTTACATCCAGTACTTCAATTATACCATCACTCAACAGGTTAGTCCTGTTATGCCAGGTTCAAGTTGTGACTACGCGGTCGGCTCTGAAAGCGCAAAACGTAAAACAATTCGTGAAAGCACGCGACGGCTGGCAGGATTCCAAAATTTCTCCTGTCGGCAATCTTGCCACTGGTGTATATACGACAGCGGCGTGTGAAGAGAAGGCGTAAAATTTCCTTGACTTTTCTTTACCCAGAATCGTACCGGTTACGATTTTCATAGGGATACTGCCACCACCTTGGCAGCTGACTATACGTATGGCAGGACGTACTTGACGGACGCCATCTCGGAGGAAGCTGAAAGTATCATTGCCAGTCATGATCCCTCGAAGCCTCTGTATCTCCAAATATCTCACGGGGCTCCTCACTCCAGTGATAACGACGATACCCTCGAAGTTCGCGACATGGCCTCGGTCAATGCAACTCTGGGTTACGTTGAGTCTATTGATCGCAGAAAGTACGCGGGTGAGTCGTACTGGGGTCGGTCTCGACAATTTCAATTGAATTAAGGTGAAGTGAAACCCCCTTCAAATCAGTCGATTCGAATACAACACTTTTTTTTAAGGGTATTAGACCAAACTGTCCGAAACTTTGACACATCACTCCTGATCATCTAAGAATTGTCCTGACACATTCAAAATTTGGATTTTTTGAAAAAATTTTTTAACTTAGCCCAGACCAGAACNTTGTATTAAAATGAAACGAAATGTTTTGTATATCTGGTGGAAAAATATTATGAAAACACGTGGAGCTAATATTATACCAATATTATAAAGATAATATTCTAAAGAAAACGTTTTGCGAATATTTCAAATGTCTGCTAAATATTTACAAAATGTTCGTTAAATATGTAGAAAATATACGATAAATATTTTGTGCCACTAGGGATACCTTCAACGCGTAATTGCGTACAAACCTATACTGAACGACAAAATTACTTTCTACATAAAAAGAAATTCTTCTGTCAAATAGATTTTTACTTGGAACTATCAACAAAATAAGTTACGAAGTGCAGATTGAATGAAATTAATACGCTTTTTAAATAATACTCAATTTTCTTGATTTCATAGTTTCATTAAGGTATATTTAATCATTACGATTAGATTTTTGCTCGGTTTACTCGGCAAAGTAGTCATCTCCGTTTCGATAATCCTAAAATCGCATATTATTATTGCCTTTACTGTTAAATGTGATTTATAATATTAATTTATTTCTAGTTAAAATTCACCCTTTATGAGGGGGGAATTCGCGGAGCGTCCTGCATTTACTCGCCGCTCATAAAGGATCGCTCGCGGATTTCGAATCAGCTGGTCCACATTACGGATTGGTTACCAACATTTTATTCAGCTGCAGGCGGTGATCTTGCTGACCTTGGCCCTATAGACGGAGTAGACCAGTGGTCAGCTCTCAGCAATTACAAAGAAACTCCCAGAGAATCCATACTTCTGAATATCGACGAAGTCGCTAATCTCGAAGGAGCTTTAGCTGGTCGTTTCAAACTCGTAAAAGGCAAGTATGACTACTACAAGCCACGTCTTGGATCCCGAGGGGTTATTCATTAAGGAAATCTTCCCTAGTAGCATGAAATATTTGTCCGATATTTTCTATATATTTAACGAATATCGTACATTTTGTAAATATTTAACAGACATTTGAAATATTTGCAAAACGTTTACTTTAGAATATTATCTCNTAATATATGTTTATAAATTATTGAAGCTACATATGTCATTGAGATTTTCAACAAATATTTCGGATACCTTCGAATGAAATCTACAAGAAATTCTTAAAAATCTGTCGCTTGAGATATTTAGCAAAGATTACAAACAAATATTTAGAAATTATTCTATGCTACTAGGGTTGCGTTATCTTTTTGGAAATCGTATGGAATCAGCTGAAAATCAGTGGGAGTCTGTTGCACATTGTAACATGTTGAAATTATTCGAAACGTGTAACAACGATATAACTCGTCGACAACCATTTAAGATCAATGGAAAATTATTTGTTGCAAAGAAAATCGCGTGCAGAATATTACGCAAATTTTAGTGCGGAACGTCACTTTCTATGATATTACATTGTTGCTCATAATATGAAATCAATGACAAACAGATTTCAAAGGACATCATTTTACCTGATTTCCGAGAGAATAGTCCCTGGCTTGACCCTGCTGTTGATCTTATTGGCTGATTCGTGATTTCTTTTTGTCGTTAATGTTGTGATATTTAGGGGCTGTCGACCTGTATGGTGATTATTACGGTGACAGTGGCAGTGAACCGTCTAATCCAAAGTATAACGCAGAGAACGTACTCAAGTCTTTGGCGGGCTTTGCAATATCGTCACAATCGAAATATACTTTAAGTGTATCTAAAATTATCGAATTGAAAGAAAAAGCCAGAGTGGTATGCGAAGACCGTACAGCTCCAGCTAACTGCTCTAAATATTGCCTATTCGATGTTATTAAAGATCCTTGTGAGACCGCCGACGTATCCTTGGAATATCCTCATGTAAGAATCTATTTTAATCATTTTCTTACTCAGACATATCCTTGGAAATCTCGCAATCATCTGTTTAAGGTATTCCGAAATTACTCTCAGAATGTTTAGTTATTTTTCGTTTATTTTTGTAGATCGTCGAAGTCTTAAACAGCTTCATCGATCAGTATCGTCCGGAACTGATGCCGCAAACTAATGCAGATGTGGACCCAGCATCCTTTCCCGGTCACTTTAACGGAGTTTGGATGCCATGGGTTAAGAGTGCGGGCCAATCAACTTTTTTAAGGAGTATTCACACACCTCTGCAGTCTGTTTTTCTCGCCGCATACACTAAATTAATTGCTCGGTATTGAGTGTAATCTTTTCCTGAAACAGTCGTTTAAATGACATTAAACGAAAAAAGATGCGAGGATATTTATATACACATAGTATTCACTACCAACAAACATGGAATAATATTTTTTTAGTTAGATTGTTTACTTTTATGCCATAGAATAAATCTATAACGTGTCAATTTTTAATGTACAGTGCAAGACTGTAAGTAAAAGACGAATTTTACACTTTTCTGATTCGTATTCTTGTCTACAAAAGAAAGAACTAACGACTTGTCATTTTTTTTTCGTGGGCCTATGAGAACGCCAAACAAATCATAAGTAATATTTTAAAGGGTATTGGGATGTTTCCTCTTCGGAAAGAGACCCCAGATTAAGACAAAAAATTCCTTAACTCCATTCGAGGACACCGAGTAAATGACGTGTCGTTTATATTCGCGGTTTCGTTTACAAAGATTAAGCCCCGAGTCATTTTTCAGTTTGCCAGAATCTTCTTGTCGTTGGGAGATTGCAGTTTGAGAGAAGAGGCACGCTCCTTATCCCTTAAGCCCTAGATTAAGAAAATAAATAGCTGACTTCTGTATAAAGTATTTTATACCTATTCGGCGTACACGCTTCCATTCATTATGTCATGTTTGATCCGGTTAGCTAATCTTTGCTTTTAATGCGTCCGCGAAAGAAGATTAATATCTTTGGATAATTTTTCCTTAGTTTACCGGTTACGAAGTTCTTTAATTACGGTGTCGATTTTGTTCTTTAGGGCCCGTGCACTTTTTATCGGCCGATAGCTTGATCGGCCGGCCGATTTTTAATCGGTAGATGTACACACTCCTATAAAATCTTATGTGTATTGTCAAATCGATCAAACTATCGTCTGATGAAAAGTCTGTAGGGTGCGGGGACTTGCATCGCCCAGCGCAAGGGAGAGATTTACAATACTCACAAACTGTTATGGGGAAAGGGAAAGCTTCCCGTGGAGCTACTTTTCTTTTTCCTTCATTCCATCCCATTGTATAAGGATTATGCAGATGAGATCCGTTTGTCGTGGAATTAGGATATGTTGATATCATTTTAATGCCGATGTATCGCGGGGGATACGAGTCGGTGCATAAAATTTCGATTAAGACCATAACTTCGACGCAGATGATCGCATAATAATAGCTTTCGCGAATCAGGCCAGAAAACTCTGTTTTGACACAAAACCCTGACAAATTTTAATTACTCCTGTTCACAGTTTTTTTTTATTAGTTCAGTTAAGCTCTTCAATTACTAGATTAATTAACGTGAAATATATTCGCTGTAACAACGAATATCCTAATGTACTAATTTTCAAACCTATCTCAAACAATGACAAATGTGCTTTTATGTTTTGTTGTAAAAGCACTATAGTTTTCTTCGTACATATTAAGTATAAAGGTAACATTATCAAATCTCTCTTCTTACACCCAATCCTAGTAATGAAATAATTCATAGATAAAAATGGACTCTGTTTCACGAGCGTACTCCCCCAAAACTAATTTCTAAAAGAATGATTACACACATTCAACCTTTCGCGCTTTCCTCATCGTGAATGCTAAACCTTAACGTTCTCACAATATGTTCACGCAAGTCGCATCAATCTAATTATTTGTGATACTGCTTCAAATATTTGTTAATTTTTTCTGTGAACGTGGAAGAGAAGGGATTACGTTTTTGAGGCTACTCTGTTGCAGACTTGAATGGTCGATTTTCGAATTCTTAAGGACGGTCTTCGCACCGCAAAGAGGCTCGGAGCGTCGCCATCGTTTTTGCTCGGTTGGACTCTCTCACGGCTCATTTAGCGATCTTCATACTTGCATCGGGCTCGCGTACCTAAGTAGAGGCGCACTCTTCGCTAGCCTCGTTGAGGGATGCTCGGGGTTGGTGAGAAGCGCGCGCGAGCCGCGAGAAAGTCTCGCGAAGAGACACGAGGGGAGTAAGTCGCTTTTAATAGCCGGCCAGCACCCAGCTGCCGCCGCGTTTGTCTACCCAACGGCCGATGTCTCCGTGTGCCTTAACGAACAATGAAGGAAGGAAATAAAGCCAGAACCCGGTACACTTTTTTCACTCCGACTTCCGAGCACGACGTAATCTTCTTCGCCGTTCTTCAAAGCAAAGGGGTATTCATTCAGGAAATCATGGATTTTAATATGCTCGAAAGCACGTGGACATCAGCTGGAAATCGCGAGCAGAAATCACTATAAATCATTGGAAATTACCGAAACGTCACAATTTTAAGGCTAAACAGCTGGAAATCGCGAGCAGAAATCACTATAAATCATTAGAAATTACCGAAACGTCACAATTTTAAGGCTAAACAGCTGGAAATCGCGAGCAGAAATCACTATAAATCATTGGAAATCACCGAACCGTCACAATTTTAAAGCTAAACGTCACTTGTTACCGAATCGCATTGTTGTTTATCACATGAAATCAAAAGCAATCGGTTCTCGAAGAAAGGAATAATTTTCACTGATTTCTAAGTGAATAGCCCCTCGCTTCATGGTTTTTTGAGAAATCGCCCGAGGCAGTATTCACTCGGGAAGCAGTGAAACGATTTCTTTCTTTGAGAACAAATTGCATTTAATTTCATATGATAAACAACAATGCAATTCGGTAACAAGTGACGTTTGATCTTAAAATTGTGACGTTTCAGTGATTTCCAGTGATTTCTGCATCCGATTTTCAACAGATTTCCGCGTGATTTCGAGCATTAAAATCCATGATTTACTGAGTTCATAACCCCTCGGAATCGCCGGAACTATTTTTCTACCCACGGTTCTACCGCGGTGCAACCTGAAATACATTTTCGGAATACGTGGAGAGGGGAAAATGTACTAAATCCAAAATGTATTTCGAAAGAAACATTAATGCTTAATATGTATACGGAAAGGTTTCCTCACAAGGGACTCGGCATTTAAAAGTAATGAAATATTTTTCCAATGTTAGATCGTTTAACCCTTTGGTTACTAAAGGATGTTTAGGATGTAAAGGATGTACACGTCGATGAATTTGGTCCATGCGTCGAAACGGCTTCGTAACCAAAAGGTTAACCCGAAGTAATTACAATGACTATTTTGGTCCTCGGTACATGCCTGGGAACATCTTGACATTGACTTTCTTGTATTTTTGGCGCATTCAGATGTTGCTTCATAATTGAATGGGATGAGTCATAATGGATTTCGGTGGTAGCATACCACACGATTGTACCGGCACGGTCGTTAGGGATGAGGATGACCTTGACGAATTGCATTGTTCTCTTAAAAACGTATGTTGCAAGTCGCCGGTTTTTCGTGAGCATTCAACATTAAAATTTCCATCTCATCCATTGACGGCAGTGGGATTAACCATTATTTTTGTCCGAAGCGAAAGGATTATTACAAAATCCCGTATTTCAAAAATATTGACTTCATCCCTTTCATTCTGAATACGAATCAAAATAAATATTTGAAAAGTATTATTTAAATATTTGGAATGTTTTTTCTGAATATTCCTTGAAAGCCTTTTTACACGGTGTACATGTTTCATGAACAGTACATTTAACTCTAAACATTATTTGTTAATGTGACCGATCATTATTATCGTTATTGATAAGTGAATACATGATTGGGAAGAACACAAAGGTTGCGGTGGGAAGGTAAAATGTTACTATCTACTTTGAAATACGTGTTCGAGCTCTTCCTTTCGAGACCAGGTCGTATAGTCTGCAGCATCACGATGGGATGACGTGCAGTCGATGCGACAAAACTGCCTAGATTTGAGCTTTTCTATTTGAAACATACAGTACTACCACTCCTTTAAATCAGATAAAATGACACCTCCTTTAGGATATAATAAGAATTTGAAGAGTAACGTTATATCTTAAAGGCAATGCCTTGAAATCATTAGACATTGGGATACGTATCCGGAATGTTTCTAAAAGAGGTAGTTAAGGTGCTGGTTATTTGAATTCAGGAGACTTTAAACGGCTTTAATGAAATTACATTATGTAGAAAACCACTTGCATAGTTACACATGGGATATACGTTTAAGAATATACGTATTATACGTGGTATGGCCACTGTTTGTTCATATAAAATCAAACTGAAAATCAAACAAGTTAATAAAGTGACACAAGTTATACTTAATGGTATATTTTTTTACTTTACACTATATATCAGGGTAGTATGTACTTTCTTTGTGAACACAAGAAGAGGATGTAGAAAAAAGCTTCAAGAACATGGGATAATTGACGACCCAAAATCCTCTTAGAATGAACGAAGAGAACCGACTGAGAGTACAGAAAGAAGGAAATATCTCTTCAGAATTCACCAACATACGAGAAACGTTCTCAACGTTTTAAATTTACCACGAAACGTTTGTATTTTAACGGGTACAAAACGTCTACATATATTTCCAACGATAATAACGCTTGAATTTCGTTATCTGTAATATTAAGGAATATAATATTTAATTAAAAGTCAAATTGTGAAAAGTCAACATAGAGCTAATTCGCTAAATTAATTTTGAAAAAATTCGTTAAATACACGATGTAATTTTCTACCATGCAATACATTACACGAGTTTACTGTATGACATACAACCATTGTACTACATGTACATCACGTAGGTAGTGCACGCACATGAGTTCGGAATCACGTTTAATGCAGAAATAGTTTCTTAATGATAACAAATATAATTGTATACCTTCTAAAGAATGTTATTCACATATAAGAAATTGAGACTTACGTATCGGTGATTTTATCAGGGTACTTTTCCACTTGCTACAAATTAATTTAAAACATGCACGAACTTATATGCAATTCAGAAAATAGGAGAGAATTAACCCTTTAATACTCTCCAGTTTCAAAACTTGGAATAATCATTATTTGCATGAAAATGCCGAAAAACCAGAGATTGAGACTGACTTCAATCCGCCTCGACTTACAATCAGACAATACGAATGTTGGATTCATCTTTAACAATCTTTAAAATAGACATCATCCGAAATGGACATTACACAGAATTTCGAGAATCTCGGAAGAAAATTCTCATATACGACTTAAGGGAATGTGAGTGGCATCCGAAAGCTCAATCGTTCATAAAACTTTTCTACGAATTGGATATCTGAAATCGTTTCATACTTTCAAACGTGAATACGGAAACCCTAAGGTAGGTCCTGAATCTCGCGAAATTTCATTTTTTGTAGGCTATTTTGAAAATACCTATAAACAAATTTGAAAAGAATTGAAATCTCATTAGCTTCAGGACTTTCCTTATAGTCTCCCTGTTCACGTTGTAAAGTTTCAAACTATTCGGTAAACCGAGTTGGGAGAAAAGTTTTATAAACAAAACCTCTTCGACACCACTTTCACATCGCCTTAAGAAGGGTAACGCTTCTTCCCGAAGATCCCGCCGTAATCCTCAGGGAAAGGAGCAGAAGATGAAGGTGAAATTGGGGGCCGAACCTAATTTGTAGAGGACGTCTAATGATCATGCGGCACCTTTGTGAATATTCCGTACCTAGCATCACGGCCAGATAACTTCGAGGAGATCCAAGAATTCGGGAAAGGCCTCAAAATCGACCGGAACACATTTTTGTTTCTCTCGAGACGGTGACCCGGGAAGATAAGCATGGAACCTGTGAAAGCTAACAATAAACCTAAACTGTCGGGTATTCTTGAAGCTTTGAGACCGATGACAAGAACTTTCATAATGAACGAATTTATTGCTTGCGCAGCAAGAGACGACCATGACTCGCATTAAGCGAAGCCGAGGAATCGACCGAACGACAGATCTCTTCTTATTATACTACCAAAGAAAAGACGCGACGATGCAACAGGCAACGCCGTCAATTCTTCGCTCTACAAAGATGAGAGTTCGCCAAGACGTTCATTTGAATATTCACCATACGAATAGCCCGGTTTCGATAATAAAAAAAAGTGGTGCGACCATGACGCGTCGTTGTTATTAATACTATTTGTATATCCTCGATGGCTTTCTTCGCATTGGCGTCAATTTGAAACGCCACAAAAAGCCGTGATTGCCTCTCTGCAAACAAACTCTAAATTTATGCTCAACCTGTATTGTACCCTAACTGCATATTTTTATGCATTCATTGCAATATATGTTTTTCTGCTTTAATTAGAATATATTAGTTTAATGGAAATATTCGGTGCTCTAACATTTGTCGTAAAAACGAGAAATGTTACTTTATCACGTTTGGTATGTGATTGCAATTGTGGTGCAAGTCTTATTGTCATTAACTAGAAATATTTTACTTTTTCCTATGTTCGTCATTATCAATCCTTTTATTGTTTATCTGCTGACTACATTAGCTAGTATTAGAATTTAGTACAAAATAACACATTCTATAAGTACTCATAACTTATTCTTTTATAATGCATGTAACATCCACAGCGGTAACATGAGCGAACAATGTGCGAATCGCACAGGCCCTACATGAGCCACGTGAGATACGAAGAATAAAACGGGACGGCCTTAGAAGACTAAAATGCCGCGGAAAATGTACCAAAGTAGGGCGTGAATAAAAACGAGCAGAGAAGAAAAGTATCACGTAATGGATACCCTTTTCTGTGCTGCTGAAAACAAAACGACTAAACGCATCGGAATAACTGAAAGCAAGAAAATGAAGGGAAAAAAGAAACGACAATGGAAGAGATCCCTCGCTTTACCTTACAACAACAGCATCTGTAATTTAGACTTCATTTATATTTGAAGTGTTTACGATGCTTAAACAACGCACTCTCTAGGCAGAACTTCTGAATGTTCTTGAATAGGATGCCAATGACTTTAATAATTAGGTCACGAAGAGAGAATAAAAAAAGGAGATAAAGAAATAAATTAATGAATGTTTCAATGGATGGAAGCAAATTTGTTTTTCGCGGGTAATGCTCGCGCGCACGCTGAAGTGAAAAGTATATCAACGTAACAAATTGTAAACTAAAGATTCGTAAATTAGAAATTCTATTCCAACAAAAGTAACATCTACTTTGCCATTCAAAACAACTTTTGCGAGAGTAACAAGAGGTTCGCTGATATACAACAATGGCAATAAGGGAGGAGGTTTGGACGTTTAGCCACGTTTACATTTTGTTTAATCACCCGTTAATCTTTAATCCTGCTTTAATTGAAGTCCGGTTAATTGAAGGTAATGTAAAAATCTGCAGTCTCAAAACTCTCCAACTTTCTGAATTTCGATATTCTTTTTGTCAAATCTTACATCATAAGTAATTACGTCCTCCGACTTGAAAAATAGGTTGCCATTGAAAAGGGGGGAAAAAGAAAAAGGTAAAAAGTATTAAGAAAAGACAATTTCCAGTTTCAGTTTAGAAACATCGATGCCGAAACGCGTGACGTGGTTCGAAATAGAGTCCTCTTCGGGATCACGAAAAATATCGCCCTTGAAGAAGACGCCGTCGGCGTCGTAGCCATTTAGGAGCGAGGGGCGTGGGAGGCGAGGGTGCAGCGAATGAAAATTCCGAATGAACGCGAGCAAATGACAGATGGTTATTGGATGGTAGTGAACTGCTCTCAAAGGTGGTGGGGCATCCGGGCCCTCCTTCGTCTCCTCCTTCTCCTCGCAGCCGCCTCTTCCGCGGCCAGTTGTCAGTCCGAATATTCTCTTCTCTTCGAGGTTGCCATCCTCCGCCTGTCCACGCGCCGACTCCACCGAGGGCGCATCCACGCCACCGCGTACACTTAACTGCTCACGGTACGAAGTGCGCCTCGACCTCAAAGACCGGCCAAGAGTTTCGTCTCACTTGCATCGCTTTCCCGCTCAAATTAAACAAAAAAAAAAAGTGTTAAAAAAGGGGGGAAATTTGCCCAGCGTGAAAGACTGTGATGCCGGTAAAGTGAATATCATCATTTGGTTTTAAATCAATTGGTATGTCGGTTTCGGTTGCAAGGCCGACAGAACGCACTAAGAAGCTTATACAAGACATAAGGGCGCTGGATACCAAGAACGCCAATGACAGGGGCACCTCGGATGCAAAAGGAGAATTTTTCATTTTTACCAAGTAGTTCTTTTGAGAAACCGAGGTATATTGTCTATAATCAAGTCACATTAATGGTATTCCGTGCATCTTTGTGTAAGACGCCGCTGTTACCGGGCGCAAAAGGAGAATCTTTTTTAACTTTTATTAAACGGGTCTTGCACAAGGGTGTCAAGCATTTTATCATCGACCTTATTCGGATGAACCCACGAATACGAATGATATGGATCATAGAGCTCGACTCTTATAAGAAAATCATTTTCTTTTCAGATAATGACTATTAGCTTTTTAAAATGACCTTTTTCTATCAGTTTACCCATCGATTCCTCCGAGAGCGCATCCACGCTAACGTGGACGCTGCAGTTGCACGGAACACATACGCGGTTCGAAATATTCTCAGACTCCGAAGATCGACGACGAGTTGTATTTTAATTTCATTCTTTCGTTTCCGATCGAGTTACCCTTGTTTGCGTTAAAAACGTTTTCGGAAATTAGGGAACGGTGATGTCGGAGTACCGGTAAATGCGTAATTATGGATTTATTAGTTTATTTGATTTCGGTTGAATGGATAAACAGAAGTGACATTTATTATGAAGTTTCAATTATGTAAAGAATTTTTCTTACAAATTCATGAATTTCAACTTATTAAAGTTCTTCGCTCGTCCACGCGCATACTCTGTCGTAGCTGCTTACTGTATACGCGGAAGTCGTATTAAGCTTCATTGATTTATTTAAATTGTTAAAATGGATATAGGTATACATTTCCATGAGCACTGCTCGTGCAAAAATGTTGCAGACTCCAAAGCATAACGACCTTTTGCCCCAGACCGCAGGAAAGAAATCTAGAGTGATCATTATGGGCCACCTCGTAAATTATGATAAAATTATATATTTGTACCCATAGAGTACTAATTTAAGAGAAGGGATAATTGACGCTCAAAGTTATGGGTAGTTTGACGTTAATTGTTGACGAACGAGTAGTTCGCGTGTCCGCGCCCACTAAATCGAAGGAACCCGAAAGTGCGTGCCTTTGTCTATCTCCGAAACAATGGAGAACTCGTTCAACTTAAGAATTATCTTGCTGTATGCCCTCCTACGTTTATCGAAAACCCTATCTTTTTTCGCCCAACATTTTCCCAAAATTTTAGAAACGAGGAGACGGAATGCGCGTTGTACCCCAAAAGAGAATGATTTCAGTACTTATGAAATTTGATTCAAGATTCCAAAATAAAGTTGGCTTAAATCTCATCAGTTTCATTCCTGATGTGAACCAACCGATGCTAGGATTAATCGGCGGCCATGAAGAACGGACTCTTCGATGCACCGATCTCTGATCGACCTCTTTCACCGATCATCGACACCGGCTTCTCGATTTAAATACTCGTCTACGGAATTAAGAAAAGTGTGCTCGCGTCTTGAGGATGTGAGATACGAAGATGCTTGGAACGAAGAATCGATCTCCACCGAAGACCCTGAGGATCTACTCGATATTGATTCTACTGCTGGCAGCGCACTGTGGCTCGTGCATAAAGTGGTTGTAAGTCCGATCGCGATTAATACTCGATCTATGATTAAGGGCTCTATCGATGTTCTCACGTCGTTTCGAGAGAGTCTACTCGGGTTCTAAGATTAATGTAGGCTCGTTAATGAGAATCGAATAAATGGCAAGCGGTCGAGGAAGTCGAGAAGCGTGGGTCCGCGCCGCAACCCTTGACTTCTAGTGGCTCTTCGTGTGTGGCCTTCCAAATGACGAGGATCGCTAATTCTAGAATCGTAGCAGGGTACACACACCTTGAAATCGATTAAAGGGGTTTGTAGGTTGGGAAATGCGTTTTAATCGAAGTGAGTTTAGAAGAGAAAGGGTATACGGAATATTTACATATGGAACTGTTTTATTTTGATTTACAAAGAAAGTAAAATAAAAAAGATTTAATGTGTTTCAAAATGAAGGTTTCGTTTTAGATTATGTATAGATACATAAATATTAACATTTTAATTGACACATCATTTGGTATCGAAAAACACAGAAAATGATTGCAACTTTTTCGTTCTGCCATTTCCGTATTGTAGCAAAATATGTTGGGCTTTTGATTTAAAATATTTCTAGTACGTTTATAATGTATTTGGCAGATAATATTTTTTAAACAGTTATATTAAAATGAAACGAAATATTTTGTATGTCTGTAAGAAAAATATTACGAACACACAAATGAGCTAATATTACAAGAATATTACAAAAATAATATTTTGAAGTAAACGTTTTGCAGATATTTCAATTGCCTGCTAAATATTTATAAACTGTACGACATTTGTTAAATGTGAAAAAAATGTAAGACAAATATTTTGTGTTACTAGGGTTAATACGAAGTAATTATTGATCACAAGTTCCTTTTTAAATGTTAGCATGTTTTCTTGAAATGAATTTTGAAAGGATGATCTAAATCAATAGGAATCAAAGGCTTTTGTAGCGGTTGTAGTCTGTATTGGTCACTCGGTGTCTTAATTTGCATTTAATTTAATTCATCGGACCATACGGAACTGCGATAGGCAGGTATAAACGTATGCTAATTTCGCAATTCCAAGTGTAAATCACACCTGAGGTCGGACATAATATCAGTTTCAAATTCCGGGACGTTTTCACGAATTGAATTCCGGCGCTGGGAGGCGCGCTCCTATTATCAGGTGATAAAGAAGATACTTTATGGTTTGCAAATCAAAATTAATTTCGAAATCACGGCCTATAGTATCCGCTGTACACCGTCAAAGCCTAAGTTTACGATCCCACGATTTTCATAGAAATGGCCCATCAAGAGGCCCGGACCCGAAAATCCCTTGCATAAAACTACAATTTAAATAAGAATATACATCGTACTTAAATCCAAGTTACGGTGCCTTTTTTTAACCGCCCCNTTTTAATTTATGTACATATAATAAAAATTCATTTTTTACTTCACGATTATTATAGGACACTTCGCTTGGTATCGAAAAACACGACGAATTTTTCTAATATTTTCGTTCCGCTATTTCATTATGGGAGCAAAACGTGTGATTTTGATGTTATATATTTTTAAAACGTTTGTAATGTATTCGGCAGACAATATTTAAAAAAACAGTTATATTAAAATGAAACGAAATATTTTGTATGTCTGTAAGAAAAATATTACGAACACACAAATGAGCTAATATTACAAGAATATTACAAAAATAATATTTTGAAGTAAACGTTTTGCAGATATTTCAATTGCCTGCTAAATATTTATAAACTGTACGACATTTGTTAAATGTGAAAAAAATGTAAGACAAATATTTTGTGTTACTAGGGTTAATACGAAGTAATTATTGATCACAAGTTCCTTTTTAAATGTTAGCATGTTTTCTTGAAATGAATTTTGAAAGGATGATCTAAATCAATAGGAATCAAAGGCTTTTGTAGCGGTTGTAGTCTGTATTGGTCACTCGGTGTCTTAATTTGCATTTAATTTAATTCATCGGACCATACGGAACTGCGATAGGCAGGTATAAACGTATGCTAATTTCGCAATTCCAAGTGTAAATCACACCTGAGGTCGGACATAATATCAGTTTCAAATTCCGGGACGTTTTCACGAATTGAATTCCGGCGCTGGGAGGCGCGCTCCTATTATCAGGTGATAAAGAAGATACTTTATGGTTTGCAAATCAAAATTAATTTCGAAATCACGGCCTATAGTATCCGCTGTACACCGTCAAAGCCTAAGTTTACGATCCCACGATTTTCATAGAAATGGCCCATCAAGAGGCCCGGACCCGAAAATCCCTTGCATAAAACTACAATTTAAATAAGAATATACATCGTACTTAAATCCAAGTTACGGTGCCTTTTTTTAACCGCCCCCGCAAAGCCGCAGCTTACGCACTAAAGCAAATACGAAGAGGTTTATCGGATATATTTATTTCATCAAAACGACGCAAAAAAAAGAAACGCGCCCACAATATAAGGACGCAGCACCATCAGGGATTTTAATTGAATGCAATTACTAATTCGGATTCGATCACTCTAGAAACCGGGCGGCCGAATAATTAACGCTTTGATTTAAGACCGTAACCTCCGGCTAGGAAATCGAAAGTTAAAAGTAGACACCTGCAAAACTCTTCGAGGATACGAGCGTGGCTTGTCAAGGGAGAGCTGGAATTCGTTCGCTCAAGCGAGATAGAGGTACGAGATTTATAGAATGAATCGTCGAATTATCTAGAACTAGTCGCGCGGTGAATATCTTAAGCACCTCATAAACGATTCTTACGAGGATTCTCGTACGTTTGATCAAATGACGAGGGGTTGGGGCCGTTGAGAAACGTTTCTCCGATAGGTGGTGATTACAGCCCTTCAAGACCCAGAGCGCACACCTCGTGCTCGGGGGGCATAGGGCCAGCCTGAAAGTGCTCACTCAATAAAGTCGATAATAAAGTCTACCGAGGTCTCACCGGGACTCGAAAGTGCTCGTCGTTCCGAACGCAATAAATAACACTTTCAAGCGTTGTCGCGGGTGCGACGTCGTTCGAGGGAAAATTGGTCGGCGGGTATTACTCATTACTCATGCATACTCGAGTACTCGATCGCTCCGCAGTTTGCTCCGGGATCTACCTCAACGAGTTTCCGGCCCGACCGATTTATCGTCCGACGTAATTCTGTAAATAAAATCGCGTCAGGATATGCAAAGGCAGCTTGTAATAATAGATACCAGTCATTAATCGTTGTCCGGGGTATAATGAGAATCTATTCCGTCTCGTATATCTTGCAGCATCCCAGAAAAATCGTCCTCCCGATACGTGGTCGTGCAATTAACGGGGTGAAACCTCACGCCGGATTTCTCGAGGCACGAGATAGATACGACGAGTGAACGATTAGAAAATGCTCTCCGAACGACAGTGCCTAGCACTTCGCGCTTATCGGCTCCTCGTCCATCGGGCAGGTGCCGGCTGATTTTTCAATTAACAAGATTCATTATCGGTCCTATCGACCGTTGAAAAGTCTACCGGGATGCAGTAGAAACGTAATGGGGACCTCCGGTGGAAAAACTCGTCGCGATATTCGCTGAAATTGTCGTCAAGTTTCTCATCGATGCTGCCTGACTAAACGTCGTGTTTGCTCCTACACAACGTTTACTTTTTTCCGCTCGACTCTTCGCGACTCTATTCCGCAAAGCCTGAATCTTAAGGCGTTAGGATAGGGTTATTCTATATATATCAAAACATCAAAATATTTATTAAACTTTTTTTCAAACTGGGTGCATCGAATCATTGGTGGCCCTAAGAAAGAACGCGATGTTCGTGAAATTTAATAAAAAAAAATCTTTTATTTATCTCAGACTAGAACCAAAGACACATTATTTTTTGTCACATGAAATTTCATAAGCATCGCATTCGTTCTTAAGACCTCCATAATCACATGCTGAAGTTTCAAATGATTCGATGGATCCAGTTCTAAGAAAAGTTTTATAAATATTTTCACGTTTTGATGTATATAGAACGACCCTTTCATAACACCTTAATTGAATTTACCAAGTATCCGTCCTCGTCGGCATTGAAATATACGCCTTTAAGACCTCTCGTTAGGCCTTTTTGATCGGTTGGGCCTAAACTCTCGGTCGGTACGTATCTTTTGTTAATGAGCTGATAACTTGCCTGGGGATATTTATGGCTTCTCTTTTACTTTCCAACTCTTGGCCTCTCCGATCGATGTGGCTCTCATTTTTTTGTCAGGGGCCCGATGAAAAATTTCGCTAGTCTCTTCCCGCTTGTGTACCTCTCTGCTTCGCCAATGGATTTCCGACATGACGACTTAATGTTTCCAGCCTCGTAATTTATCCGTCCCTTCGGTTCCCATAGAAAATGAAATCTCGCTCCCCGCTCCCGATCCAACTCCCAATCTTCCCCCTTTTTCCTCTCTCTCTTTCTTCCTTCCCCGGCCCTCTTTCGCTCTCTCTCCCTCTATCTCGATTTCTTGAAAACAATCGTTCGTTCTCTCAGAAAATTTTACTCAAACTTATGCGAAAGATGGAGTACTTATAATGATCTTTTTAATAAGCGTCCATTAACTCTCGATTCCGTTATTCTATTTTTAAATCAAAATCAATAAAATAATCATGACCAAATGTTCTTAATTAAAATAATATCACGCTTTGTGTGTATAGTGTTGTAACTGAGTGCCATATTAAATCCGAGGAGCGAATCTGCGACGTAGGTTTCTTTAGATAACATAGTTGGCACAGAAATAAAAAACACTAAAAAAGAACATCGATTAGACTGTCAATGTTCGTCGCCCTAGAATTATTTCAATTATAATACTTCGAAATGACTTTCGCCTCGACGCTGTATACGCATTGTAAACAGGCAGAGACATGAATTGTTTTTTGTACAATAAGTCTTAGTAAAAGTTTCATTTTTTGCAAACACGGAAAGGAAGGGGGGTGGAGTATCGCCAATGCTAGGAAATCATGATACGTGACGAAAAAGGCTTGAAAATCTTCTTTAGGTGGATAATTGTTGACCGAGCAAGCCCTAATACGAGAACTCCAATCCCGGTTATTGTCAGAATAATTACGTCTAGACGCATCCGAGCTCTCGAACCATTTCAACATTCAGGTGTTCGTAATTACCTCCCATAACCTATAACCCGGATCGCCCCGCGGCATTTAAAGCACCCTTCAGTTCCATGCCCTATAATTTTTTAAATTCACCCTTGATTTACAGGCGGACAAGTCTCATGAAAATTCACGCATCTTCTTCGGGCCTTCATGATTTTCATCCCATTACGATTCGGAGTGGCTTCCTCTCCCTCGGAGGGCCAAGACCTGTTGGAATTTTCGATCAATTCATCGAAATCGTGGGGCGTAATTCCTATTCTGTTTCTAGTCTTTCTCGGAACCCGTTTGTTTCACTGACTTGGGACCGTATAATTTCGTCATTCCGCGATCGTACAGAATAATTTTGGAACGATGACGGGAAATTTAGAAATTCTTTTCGAATGTACAAACCTACAAATTATAAAAGAAGTCTTAATAAACGCAAGTGGGTATGTACGAGGGTCCTTATATCCGACATTCTTAGATACTTGGTTGCACAATGGGGCTGATTGCATAGTACATAACCAACTGTCTTCAATTCCTATATTGAAAAAATTATCTGTACACAGGGTGCGGCTGCACTCTGCAGTTGCAGCTGCAGCGGTTGTAGAGTGTAGGGTGCAGGGTGGGTACAGGGAGCGATTGTGTGCAGGTTGTTACAGAAATGGTGGACACGGTTTACATAGCGCTATTCTTGTAAAAAATGGAATGAAGAAGTCCTGTGCTATTTTTTCTACAGTGCATAATTTGCCTGTAATAATGAATTGAAAAGTAACCAGTAATCGGCGCCGATTAGTCGAATATCAGGTGCGCCTCCTGTAGTAACGAATATTAATAATGTATTGATATAATATTGGTCGAATATTATTAATTACTTGCCAATATTAAACAAATATAATATTTCGCGTCCCAGTAAATATTACATTTAACATGTTGGTACAATATAGAATAAACGTCATTAGGCCCGCAGTATTTTGTTATAATATATTTTGCTACAATTGCATTTTGTTACAAAAATGGATATATATTGCTTTTGTGTATTACTATCGAATATTCTACCAATAGAACAAAATGTTCACATTCAATATTGTAGCAATATTCGCAATATTTAGCCGTTATGTAAACCACACTTTACCAATGTTGTGTCAATTAATATTGCAACATGGGGACCTGCTATCTATGGCGTACTCTTAGTTAACCCTTTGCATTCCCAGCAATTTGGTTAGACGCAGGTAGTCAATGCCAAGACCTGGCCTTAGGAGTGCAAAGAGTTAAAAGCGTTATTTCCTTTCTCCTATTTCCAGGGCCCTAGGTCGAACAGGGGACGGTCGGAGCTGGACTCGCGAGGCTTGCACAGCGGCCAAGAGTGCAGGACTCCTGGAGCGAAAGCAGGCTAGAGCCTGCAGGACAACCCCTGACATGATGCAGGGACTGGTCCAAGCTGCCAAGGACACGTCGACCGTCTGCCAACATGCCTTTCGACATCACCGGTGGAACTGCAGCAGCATCGAAAAGGCTCCTGATTATACAGCGGAACTGTTCACAGGTCTGCACGAGGGTTAGGCAAAGTAAAACTACCAACCATGGATTTAGCAATAGACATTTCAATCGAAAATTAATTGCGTTCTGCGAATTGAATTCAGTTCTTTGAGAAGGAACAATAAAGAGAGAGCGATTACTCTTAAAACGTCTTCCTCCTGAAATAATGATAATTACCGATATACCTTCAGTGTTCACGAGTGCTAATAACAGATCGGTAATGGACCTTATTTTCTATCGCAGAAATGATAGGTTGCTCGATGCGTTTTGCAACTAAAACAAAGAGGCTTTATTACTTGTAACTAATTCTAGGCAGTAGCTTTCAAATAATGGGCAATCTAACCGACGATTTTATCAATTAATGTAAGAGATGATTGTTAGATTCTGGAATTGATTAAATATTGATGCGATATATGAAGTACTGGTCCGTCTACCTTATGTTTTAAAGGTGGCTCGTTTCCTTAAATAGAAAGTCAAATAGGTGGGGTTTCCTTCCTTGCAGAAAGATTAAGATAGCGGGTTAGATACACTTCGAGAGCTAGGTGGTGTTCTTTGTTGGCGTGGGAATCTCAACGAATGAGAAGACTCCGGTGCAACCGCCTTTAATTAGATTCTATTATCAACTCACAGAAATTACCTACGCCTTGACTACAGTGGCTTCTGTCCTTCCTTTCAAAGCTGTCCTGAAACATAGTAGATAAACCGACACGTTGGCTTCATTGTCGAATTCACATATCTCAATATGTGTTATATACAAAAATTAATTCTCTAAGATTAATAAACTGTCGGACCTCGCTTTTTTAGGGATTATTAGACTTCGTCAAATAATTCTGAATTTATTTGACATTGATTGGGGAAAATCAGATAAATGTCTAAAATATTTCAACAGGAACAAGAGAGCAGGCTTTCGTGTATGCCATGTCAGCTGCAGCAGCCGTGTGGCGTTTGGCGAGGTCCTGCGCCCTCGGAAGCTTGGCTGCCTGTTCCTGTGCAATGCCACCTAGAAGGGATCCCCCGGTCCCCTCTACCCTGATCTCTTCAGCCTCGACCTCCGTCTCTTTTGACGCCATGTTCTCGAAAAACTCGTTCAAGTGGGGAGGATGCGGCGATGACGTTAGATCCGCCTCCAGAATGGCCAAAAGGTTTCTTCAGGGTTCGAGTCCTCCAGGTGCAGGTGCAACCGGGAAACTCATGCACGCCGTCAACATGCACAACAACAGAGCTGGAAGAAGGGTGAGCCCTTAAACTAAATGATCAAATTAAAATATTATTTTTCATGGAAAAACACTCCTTTTTAATAACTGTGAATGCGCAGTCCTTTGAAGAAAGTTTCCCCGCTTTGGTAAGATTTAACTTGTAGCTGTAAGGTACAATTGACTCTATTGGAGGGATTATTCCTGACAAAAGTTGAGACTATACCGTTACTGTATATAGGCCGTGGAACAATCTTTGTCCTTGGAATGCAAGTGCCACGGAGTTTCCGGTTCCTGCAGCTTACGCACGTGCTGGAGAGGTCTCAGCTCTTCTGGACCTGCCATCGCCGGTGTTCGACTCTTCCGCAGATACTCCGAAGCTGCGGAAGTCAAATCTAAGTCTGGTGGGAGATTGCCGCCTCTTTATCATCACGATAATCTTCTGTATACTACAAAGAGCCCCGATTATTGTCTCCCGGATAAGAAACGAGGCAGCCTCGGTACAATTGGAAGGTAAATTTTACCAAACGGGATATTTTCTGCACTTATTCTTCGGCCAATAATCGCTAACTTGTGAATTACCTGCAATTAAGCCATTTTTGTACTTTGTATGCATTTATGACCTATCTTATGCTTCAAAGATAATGGAGAGAAATGATAAGTATCCTAGATAGAACTCCATGATTATCATATGATGAGAAAAATCGATTTACTAACAACTTGCAGACCGTTTGCTGCATGAAATGTCTGCAATATATGTACGCATATTGCATAATAGATTTGAAGAAACATTTGCGGTATATTTGTCACGCTATGGCTCAAATATGAGCTACGGACGCTGCAATTGTTCACCAGTAATTTGTGAGATAAATTTGGTTGTACATAAGTGTACAAATATTGAGACATTGCATGTACTTAACTTTGTTTCATATTTAAGTATTTTTGGTTTATCACTGTGTACTGCAGATATGAGTTCCAAATGAGGACTCATAAACAACACCTTCATAACTCATTTCATGATCTTTTATGAGGCAAATTGCATGCAAATTTTGCATCACTTTGTCTATCTAGGATCACACAGTTATTAAATTTGTCAATTACACTTTTTCTGCAGAATAATTTCGTATAATTAAGAATAATTTATAAATAATTGCTAGTAAATCCATCATGGATCAGAGTTTCGTTTATTATGAAGTATTATGAAATCGTTAGAATCATCAATATCATAAGGTGCAATCGAACAATGATTAACTGTGATTATGAGAGATGACCACTTGCGACGCAGGGAAAGAAATAATTTTGCAACAATACGTCGCAAATATTTGAAGTAGCCGAAAGCACCCTATGGTCTTAATACGTACAATAATCTCCCCTACACATATATGCACGTTTTCTCGTAAATTTTATTCTTTTCCATTATCTTCTTCTTTTACTTCTTTCCGGGTTAAAATCATAAAACGTACATAAGGAGTTTATTCGATTTTCGCTTCCTCCTATGTCAAAATCTTATCTTCAAAATATGCACCGATTATACATGTCCATGTATGATACAAAATTATATTCCCACCACGAATTCCGCAATCGCGATGCGTCCGGCAGGGTGTACCTACGCTCTTCTCCTTCGATCCTTCATCTTCGTTACAGAAATAACCTCGTAAAGCCTCCATAAACTGGAGGTTTTACACTCGATCTTCTCACTTCGGTTTACAGCTTGGAGAAACGTGAGGTCTCCTGGCCCATTACACCGGGTTCGCGTGAGTTTCAATTTGTTCTTCGTCAACGTCTCGGTGCCCGACCTCGAGCATACAATCGTAGGTACACGTATGGGCCCAGGTTCCATCCACGTATGTTTCGTACATTCCGAAGGGGTGAAGGAAACGAGGGGAACAAAAGAAAAAGAGAGGAAAAAAAAAATGTATTTCCTCCCATTCGATGCATAGAGGTAACTATGTCGTAAAGTCGGCGTTATGGTCGCGCTAATGGCCCCGTGCTGGGTCCGCTTGCGGATGGCTCGTAACGAGAAGGCCATAGGGAAGGGAGCAATAAAACTGGACGTTGCGGCTATTAAGTAACTCGTCGTTTCCTTCGAACGATACGTCGGACGTAGAGGGTGTTAGAGAGTAAACTCGATATCCTATCTACTCAACGTGCGCAGGGCCCATGACAGGTTCGCGCGCAACGCGCGAGGCCTAGGAGCGAACTCCGCATAGACACATCTTTTAAGTAAAACTTCGCATCCTTTAAACCAGTGTTTCCCAAAGAGGACAATACCGTTCCCTAGGGAACACAGAAACGATCCAGGGAGACGATAGGTGCCTCGGATTCAATTGGGGGTTTGAATAAATATAATTTATTTTTATAAATGGGATTGTCCCTGCATCTTTCTGCTGATTCGCTTAAGGTGAAGTGAAACCCCCTTCAAATCAGTCGATTCGAATACAACACTCTTTTAAGGATATTAGACCAAACTGTCTGAAACTTTGACACCACTCCTGATCATCTAAGAATTGTCCTGACACATTCAAAAGTTGGAGTTTTGGAAACAAATTTTTAACTCAGTCCAGACCAGAACCAAAATGGCGTCGAGCTTTCATATTTCGATCAATATACAATTATCGAAGGCTCTGGTATGAGAATCGAATGAGTCAGGACAATTTTACGACAATTTAGAACACTCTGGTAATCGATAAACTCGCACTTAAACGGGATAAAGGCAAAAAAAGTGTTGTATGCGCTTCTATGCTAAAACGATGGGAATACGAGGTCTCGGAGGGAAAATTTAATTGACTTGGAAATCATAGATGGCGTAGGGAGTCCCTCTGCAATCAATTAGAGCCCTAGAAAGCATGAATCCAGAGGATTTCTGGAGTTTTACTTCGATTTCTTTATAATTATTGTACGAAAACGACAGGTGGAGTATGCCATTTGGTACAATACCCAATATAATTCGACCCAGCTGTCAATATAAAAACGAACGTCGGCAACGTAGGCATTTAGAAAAATCTTCTTTATCGACGTCGATCAAGTTCCTCGACGTGTTTCACTTCACCTTAAGATAGATTTCCGGGGGGGCGATGAGTAATTTCTTTTTTTGAAAAGGACCGATAGGCCAAATAAGTTTGAGAACCTCTGCTCTAAATGATAAGTCCAGTCAAGAGGATGATAGAGAGTATCTAATATCCTCGATACAATCGGGATCCAGGATAGAGTCTTGCGGTAAATGGTCACTGACTGGACCCACCGGTTGGATACTGTATCGATGCGGTTAAGTAACGTATCGTTTTTTTCTAAACGACACATCAAGCGTGCAGAAGGTGCCAAAAAGCACCCGATATCTTAGGTACTTGGAGCAGATGATAGAATTTCGAATCCTATTAACCGGATCCACCAATAAGCCTCAAGTTAATGAGGTTGTTACGTAACCAGGTAATTCTTTTGACCCCTTCACTGTGGGTGATCCGTATACGGCTAAAAAACGTTGGCCCACAGATGTGGATGGCCGTATACGGCCATCTATAAATAGTGGGGTTACCCCATTCCAATTTTGATAAAAGTGGACATCTTTATAGTTTTCTGGGATCGCTGAATCCAAAGCTAATGACAAATTTTCAATATTCAAAATGGCTAATCCAATACAGCGGATCAAACATTTCAAAATAATTAGTATAAAAAAGAACGTTTTGAATTTTGAAATTTTATTTTCAAATTTAGATTCATCGCCCCCAAATACTTTGAGATATCGTTTTTTAATAAACACCCAACCATTTTGAAATGTTTGATCCGCCGTATAGGATCCGCTATTTTGAATTTTGCTATTCTTCTCGATTGTTATCAAATCAGGATTCAACGACCTCAAAAACCTGAATAAAATAAAATCATCGAATAAATTCGAGAACATTTTTTTCCCATGCTAGTGGCAAAAAAGTTCATTTTTGCTCCACAGCGAAGGGGTTAGATAACAGATCCAGCTCAAGAGGCGTCAGAAGGCACTTGTTATTCTTAACACTAGGATTACCAAGTCCAGTCAAAATGGCTAGTTTTAAATGGCCCACTCAGCCAAAAAAAATCCGCCGAGTTGTTGCGTTAACGTGATGTGAAACACGTCGAGGAACTTGATCGACGTCGGTAAAGAAGATTTTTCTAAATGCCTACGTTGCCGACGTTCGTTTTTATATTGACAGCTGTGTGAATTATATTGGGTATTGTACCAAATGGCATACTCCACCTGTCGTTTTCGTACAATAATTATAAAGAAATCGAAGTAAAACTCCAGAAATCCTCTGGATTCATGCTTTCTGGGGCCCTAATTGACTGCAGAGGGACCCCCTGCGCCATCTGTGATTTCCAGGTCAATTAAATTTTCACTCCGAGACCTCGTATTCCCATCGTTTTAGCATAGAAGCGCATACAACACTTTTTTTGCCTTTATCCCGTTCAAATGCGAGTTTATCGATTACCAGAGTGTTCTAAATTGTCGTAAAATTGTCCTGACCCTTTCGATTCTCATATCAGAGCCTTCGATAATTGTATATTGATCGAAATATGAAAGCTCGACGCCATTTTGGTTCTGGTCTGGGCTGATTTAAAAAGTTCTTTTAAAAAATCCAAATTTAGAATGTGTCAGGACAATTCTTAGATGATCAGGAGTGATGTGTCAAAGTTTTGGACAGTTTGGTCTAATGCCCTTAAAAAAAAGTGTTGTATTCGAATCGACTGATTTGAAGGGGGTTTCACTTCACCTTAACGAGTCCAGGTAGAACTCGCGTGCAAGACACGAGGCCCATCGGTCGGGCCCCGCGTAGATACAACTATTAAGTGACTGGTCGTTTCCTCTAAACGACATGTCGGACGCAAGGGGTGACAGAGAGCAGCCGATATTCTCAACGTATGTACCGAGGCCCGAGACTCCGTCTCGAGTCGAATTGAGTGACTCGGACCGAGGTGCGGCGAGGGAGGCCTGCGCTGCCCACGAGGGCAAACCGCGCCTGTCATCCATGTCTCGGCGTAGGTCCGTAAATGTCACCGCTCAAGCCGCTGACGATTTACAAGCTCGCGTATCGGACACCTCGATGTACTTCTAGGATATCCTACTTGTCCATTTTTCTTTTTATCTCCTTTCATCGTGCCTTTCTCGTCGTTCTCTTATTGCCGCGCTTTCTTCCGGACACGCGTACGCCAGGGTACTCCGGGAGAGAACCTGTCCTCTCTCGACTATCCTCTTCCCGGCCGATACGTAGATATTTATTTACACTACCTGTAATTAAAACAGGGTGTTTCAGGCAACCACGTAGATTCCGGCTACAATTTTCCTGAGATTGGTAAACCTACTTGTAACACTTCGAGATGCGCAGGACGAAGTACTCCCTAGTAGCATGGAATAATTTCTAAATATTTGTTAACAATCTTTGCTAAATATCTGAAGCGACGGATTTTTAAGATTTCTTGTAGATTTCATTCGTAGATATCTGAAATATTTGTTGAAAATCTCAATGACATATTTAGTTTCAATAATTTATAAACATATCAAGAAATTATATTTTTTAATTTATGAACATGTAATAAAAAAACATTTTTTACTTCACGACTATTATCGGACACTTCATTTGGTATCAAAAAACACGAGAGATTTTTCTAATATTTTCGTTCCACTATTTCATTATGAGAGCAAAACGTGTAATTTTGATTTTAAATATTTTTAAAACGTTTATAATGTATTCGGCGGATAATATTTAAAAAATATTTGCAATAAAATGAAACGAAATGTTTTGTATATCTGGTAGAAAAATATTATGAAAACACATGGAGGTAATATTATATAAATATTATAGAAATAATATTCTAAAGTAAACGTCTTGCAAATATTTCAAATGTCTGTTAAATATTTACAAAATGTACGATATTCGTTAAATATATAGAAAATATAGGACAAATATTTTGTGCTACTAGGGCTCTATAGCGATCTGTAGTTCAAGCTGATTCTTTGATGCGTATTTGGCCACATTTCTTTTTAACAATAGATGAATGTCAATATAAAGGCTCCTATTAATATTGGTTGCCGATCTGTTTTTTCTTGACAGTTAAGGTTCTTACCGCGACAATTCCGTGCCGTTTGCGGGTTGAACGTCGGAATACGTCGGACGACGACTTTTACACATCGGCGGACTGCAAAATATTAACCTGTTAACTGGGGAATTAACTTTTGTACAACTCGTTTCACAATGGGACTTAATAGTAATATTATCACACCTTCCGTAACGAAAAAAGTCGTCATGCCCATTTGAAATGTCTTCCTGGTATGTCGAAAAATTTTCTCATACCCGGTTAAGGTGAAGTGAAACCCCCTTCAAATCAGTCGATTCGAATACAACACTTTTTTTTAAAGGCATTAGACCAAACTGTCCAAAACTTTGACACATCATTCCTGATCATCTAAGAATTGTCCTGACAAATTCTAAATTTGGATTTTTTAAAAAAACTTTTTAACTCAGCCCACACCAGAACCAAAATGGCGTTGAGCTCTCATATTTCGATCAATATATAATTATCGAAGGCTCTGATATGAGAAACGAAACGGTCAGGACAATTTTACGACAATTTAGAACACTCTGGTAATCAATAAACTCGCATTTGAACGGGATAAAGGCAAAAAAAGTGTTGTATGCGCTTCTATGCTAATACGATGGGAATACGAGGTCTTGGAGGGAAAATTTAATTGACCTGGAAATCACAGATGGCGCAGGGAGTCCCTCTGCAGTCAATTAGGGCTCCAGAAAGAATGAATCCAGAGGATTTCTGGAGTTTTACTTCGATTTCTTTATATTTATTGTACGAAAACGACAGGTGGAGTATGCCATTTGGTACAATGTTCAATGTAATTCGACACAGCTGTCAATATAAAAACGAACGTCGGCAACGTAGGCATTTAGAAAAATCTTCTTTATCGACGTCGATCAAGTTCCTCGACGTGTTTCACTTCACCTTAACAGGTTAATGTTTTGGTGGTTGGAAGAGGTGGTCAGAGTGGGTACCTTTACTGAGGAGTATAACATTTGGAGGAGTAATTTTGTCGATTGTTAAATTATGCGCGAACCAGGAGAAAAAAGGGTTCGTCACAATTGGGCATGGTTTTGACACGCATCGTTACTTTATTACGACCGTGGAACTAAGAGAGGAGGAAACCAATATAACTGGACCATAATAACAAAGGGTATTCAAAGCGCATTCGAAACGATTTCTAGGAAGGAAAATTCTATATACCGTACTATGATCGCATTTGCCACGGTTTTTTCGAGGACAATGGGAAAAGGAACCGAGCGATGGCTGGACCGTCCTGAATTATTCACGCCCGTTTCCTGTAAATTAGCGTCACCCACGACATTCCAATGTTACTGATCGGTTCTTGCAAGTAACCGAAGTCGCTTTCACGAGCAAGAATTCGTTCCTACAGTACAGCTTTAATCCTTTCAATCTAATGGTGCATTCCTCAAAGGTTTACGATTCTTGAGGAGACTGCGCTGTCAAATTTTGTCATTACATTAGGCACGAATCTGCGAAAGCACGTACGACTCCGTTCATACCATATTTCATCCCAAAGAGATTTCATACCCTCCATCCTAGTGCTATATGGAATTGTGTCGAGAAGATTGGACGTATGTTATTCAAACCATTAGAAGGGTTACAAGTAATTATTCACTGTTAATTTACCGATGAAATTGATTATTTGTTATTTTGTGAATTAAAATAATGCAAAAGATTTACATGTCTAGATATTTAACTCATTTACTTAAGAACAAAGCAATTTGACAGAAGTGAACAAATTGTTGATTACAGGTCGGTATTAATATCCAAAATCATAAAATGAAACCCATATACGGAAGTTTCCTACGCGAGCACAAGGATTTCCTTTTGATTTAGTGAAATCCCAACACGTTGACATTCCTCCATATACGTAAAGCGGAGATTTTCTAGCCAATTTCTAGCCATTCTAGTGTACCGGATTAATGCAAACTTAACCAGCTAGCGAGCAAAATGAACTTAACCGTTACCATTTCATGATATAACCTATCTCTAAGTCATACTTTTGAGTCATTTCAATCTTCCCCACCCGTTGACGGTAGTTCTCAATATTAAGGAACTTTTAATCAATATATTGCATGACATAGGATAATCATAAACGGCATCCCTCATATTTCATTGATCTCGGATACATCCTAACATCGGAAGAAGATCTGCGTTGGAGATCTCAAAAAAGGCAATAAATTCCGTTATTCGGTGGGCTATTAGCATGAAAATAACATACGGAGTGGCAGTGTAGCACCCTGTTCATTAGAGAGGGAGGAAGGGATCGAAAACGAGATTCCGAGCCCACGGATAAAACACGCGCGTTGCCACTCGATTTACGGGGTGATTTAATCTGTACATTTCCCAACAGTCGTAACCGATAATTACAGCTCGTATGTAATTACGTCGGGATGGGCGTGCACGATGTTTATCACATAACGCCTCGTCTTTTCATCCTGGTTTTCAAGACCGAACGATATTTAACGCCCCGTCTGTTGAATGGGTTACAAATAAACGGGTGACGCCTCCTTCTTCGACGTACTCTTTTTCTTCCTCTCGAAGCCCTACACGACCGCTTGAACCGCCCTCGACTCCTCTGCTTTCATCTAGTTTTGTTTTCATTTTCAATTAACTCGGTCAACGGTCCTTTCCGTTTGCACGTTTTCGACGATCGTTCCAATTTAACGGGAGCAAAATCGCGGGAGCACTCTTAAGGTGAAGTGAAACACCCTTCAAATCAGTCGATTCGAATACAACACTTTTTTTTTAAGGGTATTAGACCAAACTGTCCGAAACTTTGACACATCACTCCTGATCACCTAAGAATTGTCCTAACACATTCTAAATTTGGATTTTTTAAAAAAACTTTTTAACTCAGCCCAGACCAGAACCAAAATGGNAAAATTAAATACATCTAGGAAAAATTCATAATTATAAGGTTGAATTATGCTTACATATTTATATACAGGGTGTTGGAAAACTCTGGAAACGGTCTAATATTTTTAGAAACAAAAACATTTTTGAAAAAAAAGTTTCAGACCAAAGTTTTAATGTTGAGTAGGGACGTAGATAGTACATTTCATGCATAAGCTAGTATAACGTATGAATTTTTTTATATGCCAATACTTTGGTGCTATTTTAAAGGAATTATGTTTCAGACAATGCAATGGTAGCAGTTCGGGGTACGATGGATGTGAGTACCTTTGTTGCGGTAGGGGTCACGTCAAAAAATCGGAAGAAATTCTCGAAAGATGCAACTGCAAATATTTTATCTGTTGTTACGTCAAATGTAAGACTTGCCGAAACGTCGTGACAACATACGCATGCAATTGAAATCATTGATAGAGGCGAGATATAAAGATCACTCGGAATTGTGAGAACACTGCGAGATTGGGTGAACACTATTTAACCTTTTGGTGCCGGCCGAAGTCGTTACCACTTAGAAAAGGACGATATATCGATATCCGGCACTAAAAGCGTTGAAATAGTAACTTCTCAAAACGTTCGTGCAAAGAAAATAAAGCTATTTAAGGTAGTGCTTTACCTAGATCAGATTAAAGGCTGCAATAGTCCTCCAGGATGAGGTAATCGTTGAAGCATCAAATGACGGATATCAGTGTCGGTATTGATCATAATTGATAAATGCAAACCTGGTGCAAATATAGAAGAATCGGCCGGCTCGCATTTAGTGCGAATTAGAATTGTACGTAGAGTATTCCAGTATGAATGTGATTTCGAAGGTGTCCGCAACTATTGGCGGACGTACTAGATGTAAAAATATCATGCACAAAAATATAGAAAGGCTTAATATCTTCAAAGGCTACTTTAGCCAAGCTAGGTATTGTCAATGAAATTTAATTTATGTCTGTGTACCGTATTTATTAACTCCATGTAACAATGCATTTGCGTTATAAGTGCATAAGAGTCTCTTGAAGGAATAGGCGGTGACAGCCTGACAAATGAGTGTAAAAAGAATGCGTACTTCGATGTATTCAATGTATCTATAATAAAGTCACATTATAAATGGACTTGTAGTGTCATCTAAGGCTTCTGTTTTACGTTTTGAGAATCAGCAACCGGATAAAACCGATCAATGTTTGATAAGATTGCAATATTAAATACATCAAGAAGTCAGATTGGGTAATGACTTTCTAATTCAATTTATTTTACGAATTTTCCTACTTCTTCCCAGTTTCTGGTATACTTTCATCCTCTATATTTAAATCCTTCAAGAATGCACACCAATCTATTCCCGCACCACAATCCGGTTCCTTCTCTGAAGCCCACCATAGCGCCGTCTAAAAATCACAAAAGAAATTAAATTCACATGTTAAACACAAACATAAATCACAGAATTCTGTTCTACGTTTCATTACTTTAATATTATGGAAAAACGTACCTTGATGTTGACTGGAACAACAGGAGTCACAGGATTTATTTTCACATTCATGACCTCTAACAAGTCATGGTAATCGATCTTCCCTTCTTCGTTTGTTTTAAGGCTAAGAATTAGAAAGAATTTTAGCTTAGAACACTAAAAATGTTATACCAGTTTAAATTATAACGAATTTTTAACACTCATAGAAGGTTTTGTAAAAATAGTCGTAAAAGTCAAAGGTTTAAACCGATACCATATATAACATTTAATGTTTTTACGAATATATAGGAATTTAATTGTTCAAGTTTACTTACTGGTCTAGCATAGAATTAAGAAGTTCTATGTCCATGGGCACTCTACATCCTCGTAAAACTGTGTATATATCGTGGCGAGATAAGTATCCCGTGTTCATACGATCTCGATAACGAAGATCTTCCGACAATCTGTCCAAATCATTCCATAGCAAACGAGTGATTTCTGTATGTACGAGTCTCCTGTAAATGAGTATTTCATGACGTAACGGTACATTTTTTTCCAATTCATCTTAAAGTTGCGCATATTTCAAGACTATAATGTCTCTGATTTTTGAAAACTCGCCTGATATATTCCCTGGAGTAAAATTCTTTTTTCTCATGGGATGAATAATGTCGAGCAGTAGTGATCATCTCATGTTCGGTTATTTTATCACCAAGATATTTGCAGAGCGCTTCCCTATAATCAGAGAAATTTAATAGTATAAGTTATTCGAAAGCTTGACATTAATTCATTAATTAAGTAGCCTATCTGAGTTCATACTTAAGCCTCCTATATTCCAACACATGTTTCTGAATATCTTCTTTCGGACAAGGACAATACTCCTTAAGGAATTCCTTGTAAACTGGCTTCAAGGACTCTCTTAGTTTTTCCATGATTAATTTTATGTTAGCTTTAGGAAACTAGAACGGAAAAGAAAGCATTATATGACTTCACTCGGGATTGTCGAATGCTCATAATTAACCCTAAAACTCATGAATGGGGTATAAACCCACCCCAGTAACGTTCGAAACTTCGCTCTAAGAGGACAATTTTTATTGTTCCTCAGCCTTTAAATGGGGTTTTCATTAACTAAATTTAAATCAAATTAAATTTGCTTCTGACCATTCACTTCCTTATTAAAAACAGAGAGATTCATCTATTATCACTCCTCTCTAGTGCCGATAAGAAATATTTTATCAACAAGAAACAAGCGGGGTGGATACCTTCCCTAGTCATGAATTAGAGGGTAGAAAAAGTTATACATGAAGTCTAGAGTTAATGAACTCGTCTTTAAGGACCAAAGTCTACCTTGTCGCAATGAAGTTCCATATAACGCAACGTGTACACGTCTGCGGATGTAAGTAAGAAATGGAATTCACAGAGATTTAATCGGGCACCAACATAAAAGTCTTGGGGTTCGTAATATTTTGGTGGCTTGTTTGTAAACACGTTCTGCCCCGGCAACATTACTCGCATTCTTTTCTGGAAAAGGCTGCTTACGAAGCCTGAGAACACCAAGTTTTAAGCTTATTGAATGTTTTTATTGCTCTAGTATTAACATCACTTATAAGTTACGGCAAGGCAATAGAAAGTGGACCTCAACAAAGCCGCCTAAAAGAAAAATGTTGAAAAACATCTATGGAGTTGCAAATAATATGTGCACTGAGAAAAAGATTAGTTGACTGAAACGAAATGATTTAAGATGTAGGTACGGTAATGAGTGATCATCAGTGATCAATGAGTATCAATAGGTAAGGAAAGCAACGATAAAAGGTAACTGTAACAAACGTAAGTATCCCCCAACTGTTTGTATCCTTTGGATCCGTAGATTAGTGCGCACCTTAGTAGTCAAATCGGAAACTTTTTTAAGAAACATAAAACGCATAAAAGAATTACCTGAGTTTCTCGGTGCTAACTCGAATATCGAGACAGTGTCATCCATTAAAAAAATTCTGATAATAAAATGTCTTTCCACGTTTTCAGGTATATTAGAAATCATTTTTGCCCGGTACCTTAAGACGTGACCATCGAATCCGTGTCTAGTAACAGAAATAAAACAATTGAGGAACAATTTATTTATAATAATGACGTAAAATACAAAAGAGTAATTAACAAACTTGTCGTAGTTGTAGAATTTCGTGAAGTTCATCTTGGGCGCTTTCGGTATCACCGAAAAACAATTCCCAAGGGAATCATCATAAGAACCGAAACCATTATACGGTGGGATTTCTGGTTTCACGGATTTACAAGATGACTCCGTATTCGGAATTTCGAGTGGCGTGAAATCATTAATTCCGTACTTTTTTCTGCAATCAAGAACGATTAATTGGAAATTCTTCAATTTCAAACTTTATACGAAAACAAAACATACAAGCATGTAAAAATTTAGTAACCAGTATTATTAAGGTATTAATGTATTTTTTATCAAAAACTTTTCAGAAAGAAATAGCATTCGTACATAGTAGCCAGTTTTATTCTTCATTGGTTTTTACGTTTGAAGATGGTTTACCTATAGTACTCCTTCGTAAACGGATCAAGGTCAACAATGACAACTTCTCGACCAAAAACACTGATTCGTGCTCCAATAGCGAGATCATTATCTTTATAGTATTCTTTAGAAAACTTTCCAGTGTCCAAAGGATCTACTACGTAATATGTGGATGCGGCATTTTCGCCCAAAACATTAAGTACCGTGTAGGGTTCTTGAGCTCCTATGGGATCCAGCCTGGAGTAAAACTGAATGCGGTCTTCTGTTTAAATTTTTCCTACGCTCTGACTTTGAAATTGTTAATTCGATTACCTTAGGTATTTTTGTTCTTTTGACAAACGTCACCCCGCTGTCTCGTCCAGAGTTCGGAGGAATGTTTTCTTTTATCTCGATTGTATCGTCGGCGAGATAATAATGTATTTCCAAGTGGTGTACGACTCCGAAAGGACTGTCAGAATCGTCCCAATAGCCGTAAAATCGCAGAACCTTCCTGTCGTTTTTTAAGAATTGGCCCAGAGTGTCTATCTTTAGATTCGGTTTTTTTGGAAAGAATTCCTACACAGAACAATGCTTAAACGGTATCTTTTAGAGTATGAATATGAACGTTTTGTTTATATTAGATGTCCCTGAAATATTTCAGACATATAAAATGACCTTGTAATTTTTGTATTTAAATTAATTATTAAAATATAATACTTAAATTTATTCATAAAATCATGCACGTATTTTTTCTTAAAATAATAAATCATACTTATGTAAGCTTCTTAAAAACTTAAATTATCTTATGATTTTCTAACATGTTTATATAACGTTTTGTTTATATTAGATATCTCTGAAATATTTCAGACATATTCAACAACCTTCAATCTTTGTATTTAAATTAATTATAAAAATATAATATTTAAATTTATAAATAAAATCATCCATGTACTTTTTCTTAAAATAATAAATCATACTTATGCGAGTCTTTTAAAATCTTAAATTATCTTATGATTATCTAATATGTTCTTTTAATAATATAATTACTTACAACTTTGCGTCCCTCGTTATAACGATCAGAAGGAATTTCTAAAGAATTTGGTACAGGGATCCCCATACGATTCAAGAATCTCCTGGTAAACTCGTCACAATCTACAATTTTGTAAACGCGGCCAAAAAATTGCGGTTCCTTACCAATGTTAAGATCCAAAATATCGTAAAACCGATAACTCGCTGGTTCTGGCATTGGTATTCTCTGCCGTCTCAGAAGTACTCCTAGGATTAAAATTGCCGCTAATTCTCATGACGTAAAAGTAACGTAATAATTAATTTTGCAAAAACGAAACGATAAATATGATTTAGTGTATGTTTTATACTTATTCATAGCATTGTTAGCAAACGATTTCGTCCTAAATTTCAAATTATTCTCTCCTAGTGTCCTCAATTTCACAGTACTCATTGCCCTCCACTCACAAATTTTTAACCGAGAAGGAAAGTTAGTCTGCCAAATTTCTAACTACACGAAGTGGAGACTATATTCCCTCTGTTCCCAAACTATTACCTTTTACTTGAAATTTGAAATCACTCTTTCGTACACTATCTCATTATAGTGCGGGAAGCAAAGAATATAAAAACATTCGGTCTAGACAGCTTCTAAATCGCATTATTATAAAAGATTGTCTATTATTAAACCTTGCTCGAGGCCACTGTTGTTCACTGGCGGCTCTGATATTTTAATAGTTCCATCCTCCAGAAAGAAACTAATAGTGACTACACGAATCTGGAAATTCGAACTCCACCTCTCTTGAACAGTTTCTTGAAAATATGCTTTGAACATCAGTCTCTGGAAAGATCAAGAAGTAAGATCAAGATTTAGAATAAGACGCGTATTTTATTTACGATTCACCTTAATATTGTACACATTGCAGAGACTAACCAGATTTACATCAATGCGATCAGTTCATTACGTTTCAACAAAGTCGAATATATGTTTTGAGGAGGCAGATGTATAGCGGAACAAAAAAGTTTGAAACCGCGATAAGTTTAAAAGCGTAATCTTTAGAAAAATGGGACCTAGTGCATATTGTTAAATAGACTTTTTATTGTGTAATTATGTATTAACTACTTGTTCTTTCAATATCATCGAGTCTTTTTTAAGTTCAGATATTTGTAAGCAATACAAATGTTTCACTTGTCCACATATGGGGTACAGTGAAACAAGCAGCAGGACATAATGAAACAAACGTAAAAGTTTCACCTTTAGTATTATTTAATAATATTGTTTAATACATATAGGTCTATATAATGATTAATGTCACCTACGCTTTTCGAACAAACGAAAATTGAACTCAATCTTTGGTTTATACCAAGATTTAAGTTCATTAGAAAATCGGCGTCCTTGATATTGTCATTTGTGCCAAAGTTATTACTTTGACCAGATACGCATTCAATATACGGATCAGTACTCTTATTGTTGAAAGTGTTATATCCAGTTCTTGCATCTTATATTAATTGTACAGTTATAAGCATGCTTTCTTCGCTACAACTGCCAATATTTATTCGCCTTTTTTTATTTCGAACCATTTCGTTTTACTGTAAATAGTATTTTAAATTAAGCATGAGTAAGCAACGACTGTAAAACATGTGAGTTACAAAAAAACAGCGTTTGTAGAAAAACAGGAGCATGTATATCTCACAGTCGTCAATTTTGTAATTAAAGTTGCCGATTGTAGGTAGGAAAAATGACTAATATCTAGTGCGTTTTTTATAAGCTTAATCAAAATTGTTAAAGATTAATATTGCAATAATTGAAATATTTCACTATAGCCCACTTTCTTCTATTTTGTATTTTTCAAAATTTATTAAACAGTTACCCACTGAACACTGTTATATAACTCTTAGGTAAATGTTACGTTTTCGAAGCTAACGTGTTACGTAGCATAAAAGTAACATGGAAGTTAGATGTTTGTTATTATTTCCCACTCAATAAAGTAACATGTTATATTAATGTTATAAGTTCAGTTACCTTAAAATAATATTAATTTTTCAAACATTACGTGTTATGTAGCATAAAAGTAACATGGAAGTTAGATGTTTGTTATTATTTCCCACTCAATAAAGTAACATGTTATGTAACATGTTCTATTACCGTTNACCAAACCTAACAGTTACGTAACTTAAAACTAACAAATAACATAACGTTTGTTACAATGTAATAACCTAACGGTTACATAACATAGAGCTAACTAGTTACATGACATTTGTTACAATACAGGAACTTAACGGTTATGTACCATGGAGCTAACAGGTTACATAACATTTGTTACTATCATATTTATATAAATGTAGCATAACTTTGTTACTCTCATCTTATGTTACCGTCCTGATATTACTGTGTACATGCAGCACATATTTTGTAACAAAACGGAACTACATCGGTGCTGTCATTTATTTTATTACATCATTGTCGTAATTAATAGTTAAATGTCATAAGATTAATGTATATCATATTTTGTTTACTACTCGTATGAAAAAATGTAACTTTAATTCATACGCGCATGTACATTATCAGTCATTGTTTGCTAGTGGAATGAAATCCTAATAGTCTTTAATTAAAATCAGATAGTTTATCATTGCATAATTTCATTGAAAGTCTGATTTGTCCTTTAATATCTAACTATTGTCAAGTAGCAAAAAATAATTAAAAGTAAAAAGTTATATAATTTTTGATAAAATTGCGTGATCTTTTTTATTAAATTTATGAAAAATTAATATTATTTTAAGGTAACTGAAATTATAACATTAATATCACCTGTTACATAACATATTACCTTACCGAGGGGGAAATAATAACTAACATCTAACTTCCATGTTACTTTTATGCTACATAACACGTTAGCTTCGAAAACGTAACATTTACCTAACAGTTATATAACAGTGTTCACTGGGAATGTAGTTCTGTTTTGTTACAAATATGTGCTGCATATACACAGTAATATCAGGACAGTAACATAATGTAAAATAAGAGTAACGAAGTTACGCTACTTTTATATAGATATGATAGTAACAAATGCCATGTAACTAGTTAACTCTATGTTACGTAACTGTTATGTTTGGTGTTCAGTGGGTATTCGCTGTTTAAGATTTATTAACCTTTAAGTAACTGATATATAGGGAATATTCCGTGAGGATCTTTCACTTGGTCAACTGGCTCCATTTTTCACATATTAATGAATCTCAAAGTAAACGTGTATATTGTTTTACCTATATGTTTTTTGTAACGTATTTTATTCTATGGTATCACATTAGGTATTTTCTTTAAAATGTCTCTAAAAATTATCAACCCACCTGTCCGTCAAAGGCTAGCCAGGGTGGGACCGTTCGCACCTCTCCTCGGGGATAAACTGAAGGGTAGCGATCAAATTTCGAAAAACCTTCGAGGTTACCAAACATTGTTCTTTCAGACAAGTAGTACACACCATCATGAATTTTGTCAAAGTTCTGACGCCTATGGAATCTAGTTTGTCCAATCTATAATAAATCCACGTTAATTTGAATTTTGAGTTGGGAAATGTTAAGAATTGATGGTGTATTATCATGTTATAATATTTGAAATTATTTAAAGGACAACTACTTACTTTTGTGTCGAAATTAAATCCTGGAAGAAGAGGTAGCGAGGGTGCACGTTGCATTTTTATGTAAACTCCAACGTTTAATCGAAAGTGAAAAAAAGAATTATAAAGAAAATAACCTTTCTAATATGAACTCGACAAGAAAGGCATGAGTAGGCAAAGCAGTCAAAGTACTCAACAGTCAAAGTAAAATATAGGGTACAATTTATTTACCTCGACGTTTCCTTGGAAACTTGTAGACTGAAGGGTTCGGTGCTCGAATGATAATTATCTAATTATAGATGATTGCAGGGAGGTATAAAGATAAGTCCATAAGCTAATGTTGCAATGTATTTATTAATTAAAAGTGCATAATGCCTCTTCATGTAATTTATGAAAATATTTATAATCTATAGATCTATGAATATTAATAGTAATAAAATACCTTTCTGAAGTGAGTCTGGAAATTTGGGATTCGAAAATATTGTAATAATATGGGAATCATGATGTAAAGGAGATAAGGCGTGGGACGACGCAGCCCTTTTGACATACCAGTCATAATATATTTCCAAAAGGGCGCCATGTTTGTTAACTAACCAATGATACTTTTAATATAATGCAATATGGCGGTATTTTGCAAAGCGCGGTATAAGTCAAAAAAGAGACCTCCGTGGGAACACACCTTGCCTCCTTTACATCATGATGGGAATGTAATAAAACTCTCGTGCTGTTTTTATTTTAGTTAACAGTTTGTACACTCATATCCTATATTATGTCCGGCCATATTATGCGATTGTATAGAAATAGCAAAAATCTTGAATAAATATAATGCTTCTATAAAATCTGGTGACTTAATTATAGTCATTAGCTAGTTGAAACGCGACTTTTTTTTTAGTTATAGAAAATGTTTGGCAATATAAGTATTTCTTTTTAGTACGCTCAATGTCTTAAAGTACTCTATTAATTCCTCGTTGATAATTACTATAACATTTGATAAAAAGTGCAGTAAATTTGCTCAAATATTGGTTAAATAATTTCTTTCAAATAATTATGTGCTGATTCATTGCAACACATTACCAGAAATCTCCTTTAAGATTAATGATTAAATTGAACTTTTATATTTGTTTCAAGATGAACTGTAACAAATTACCCACTTGTAATTAGTTATGTGCACGAATATACATATACATAACCTCACTAGATAGCTAAGCAGCGTAAATGCAACTTGAAAAAGTATTAACAAAGGCAAATGCAGTTCTATAAGTAGTATTATGCAAGCACGTAGAACCTAATATATGACTTCACGGTACCTAAAATAGATTTAATTACAAATATTTACTGAGTTTATAAATAAATCTCAGATGCAAAAAACACTATGATAAATGTAGTAAATAAAATGTTTATGCATAGACTATGAACAATCTCAATGTACATATTTAATAATCAACTGTAAATTTAATTATCGCCTTTATAAGAACGAATGATTTCTATTAGCACCATATTTAAGTTACTCTGCGTCACGCATAACTACTGATAAACTGTTAATAAATAATATACCTGAATGGCACCGTGACGTGCGCAGTGTTAGCTTCAAAGTAATTAGCCTCTCACTTAACATCGACGTTCTGAATAATGTAATACTTTCATTTTTTAAAAACATATGTCGAAAATATTTTTGTTTAAGAAGGAACTTGTGGAGGCTGCTTCGCAAAGAGTCTACAAAGCCATGTTAACCTCCTTTTTCCTCCTTTCTTTTTTTTCTAGTCTTTATTTTTAGGTGAGAGATCGTACCAATTGGTTACTGGACGGACTAAATCCATTTCAGACAAGTTTAAATGAACTTGACCAATTACATTACTGCCAGATGAAAGAAAACCTTTCTGTGTACACACAGAAACTTTTAGCGTGCGATTATCAGAATCGTATCGTGGAATAACAAATTCCAACTGTTCGTCAAACACTGGATTACAATTGTTACTGATAACTGCAGTTCTGCGCTTCAATTCCTTGTGCTGACCTCGCATCAAATATAGCTTAACGTAAGGATCTGGCACATCAGTTGGATCATTCAATGGGAGAGGCAAATTGCTGCAAAAATAAATTAAAGAAAAAATGTAATTGTTAAAGGTAAATTTTTTAAATGATTAATCTAACAAACTATCACCATTACCATCATATACAATATTTCGTTTACTTAGAATAAAAATATCTTCGATCATATATATGAATTTTTGTTTGAATTAATTGTATCAATTACGATCCTTATATTTGTCTTTTGTTAAAGATATTTAAAAATTTAAAGCTAGATTACAATTTTTTTATCGTATATCAATTGCTTTATCAAAAAAGTATTCACTTACGCAATTTTGTGGACAACAACAACAAGTGTCTGTCTCGAAGCAGTGTACCGAAGTGTCAATTGAATCCTTCCAAGTTTTGATGCCCCTGATGATGATGTAATGCTTGGATTTCTGTGTATAACGCCTGGACTTGCAGATGCTTCTGTTGACACTGTCGAAATTATTGTATCTCTTTCTGCAAGCACCAATTCATCAGCCTTAGTTGTAGAATTCATTGTCTCGTCAGTTGATATTATGCCACTTGCTAAACAATTGACAGATTCCTTTGATGGTTGTTTCTGTAAAGGACTAGGAGGAACTGCAAGAAAAAATATTTGTACCGCTCAAAATATAACAACAAAAAAAGAAAATAGCATGATATTAACCCTGCTTTAATGTGGCGGAATGTGATCTACCCTACTGAATTATACTTTGGAATTATATACTGGAATGCGCTAATCCCCGCAATGAAAGAGAGGGCCGTACCCACAGAACACTAATATAACTGTTAGGTAAATGTTACATTTTCAAAGCTAACGTGTTATGTAGCATAAAAGTAACATGGAAGTTAGATGTTTGTTATTATTTCCCACTCAATAAGGTAACATGTTATATTAATGTTATAAGTTCAGTTACCTTAAAATAATATTAATTTTTCAAACATTTAATAAAAAAAATAATGCAATGTTTTATTTTGTATTATTTCGTGGCACTTGGTAATAAGTAGGTATTATATAATAAATCAGACTGTAACTGAAATAATGTGAATGATAAACTATCTGATTTAAAAAAAAATCAATAATTTCATTCGATTAGCAAACAATTACTGATAATGTGTATGCGCATGTGAATTACAATCACATTTTTTCATACAAGTAGTAAACAAAATATGACATGTATTAATCTTATGACATTTGACGATGAATTATAATTATGACGATGACGAAGATGTAATAAAATAGATGACAGTTAGCATCAATGTAGTTTTGTTTTGTTACAAACATGTGCTGCATGTACACAGTAATATCAGGACAGTAACATAATGTAAAATAAGAGTAACAAAGGTACGCTACATGTATATAGATATGATAGTAACAAATATTATGTAACCTGTTAGCTCCATGTTACATAACTGTTAAGTTACTACATTGTAACAAATGTCATGTAACTAGTTAGCTTTATGTTACGTAACTGTTAGGTTATTACACTGTACCAAACGTTATGTTATTTGTTAGTTTTAAGTTATGTAACTGTTATGTTTGGTGTTCAGTGGGTAGAGGGTATTTAGGTCCTTTCTCGCACACAGTTACTCGAAATGTTTTGCTGACGTTGAAATGTTAATTGACAAGCATGCACTGAAAAAAAGGGGATACAAACAAATACCCTCAGAGCTGTCTCCTCTTTTTCTCTCTCTCGTCGCAATTCCTAAAACACTGGAACATACGACCGTGCGCATACCAATATGAGTATAATTCAGTAGTTTACCGCAACTGTTGTGATAGGCGACAATTAGCCATCGCACTAATGCAGGGTTAAACAGAATAAACCTTTAGATTCTCAACATACCACTATTAGACGCAGTGTTGCTAATGTTTGATTCTTGTCGCTCTATCCGCTTGTTCAATTCGTTGATATCATGATCGTCATCGTTGTCTTCTTCGGTAGTAGGCTCAGGATCTTCGTATCTGAGAATCTGTGAGTGAACGTTTAAGTATTCTGGGCTGTAAATTTATATCAAGAATACTTACACGCAACATCATTGAAAGTACAAGTTTGCTCTTAGACTGTGCATCCTGTAAATTGTAAGGCTGTTGTGTAACCTCGAGATTATCCTTTCTCATGACGAGGGATAAATTATAACTCATGGTGCCAATAACTGTTCCAGACTTCTCGTCCCAAACCTAAATAATTAAATTTATCTTCCTCCATTTCAGAATCACAAAAATAGTAGTGATACACGAATACAGAAACTCCTGCCTAGTAGCACTGCTTTAAATACCTTTATATGTAAAACACTGGTTTCTGGATTAGTAACTAAGAATGTAAATCCATGTTCCCAAACTGGATCACAAGATCGTGGTATTGTAACGGTTCTTTGCTTTTTACTGTCTACACTTGCTTCAAGATAAACATCGGGTTGTTTACTACCCTGCAGACACTGTCAACGATAATAAAACACTTATTAGATTTCTCTTTAGCTTCGCCAATAAAAATTAGAAAAAGGCAACTTACAGGAAGACTCTTTGCAGAGTCTATGTAAAGAATAAGTATAGCTGTACTTAATGATGAGACTTGTAACTTCTGAGTTTCATGTAAAGCCTAAAAAAAATGTCCATCTTTGTTAATGTAAATATTTCATTATTTTTAAGGGGATGTAAAAGTAGCATCAGAGGAGTCAACCATTCATGAAACCAAAGATGACCGGGGACATGTTTCACGCCATTATTTAAAGGTAAGGCACGGCTCACTGACGCCCTCTACGCCCTGTACACCCCTGTAAAAATTGTAACTACTTTCAAAGGGGCGAAACCTTCATGACCGGTAAAGCAGGGTATGCGTGCGTACCGCGCCGTAATCTCCATCACCCACGCATAAGGTTATTTGGTATTTGTAGTCTCCTTTCCCAAGCTACATTGATCCTGATATTAAAAACGAAAACGCAATAACTTCATCCTATCAAGACTGTGCTGTATTTGAAATCTGCAGACGCGTTTTTCTTAACCGATAGAGAATATTTCGCCCCTACGAAAGCAGTTTCGTAGTGCTAGTGAGCCGTGCCTCCCTTTCGATAATGGCGTGATATATCTCCCCGCTCATCTGTAATGAAACTTTCATCCAATCTGGGTGTATCGAATCGTTTAAAACTTTACAACGAGAATATGGAGGCTATAAGGAAGGCCCCGACGTCCATAAAATACCTTTTTTTTTTTTAATTAAAAAACGTCTACAAACAAATTGTTTTAAAATTGAAATTTCATGAGTGAGAGAAGCCTTTCTTACAGACTCCATGTTCACACTGTACAATTTCAAACGATTCGGTGCACCAAGTTCAGAGAAAAGTTTCATAAACGAGACCTCTTTGGCGTCACTTTCACATCACCTTTTACATTATAATTTAAAAAAATTACAGTCTGGAGATCCGCAATGTTAGTGGAGAGTTTCAACCACGTGAGACGTAGGTGCACCATTCCATGTTTGGCGAATTCTAAAGCAACCCACTAGAAAGAATAATTTAAAATAATGATATTAATTGCTATAATAATTGATAATATACATTCATAAAGGTAGCACTTTTTACGTATTATTTTTTCACTCACAGTATCAATTGTTCCTTTCTTCTGCACCCGACTAACTTCAACGGTGGCCCTAAATAAAATATTATGAAAATTATAATCGGAGCAGACAAAGACGTTAAACGTCGATTGTGAGTAACTGCTCACAGGAAACGAAGTTAAGAGCTACATTGTTATATGTATTAAAGCAACTATCATGCAAAATTTGGTGATGTATGACATGAGCTTTTCATTAAAATCATACACTTTTTAAAATATATTTGATACTTCATGCAATACTATGCATGCAACATCTCAGGGTGGGGCTTCTCTGTGGGTATAACAAATTTTTATTTTTAAATAATTCAATTACTTGGAAGTTTAAACATACGTATTAACCAATCTACAACACTACTACACACTGTTTGGCATTGAGCTATTTCTTTGTACACCGCGATAGTTTTTTATTTTTTATATTTTTATCGAACGTCGCATACGCATGCTGTACACTGCCAGTACGTTTTAAAAAGTAGCGTATTGTCTCATTTTTCTTAAAATAAGAATATATAGGACAGCTATTTTGTTTTCGAAAGTTTGCACTTAGTGATTCATAGATTACATGATACGACGAGCAATACCTGCCGAGAGGATCATCTTGACCAGTGTTGTCTTTGTCAAAAAGTCGAGCAACCACCATGTCGTAACGGCTTGAACCTTCCTCCACCATAAACTATCACCACACATAAGCTGCTTTAGTTAGTTCTCATAAGAATTCAACAATCTGAACATTTCATTACGATATTCGTAGAAATGGTTAATGATTAAGATTAAATTAGTCATTTCTGCCATTTAACATATGTGAAGCAGGAACACCAAAGGTAGAAATACCAAGACTCTCTTACGGTAATCATAGATAAAAATTTCAGATGTTTTTATAATTAGGTGAATTGGGACTTTAACTCTTTTAATATGGATAATATACAAGTGCTTTTAACATACATACAATGCTTGCTTAAGGTACTTGAATATTGCCTTGAAACGAGCGATTCTAATGGCCTTTAATAAACAAAATTAAATCAAAACGAATTATAAATTAGGTTCAAAATTAATGTATTGTATACAAATAATGATAATTGAAATATTTTTAACTAATAAGTATCGAATTTTTCTCTGATTGCCATGCGAATTATTAATAAATGCTATGGGTTACTATTATACCTCTACATGCAAGTATTTCAACTAGATCACTCTTTCACATTATTAAGGTATGATACAAGTTAGAAATAATAGTACAGTCCCAACATTTAGAGGTCAGTTACAGTACTTAATTCAGATGTTTATAAAATTTAAACGACTTCTATATTCATCTACTTCCTTCCAAGAAAGTCATTATTTTGTATACCAAGCAGAGAAGGATCCCAATCCTAAAGCGATACATCTGCTTCTTGCCGATATTGTGGATTGATTATAGCTTAAATGCCAATAGTATGATGAATAATGAATAGATAAAAATTGCATGTGTTACGATTTTGAACATTTTTAAAGAATTATGTGTATATATATATATATGTTTCATTAAACGGTATACACTCATTCTTGCCTAATATTCTTCATAAAAGTAAATCAAGAAATTAACTTGGATGATTTGATACGTAATGAAATTGTAAGATTCAAATTTAACATAGATTAAATGAAAGCAATAATTTCTGGTCAAATATCTGTGATGCTGAATGTGGAGAATCAAGAATATCTTTAAAGTCTTAATAATATGTAGAATCAATTTTACAGTCGGTGGTCAATTTATTAGTTACAGTATAGCTTTTCTCATTAGTTTAGATTCAAAGCTTTTTATTACGAACACAGACTTATTTCTTCCTCTACAAGTATTTTTAGTTTAATGCTAACAATACTATCATTGCTTCTGACTGGTGGTAGTACTGATAGTCAATCCCATTGAGAATGTTTGAGAACATCTTAAGAGAAGAGTTGCAAAAAAAAACATGAAACATTACAACTAAAACAAAATTGATCAAAGCATTAATAAAAGTTTGGCATCATATCTATTGAATTGAAACATGATGCCAATAAATGCATCTAACGCAGGCCAAGAAGAGTTTAGACTGTTATTAATGCTGAGGAAGGTTCTACTAAATACTACGAGAATATTGTGAAAACGATTAAAGTATGATTTTGCTTGAATAAATATTCCGTAATATGTGAGCTTCTTTTAATCACAATGAAATGCCTACTTCATCTAAAACACATGAATAATAGTTCATACATCCATAATGTATTTAAAAATATCATTACTTCCAATTGATTATAATGTAAATTTCATATTACGGCCACTGGCCGTACATATTCATTGAATTGATTATTAATTCACCTTCATCGCACGTTAACTAAATTAAAAAAAAAATCTAGTCAGTCATATTTAATGAAAATTAACGTAAATATTATCAGAGTATTCAAATAATTTAAATTAATAATAAAGGCGATGAAAATGACTTAAAAAAATACTGAATACCAAAAAAAAAATAAATGTCGCTGTGAAATATTTTGTTACTTACATCAACATTCATGCACAACTGAACTACACAAGCAATCTAGTAAACCATAGTTTTACTTATTCCATCACATCAACATGCTGATCACATGGGAATTGTAAAAAGCGTACAAATATAGGAAGCTTAATTCGCTATTGGAGACAAAGTATGAAATGCATACTACAGAAAAGAAGTACTATCTCATAAAAAACACTCTTGACCACAATTTAAATGAGTGGGAATAGTTTATGAGCGGGCATTTTGAACACGTAACAACCGCACTAGTTACACAAAATAATTCCGTTGGCGTTAAAATTAATTGTAAAAATATTTAAAAACTGGTAATAGGAATTATATCGTAAAACGAAATTTGAACGTTTTCTAGTTTTTGATCGAATGTTTTCTTTCTTTTGCAGTGATACTGTTTCTTATGTATATATGGCCAACACAATATAAAAATTACGATTAACGTAATTTAATAAAATGTGTTATCAATAAAAAAAAATGTGCAATAATAAATTCGTTTTTGTATTGTGATGGCCAAATTAAATGAACACTGAAATTGCATACCTTCCTAAACTCTCATCCTCCTTTGTGCCATCATAGTCCCAAATATGTATAGTCAGTTGCTGAGCGATGGACGATGTCACCGCACACTAATCCCGTACAACGCGCCACGTATCACATACACGCGACATACCAAAACGAATAGTATTGTATAAGAGTACTGAATCAAATAAGAATGAATAATTTATAATATATTATTACATTCCTAATATTCAACGTAACCGGCAAAATGATCGAAACACGTAATTTAATTAAATAATAACTTCTTTATGTTATTATTCAATCCCAATTTAGAACACCTACCACAGTAATATAGCGGAAAACATAAAATGTACCTTTAATACAGTGTATAAAAAATATGTTTGATACTGGAAAATAAACGCAACACAAAGTTCATTCAGTAAGCTGCAATAGTTGAAAATATATATAAAAAAAAAAACTGTATAAGTGCTAAAGTACTATAAAAAATAAGCGTGCGTTATCAATCCTAAAGCTCTCTTATAATGTAAGATCTACAGGTTTGTATCAATTGGAAGACATTAATTCTTACCACATATCTTGTGTTTGAGAGCACTAAATAATTTAACGTATTCAAATATATTGAAAAGCCATGCATTTAATATCGTAAAAGTTCAGAGTGAAACTGATTTCTTACCTCACACCAATAATCCCACTTTGGATCCACTGTGTTGTCAATAGTTTTAGTCCGAAATTCCTGAGCCCCGACTGTGATAATAGCATAAGGATCAGACTTGCCTTTACCCAATAGTCCAATGTCTTTTTTCATAAGGTGTTTTGCTTGAACTACATGAATGCGAAGGACCCCCTATAAATTTTAAATAATATTTATAATTTACATACGAAATGTACACCTATATACAATTCCATACCTCTGGCTCTGGAGTTTTTAATATTTCAGGAGGTATTTCTTCACTCAATCGTATTACAAGTTTATTTGGTAGGACGACAATTGCCGCAACTTGCTCCAAAATTGTTTTCCGTAAAATGTCACTGTAATTTTCTCAAGCTAGCATTTGTTTTCAAATATGCAAATCATATTTGTTAAATAAAAATTGTAATGTGCATACTTGAAACCAGGTAATTCAAGTACGTCGACTGCTCCAACTAGATTGAAGTCAATAGCAGGATTGTTTAAAAAAAATATTTGTAAACCACCAATTAATGGCATAACAGATATCATAGGTTTCATAACCACACGTATCATTCCACGTATCTAAAAATGTTATGACAAATCTCATTACTTATTTTTCTTAAAATATAAGTACAAATAATTTCGTAAACTGGTAAAGTACCTGAAAATCCTTAATTCCTCCTCTGAGGTTTCCAATAGTAAAGTTTACATCACAATCTCCAGCATATCTAAAAAATTATGTCAGCAAGAATATAATGCCTCTTACAAGAGAAATGAATTCATAATAAAATGACATGGATACTTACAGAAGATCCATATCTAGAATTATTTCATTTCTTGAAGTATTTGTGCTGTAAACTTTTACTCCACACACTTTTGGTGGCTGAAATTGAAAAAGAATGTTGTCTTGCTAAATCAATGAAAACTGATCTGTTTCTGATATTTAGAAGTATAACAAAAATTTACTTTCATTTCAAATTTAAACTAAAATGTAGTTATATGATTAATACAGTGCACCTATCTTTCTGAAAACAGCTGAACACGATATACAGAAACTTAAGTTCCAGAATTATTATTTACAACTATACATTTTGAATGGAATAGATGTATATGTTACTTTATAAAATTGTCATAATGAGATTATACTTTTTAACTGTGAAAATAGGATAAGAAACTTTAACCCTTTCACTACAGCAGTAGTGGACTTGAAGCTGCACTGCCTATAGAAATAACTCTATCACAAAGTGCTATTTTATATGAATACAACATTCATCTATTATTTTGAATGCATGAAAATGACGAAAGCCATCAAAGTTGCACTTTGTAAAAACACATTGGTCAGGTGGAAGCCACTTTAATGGTGCTTCTTAAAAAATGTCGTTCGGACCTAAGCCACTATAGTAACACTTTGTAACTAAAGGGTTAAAACTTACAATTCGGCCTAATACTAGTCTTTCAAATTGGAATCCTTTCATCTTGTATTCAGATAGACGTTCAACAATTGCAGGTTGAATCGTTTGCTTACACATTGTGCGCACATAATGATTCATGCTTGGCCACACCTTATAAAGAATCTGAAAAATTCAATATATATATTTCTCAGAATTGTATATTTATCAATCATAGCGCAACATATGAAAACATACCCTATTCAACCACTCTGCTCTATCGAAATCTGGAAAATAGACCCAGGATGGTAATTCATCCATTCTACTCATTATTATATGTTTTTCCTTTGCCATAACTGTAGCTTGAGCTGTAAGTCTTCTCAATACCCTGTCTTTACTACGTTCACCATGAAAAACACTAACAACAACAGGTGCGACCAACCATGCAATGTTCCAATTCATATAACCCCATCCCCATATAATACCGACTGTTGCCAATTTTGTTGCAATAGATGTAACTATTGAAATTAAATTCATATAGGGCCATGGCTGGAAGATTTTCTTATCATCTTCCATCTTGAGATTTTCCTTGAGTCGTTTTTCCAATACACAGTGAATATAAATATAAATATTGATATTTAACATTCACAGGTAGAATAAGAAAGTCATTTGAACTCCCGAAGTTGTTACCAGCTTGCTGCAAAAATTCTATAAAATGTAACATATGCAGAATGAGTTTCATAAAAGGTTTAATATTGGTAAGACTTAGTTGTTGTTGAAGGCACGCCTAGTCATTGATGAATTACAGATCATTGTCATTTATACAATCCCTGCCGAACTATGTATCACAATAGATTGTCAAGTTTGTTATCAAGCATTTTTTCTTTATTTCTAACCCTATGATTACTAACCCGACTAACCAATGGTATGCCTTTGCACCAACTGAGTCCAACCAGTTTAAGAAGTTTGATAAAACTTCCCCTATTCATTACAACTTATCAATAATGTACGACTCCTTTTTATGATATAAAACTGAAATAACATCAAGTAAAACTAAAGAAATTCTACAATTCAAACACATTTTCAATAACATGATAAAGTATGTAAATTTTTGCTAATATTTTTATTACTATTCTTTGTATAAACTTTGTATAAACATACCAGCATTGTCAAAAAGTATGGCATAGAAATGTCATACAAAAATACTAAAAAATGTCAATTTTAAAGATCATACTTTATCATTTTATTGCTGATATTCTTACTTAATAAAATCATATTATGCACTGATTTATATTTATCTATCTTTGACAGAGCAATAGCGTTATTATTTATTGACAAACAAAACGAAGATTTAACAAAGATTTATAAACAACATAACTGGATATATAACCATTGTAAGCATAAGAAATGATAGTGTTGGAATTTAACACTGAACTATTGTATTATTCAATAAAAAATGTACATATTCTAGCTGTTACAGCTAGGGAATTGAAGGACATTATGGACAACCAAAAATAACTTACAGAGTAATACAAATGTTTGAGCTCCACTTCTTAACTAAAATTTAAATCTTACAGTTTACTAAAAATGAATTGGTAGCGTAGCTTTTGTGATTCAATCATTTTTGCCTATGCATGAAACAGACAAATGACACATCACTATATATGTATGTATAATGAGTATGATTCACGTTATATGCATTAGTATATACATACATACATATGTACCCGTAAAGCGAATGTGATGACATTACACTTGCCAACAATACAAGAAAGTATCAGCAGGTGTAATGTTACAAGAATCAAAATTACATTATATTCTTACCAGGAGATGATTGAGAATGTGTTTCTCAATGTAAAACAAGAATAATGATAATATAAATATTCAAGTTAAACTTGATCACAGTGTCATCAAAGAGAAAAGGGACGTCGTGAGATCTATCGTAATGGTTCCAAAAAGACGGTATTACGTTTTTACTTTATCCACAAACACTTTGCGAAATTAGTAATTGCCGAATTATCTTTACTAATATTGTAATATACATGTCGTACATTTTACGCTTACAGAGCCGTCACGAAGCTTGAAAGAGATTTAACTCGAAAATAGTACTATGATAGAATCTTCAGGAACCATCTTTGTGACTTAGTTGAGTCGTCCCTGTTTTCGATTTTATAGTCTGCAATTCCAGATGACGTTTCCAGCTGATTACACATAGGCCCGATTCCACGGCTCTAGTTAAACGAAATTTAACTGGTTTATACAAGGTTTAAACTTGCTGTAACCAAAGGTGAGCAGGGAGATGTCTCACGCCCCCATTAGAATTGAGGCAGCCGAGTTTCTGCAAAACCTACAGCTTTCAGCGCCAAACCGACGGAAAATCGATGGCAACATCTTCAAAGGGGCGAAATTTTCTGTATCGGTAAAGAAACACGTGTTAGCAGATTCAAAATAGATCATGGTACCGACAGAATGAAGCTACCACGTTTACCTACAGTTCGTTTTCAGTCTCAGCGTCAATTGATGTCGGTAAAAAAGACTATGGATATTAAATATAAAAAGAAATCATACTGTAATATTAATTAAAACACCTCCTATAGTGTTAATACATAAAAATATGCCAATTATGTAAGAATATTATATTGAAGAAATAAATTAATGAATATACCAAAATATATCAATAAATGTTGTTAAAACTGGTTTAATTGGTAAGAAACTTGTTTTAAAGATTACTTCTGCCACATGTACATTTCATTTATCAATACACATAACTTAAGAGAATGAAAAATTAATTTAAAACAGAGATGATCTCTGTTTAAAATCACAAACCACTACAATTTTAAAATAGAATGAAGNTATGCATACCTTAGAATGTACTGCTTCTATATTACTTAACTTACGCAAAATTAATACCCACGTCAATAATTACAAAAGCTAAATTTGCTGTTTGGTTAAATTCATAAATTGCGTTTAATTAAAGCTTGTTGGTTGGGAGTCTCTGTATATATTTTAAATGTCACGATGGAACCAATGAGAGAAGAGGTTTTCTTGGATTCCCATTGGTTAACGCTTCGACATTACTCGTTACGCTCTTAGCGAGAGGTCTTTTAGGGCTCGATATACTACCGATACCCATAACGACATTTGTCGCTACATTAACGACGTTTGTCGCTTCAAGAAAGTTATAGAATAGGTTTTGTCGTTACGGTGTCGCTTCGGTAGATTAACGATAACGATAGCTGTCGTTACGAGTTAGAGAATAGGCCTACAGAGGGGGAGTGCCGTAGTAACTAAGGGAGGAATGCGTATGAACAATGGGAAGGTAGCCATATTGTTATGCCAAAATCTTAGGTTCCTCTGATTGGCTATGATTTAGTTGTCACTTTAAGAGTAGTAGGTAAAGAATGGTGCGAGTGTAAACAGATAAATAGTGAATGAAGTGCAATATGCCACTTGTAGTATAAAGAAGGCTAAAAATGATTTTTTACGTATGCATGCACAAGAGTGGCAAAAAGAAATAAGTTAGAGTAAACAGGAAACAGGAAGCGATGACCTACCAATCGGGAAGCTGAAAAAATAAGCACAACAATGTGGCTATCCTATCTCTCCCTTCTTGATGCGTCGCTTCCCCTCCCACAGTCTGAGATAGGACTTTAGGCTCCGTCCATATATTTTTAGGTTTGTTCATTCATGGCAGTCTATGGTCCGTCCTCCTGGAATCTAATCTCCATGCCTATAAAGTCCAAGGTTTAAACCGTTTAAACTGCGCTCCATTTAAATTGTTCAAGTTTGTTTTCGTTGAATTCGCATTACAATACCATATATTTCACATAAATTTAATACATCTTGAGATGGAGAAACAAAACTGTGTTGCTAAAATTCAATGTGTGAAAACAGGACGTCCAAACATGGTTAACCTATTAATACAAGAGGTAATTAATAATATTGTATTCTATTCTGTATACATGTATGCAAATTTCCATTTTACGTGACGCAGATTTTGAAAATGTTTTATCTAAGCTTCGGTAACAAGATTTTTTTTATAAAACTATGCAATTTCAGCAGTAAAACAAATATCAATCTCACATTTGGTTAAATACTGAGTTATTTTTATCTACTTGCTGCTATGCATTGGAATTCTGTTCATACGTACACAAACCCCCTTCCTTCCCCTAAATATTAAAATTGAACGTGGTATTCTTTTCTAATTGACTTTGCTCAGTCTTGATTATTATCATATTTATGAATATTCTGCATATTGAAACTCACATTTATACAAATTGTAGAATGAAAATTTGAATGTAGAGTTAAAAGCTGTAGAAGAGTCATTAATTAAATGGCTTCATCGACCGTATCAAGTTAATCAACACAATTCAGATTTAGAAATACTATTAGAGAAAATAGTTAAAGAAATCGCTCCTAATGAAAGCAAACTAAAATTATTTAAAGAAGAGATTATTAATAAACAAAATTACTTGAATCAACATGAAATGGAGAATTCACAAAGACTACACGAACAATGGTTTGCATAATTTAACTTTTCAATCATCAATGTAATCGGATAAAATACAAAATATTACCAAAATATAAGCTATGCTAAAGTCAATAAAAAAGTGTTATCTATTTCTTTACAAGGCAAAACATGCAATCAGAAATGAAATGCATCTCACAAAAATTTCCAGCTGCTCAAATTGAGTATGTAAGTAAAATTATACTTATTTTATAAACTCATAAATCACAGAAAAATTCACTTACTAATATAAATTAGGATATATAATTTTATATTTCGTCCACATCCATGTACTAAATATTTTTACAAAACATATGCAGTTTTTAGGAACTATTAGTTTTTAAGAATGTTCTGTTATTCTTTTTATTTTAAGTAATAAACATAGTCTGGACCTTATATGGTAGAGAATGCTCTTTTGTTTTTGTAACAGAAGAAGGGAAATCTGCTCAAAATTATTACTGAATATGAAACACTGTTAGAAAAAACAAAAAATAATTTAATAATAGAACACAAAGATATTGAAGCTTTAAGCAAGATGTATGGTATCAATGCAAAGGAAAAATACTTCGAACAGGAACTATTGGACGATATAATTTCAACGAGGGAACAAATGTAAGAATTATTATTATGTGATACCAGTAACTTCAGTTTTTGTATTTAACATAGAAGAAATATTTGTTAAAGAAGTATGCAATTCCCATGCTTGAAAATTTATTGTTCTGAACCATTTACTCTATTCTTGATTTTTCTTTATAAATAAAAATACATATTTGCGAATTTCATCTATTAATACTGGATAGACATCTACTTAATCCTAGAATTAATTGTAATAGTTCAATTATTTTTACAGTTTGGACAATAATATTCCAATACGTGCTGCTAATGATGAAATAGAGGATCTTAAAAGGAGAATACAAAAAAAATCGTTAAATTTACAAAATTTAATACGGAATAAATTATAAAAATTAAAGCCGTTCCGAATATTTATATTCATGTTTCTCATTAAATATACTCATTAAATACAATATGCCACATGTAGCATAAAGAAGTGTAAAAATGATGTTTTACGTAGAGTGGCAAAAATAAATAAGTTAAAGCAAACAAAAAATATGAAGCAGGTGGTGTACCAATCAGAAGGCTAAAAAACTGGCACCACAGTATGGCTCTCCTACCCCTTCCTTTCCGTCGCGCTGGCTTCCTTCTGGGCAGGGTTGGGTAATTTCACGATTTTCGAAGTTTTTAACGTGTATTACGTAAATCAAGTAGTTTACCGTAGAAAACCAGTAGAAAACGTATCCTAGATGACGGACAAGACCGAGGTATGGCAAACGGTATCCGTTAGGTTATAAACATCTTTTAGTACACATGTAAACGTAAGTATTTTCATGAGAAAATTTATTTAGTTCTAGTATTTAAAATTCTTTTGATTTAATATTTAATTTCTAACTGAATTTATTCTTTTTATTTATACATATCTGTCCAAAGAAGTATACAAGCATCGACGATGGCTCATGACAATTTTCGAAAGAGAATGGATGAAAATATTCTTTTTGAAAGGATTAAAAAGTATCAAGTAAGCCTGCTATATAAAGTATATTTAATTTTAGTGAATATTAGTGTATGATATAACAGGTATAACTATGAATGCTTTGAACGCAATAACTTGTTATTTTGTAAAGCTTGGGATTTTGAAAACTACATAGGTAATTAAGGAAATAGGTAGTGTCATATTCAGCTGTATATAAAGTAATCCCAAAAGTTATCAGACCAATTTGTTTTTGTTTTATCCATTTGTCCATTTGTTTCATACCATAATTTACTTTTTCGTCTTTCACCTTTATACATTTTGATACAAATATTGGTTACGAATCTTACGACATCAAATAGCTGTTATCAACCGTTATTACATACATTTCAAATTTCCCAGGCTGATTTCGAATGGCGCGTATTTGTGGATGTCTAAAGCGCAATCCCCTTAATAGCCAATGAGAATCCCTCTTAGAGGTAAATAGGTGGACTCTCATTGGCTATTAACGATATTGCGCATGCGCCTTGCACATTTAGTTTGGGCCAATATACTTCGTGCCTGTGTAGAAAACTAGGGACGTATTATACGTTGTAATATATATATAGAAAACCACGTATATTACTTAACGTATTATACTTACCCAACCCTGCTTCTAGGCATCAGAGATAGTAGGGAGATTGCCACGGGCAGGGTCACGCGATCGCGTTCTGCGCTGCCCCCCGGTGGAGGATGTGGACAGCTAACACACTTGCCACCTGATATCCCCCAATGGCGGTCCAATCCAGGGAACTTTCTCATCTTTGTTCCCAACTCATCTCTGTGATAACAAATATCGTTTAACATCTCTTAACCAGCAAGTCTTAGTACAGCAAGATCTGCGGCGATGAACTACCCATGATGACTTGAAAAAAAAAATGGATTCTGTTATGATCTACCTAAACCTGGAAAGGGGCACAAAAGAACAGGCAAAACAGAACGTTCAAAAAAATCCATGAAGTCTGAGAATAGACAGCGAATAAGTTACTAAAAGTCAAGAATATTAATGGTACATCAATCTCGTTAAACTTACTGGACTGGTATTTTTCACGTCACTAAGTACGCAAAAATCCATTTAAATGCAGACTTAACAAAATACAATACAAATTATTATTCGCCGTCTCTCCCCCGTCAATCCAAGAATGGAAGGTCATTGTAGTTGCCCTCTTCCGAAGGGACCGTTTCGGCAAATAACTTTTTCGACTCTTGCAGTCTTTTCGGGCAGAGCCCCCTACGTCTTAAACGCTTAGCATTTCCTTGATTTTCGGATTAAAAAAAAATCACTCCGCCAGTAGGTCCAGAAGGAAGCAAAACGACAGTCTACGATCCGAGGATACGCAGTCCGTGCGTATTGCACATTTATTCGGATTTTCATGCGCGGTCTAATTAATTTCATTCCTGTCCAAAAATTGTCACAATCGCGGGCGTCCGGAAGTACTTTGAGCGGATAATTTAGTTTCCAGACTACCATTAATTACTCGCGGCAGTCTAGACGTTCCTTATTAAAAAAATTTCATGACTCCACTAAAATTGATCTTGTAAGAATCCGAGGCGCAACCCTTTAATGTCAGGAGGAAGTGATTTTGTGGAAAGAATTTGATGTCCTAAATTGGTCTGAACATTTTTGGAATATTGATGAGAAATACAGCAGAAGAATTTTTTTCCGGGAAATAATTCTTACCGCCGGCATAGAACCCCAGGCGCAGGACGGACATCCTTCGCTCTTCCGGAAGAGCGAACGGTGGAAAAGTATCCTAAGTCCAGAATCTCCCCCCAAACCCTCAGGAAGAAATCACGCTCTGGCCATGCCTACTTACATTGAGACGTTACTCCAGACAACTATCCCATCTCCCTAGCTATATCTAAAAGATCAATCGCATTCATTCCAATACAGTCACTCCACGATTCTCTCACACTCCATCCGGGGGCAAAGAGCCTATTCCTAGAGAGCGCATTCCGGGATGCCTCCGACCGCCGAGTTCAGTTTTCGCACGCAATCGCATTATCGATTGCCATCGTCGGTTGAATGAAAAAAAAAAATGGAACGAGTATGTGGAATCGGAATGGCAGTGTGAAATTAACATATCAGTTGCTGTCATCTCAAGAAAAATGTAGAGTTCTAATAGCATCCTCAATAGTTCTAGAGTTCTCCGCAGTTTATTTCAATAGTTCTGTTTATTTAGTCAATAAAAAATGAAATTGAAAAAATGAGATGCTAACGTCCCGTAGCATCTCAATAATGAAAATCTGATTAAAAAAGTACATAGTCTTGCAGGTTTTAACGTTACTAAGAGTTCTAGGTAACACAAATCGATAGTTCTATCGATAACAATCAGTTGAACATCATTAACAATTTGAAACGTAGTACCATAGGGTATGTACATACATACATACATACATGAAATGCGGTGTTTACAACGGTCTCTACGGACTGGAAAAAATTGCCGCGGATAGTTTTAGGTTCCCTCGTCACTTTTCAACGTAGTTCTGTCGGTTAACAACATTATGTTAATAGTTAATAATAACTCATGACTATCATACCTGAGACGCAGGGGTTTCAACGAACTCCATGGAGTGGAAATAATTCCTTGCAATAGTTCTAAGCTTCCTGGTTACTTTTCAAGAGAGTTCTGTCGGCTAACAATATTCCGTTAAAGGTTAATAATAATTTAGGACTATCACCCTTGAGACGTTGGAGTTTCTAGGGGCTCTATGCAGTAAAAGACGTCCCGAGGATGGTTCTAGGCTCCCACAACCATTTTCAAGAGAGTTCTGTCGTTGTTAGCCGATAGAACTCTCTTGAAAAGTAACCAGGAAGTCGAACTATCCACAGGAATTTTTTCCACTCCATAGAGTCCCTCGAAACCTCAGCATCTCATGGATGATAGTCATACATTATTATTAACTTAGAATGTTGAACTAAATTTGAAAACAATATTTTATTTGGCGAGCACCCAAATGATCATATGCTAGAAGTATACCTCGGGTGCTCGTCAAATAAAATATTGTTTTCAAATTTAGTTTGTAATTTTTTAATTTATTTCGAATATAGTTTTTAATATTTGTCTTCGGTTTGAGGAAGCAGAAAATCTTGCACATACAACATGCGTGAAACCAAATGTACTGTGACATTTGGCAAAAATAGTTGATTTGAGCTTTTAATGGGAAGGGAGCAATTTGAGCTATTTTTGCAATTATTTGAATAAAGACAAATGTATTTGGCTACATTTTTGTACACCGAAGATGTTTTGAGGGGATTTCACTCCTTTTTGTAAAAAAAATGTTAATGTCTCTATTATTAATAATAAAATCGGCAAATGTATCTGATACNACAAAAAATCAAGCCTGTATACTTCGCAAAATTAGAAGGAAAATCTCCGTAAAAATTTGATCAAAATCAACCCAGCAGATTTTGAAATATTCGCGCACGCTAAGTTTAATTGGTAAGAAACTTGTTT